TAGAGCGGGGCCCGAGGCCGCCCAGTGCGGTGCGGAGGGACTCAGAAGGGACTCAATGCCTCCATTGTTCCACACCACAAGCACCTTCGCCACCATCCTGGACTCTCGGAGGGCTCAGCAATCAGCAACCGGCTGCATGATCCCGCCAAGCTCATTTGAATCTCGAGGTCAGGACTCACTGGGAAGATATCACTGCCCCCATCCCCCCATCTCCTCATTGAGCCTCACCAGGCCAGCGGGCTAACCATGGCTCGCTGAACACTCCTATCCACTTTGAGTCTCAGCGTGCAGTTGACCCGAGCTGCTTCCCCAAGATGTTCCCGCCCCATCCCCTTCCCTCCACTACTCCCGCTCAACGCTCTTCTCCCTCCACCTGCCCCGACTCCTATCCCTCCTCGACCCCCTCATGGTCTCCCTCTGCTCCTCCCTTCACATTCTCCGTCATGCCCACCATGGCAGATGCCGTCGGCTGTCCAACAGCACCCACCCTGACTGCCCCTTCCCCCACTCTCGTCGCAAAGCTCACCGGCCCTCACCCAGGGGAGCCAACCTTTCCTCCCTCACCCACATCCCCATTCAACCTGTCTGCCCACCCCCTCCCACTCCTCATCTCCCCCACACTCCACCACAAACTGTCCCTTGCACATCAGTCTGCAGAACATCCGCTCACTAACAAACAAGTCCCTCACAATCCATAACCTCAACGTCGTGGAAAACATTGACATCCTCGCCCTCACTGAAACCTGGGTTACCCCAGGCGACAACTTCTCACTAGTCGAGGCCACACCTTCAGGTTAAACCTTTTACCAAACCCCATGGCCTGATCGCCATGGCGGTGGTGTGGTTCTCATCTACCGGTCCCCCCTCGGCCTTTCCCCTCCAGAACCTTCCCCTCCTTTGAACACCTTACCCTCTATCACCCCTCCAGGCTTTCCCTCAAAATCCTCCTTGCTTTCCGTCTCCCCAAGCCTTTCCCCACCTTCCTTTTGGACATCTTCACCCTCCTATCTTTCCTCTCCCTCTGCTCTGAACGCCTCCCAAATCCTAGGCGACTTCAACCTCCACTTCACCCCCTTCCTGTTCTACACCTGCCGACTTCTCCTCCCTCCTCTCTTCCCTTAATCTCTCCCTCCACATCCATTCCCCCACCCACGACCGTGGCCACCCCCTTGATCTGGTGATCACCCGGGGCCTCACTGTCTCGGGACATCACCATCACTGACAAAGCCATTTCGGACCACCACGTTGTCTCCCTTATCACCTCTGTACCCCTTCCCCCTTCTCAACCCTCTACCGTCTGTGGAAAAAATTTCCTCCCTCTCCCTCTCCACTGCCCTGGAGTCATCTGAACTCCTACCCTCTGGCCCTCACTGACCGATCTACCCTCCTTGCTCTCTTTTCTTCACAACTCCCTCTCCTCCATTCTAGACTCTCTTGCCCCCTTTATCTCCCGAACTGCTTCATACTCCCGTATATCCCCCGGTACACCAGCCATCTCCGTTCCCTTAAGGCACAAGTGCGAGAGGCTGAACCACCTGGACCAAAACCAAATTAATGGTCCATCGGCAGATTTGGCTTCACGGTACCAAGACCTACCGCTGCGCTCTTGCCTCCGCCAAATCCTCCTTTTACTCCAAGGTTATCTTGGAGGCAGAGGACAACCCCAGGCTTCTCTTTTCCACCACAAACTGTCTCCTCCGTCCACCCTATGTCTTGCCTATCCTCTCCTCAAACTCCAACTGTAAGGAGATGCTGGACTTCCTTGAACCCAAAATCGAGGGGATATGTTCAGCCATTTCTGCCCCGTCCACCGCCACCCCCACATCACCTCTCCCTCATGACCCACCCCCCACCCATCCGACCCTATACTCCTTCGACCCTATCTCTCCCTCCTCCCTCACCGCCATCGTTCACAAACTTAAACCCACCACCTGCTCCCTCGATCCCATCCCCACTTCTCTCCTCATTTCGCAGCTCCACCTTCTGGCCCCTCTCCTGTCCGATGTCATCAACCTCTCCTTGTCCACCGGTTTAGCTCCCACCCCCCTAAAAACAGCCTTCATCACCCCCATCCTGAAAAAACCTTCCCTGGACCCATACCTATTCTCCAGCTACCGCCCCATTTCTAGCCTCCCATTCCTCTCCAAGGTCCTGGAATGAGTCGTCGAGTCCCAGCTCCGCTCCTTTCTTTCTCGCCATTCCCTCCTTGAACCCCTCCAATCCAGCTTTGCGCTGCCCACAGCACGGAAACAGACCTGGTCAAAGTCACTAACATCTGTGATCAGGGCTCCCTCTGCCTCCTTGTCCTCCTCGACCTCTCTGCCACCTTCGACACTGTCGACCACTCCGTCCTCATACACCACCTCTCCTCTTTACTTAATCTTCGCGGACCTGCCCTTGCCTGGTTCGAATCCTATCTCTCTCACAGTCTCCACTTTGTTGCCTCTAACGGTTTCTCCTCCAGCCCACCCACTGTCACGTCTGGCGTCCCCCAGGGCTCTGTCCTTGGCCCTCTCCTCTTCAATATCTACGTGCTCCCCCTTGGTGACATCATCCGCAGACATGGGGTCAACTTCCACATGTATGCCGATGACACCCAACTTTATCTTTCTGTCTCCACCCTCATCCTGGACCACTGCTATCCTGACAGACTGCCTGTCGGACATCAAGTCCTGGATGAGGGCAAATTTCCTACAGTTGAACCTGAATAAGACTGAGGCCCTCCTGATTGGCTCGCGCCAGTGTCTTTGCACCTCAGGCTCTGGCAGCATCAACCTCCATGGTTGCACACTACAACTCACCAAGCCAGTCAGGAACCTGGGTGTCTTGTTCGACCCTCAGTGTCTTTTCTTCCCCACATCCAAGCCATGACCCGCTCTGCCTTCCCTCACCTCTGTAACATCGCCCAACTCCGCCACTACCTCACCTTTCAGGCCGCTGAAACTCTTGTTCATGCCTTCATCACATCCAGGCTCGACTATGCAAACGCCCTGCTTGTCAGCCTTCCCAACTCCTCCACAGACTGCAGATAATCCAGAATTCTGCAGCACGTGTCCTCTCCCACACCAAACTTCGTCATCCCATCTCCCCCAACTCCATTGGCTCCCTATCCTGCAGAGGATTCAGTTCAAGATCCTGATCCTCACCTACAAAGCTCTCCATGGTCTCACCCCACTCTGCCTCTGTGACCTCCTAACCCCCTACCAACCCCCCGCTCCTTCCTCTCAGCCGGCTCCAGCCTTCTCCACGTCCCCCGACCCACCTGCCCCACCATTGGCGGGAGAGCCTTCAGCCCCCAACTTCTGGAATTCCATCCCCCAATCACTCTGCCTTGCCCCTTCCTTAGACTCCGTCAAGTCTCGTGTCAACCGGTCACCCCCCTTCCTCTCCCCTCCCTTCTCCCTCCCTGACCCCAGCTCAGATCTGAAATGCTATGCACTGTCAAGCGCCTTGAGACGTCCTCCCGACATGAAAGCCACTATACAAATGTAATCTTGTGGTTGTTGTTGTTGTTGGCGTATCTGGCAGACATATTCGAGCAACTGAATTCTCTCAATCTTTCACTTCAGGGATGAGATGCAAATGTTTTCATTGTTAATGATCGGGTAGAAGCATCCATTAACAAACTTGAACTGTGGTCTTCATGTGTGCAGCAGGGACCTTTGCACACTGGAAGAGGTTGTGTGAGAGTGTGGTAATCTGTCATTTGACAGTCTCTAGGATATAATCTTCAGCATTTAGGTAGACTACAGGAGCAGTTTTGTGAGTACTTTCCTGAAGTGGGCAGCGACAAAGGTAATCAGTGGGTCAGGAATCTATTTTCTTTTTTAAGCCAAACCCAGCAGATAATTTGTCTCACACCTTGTCGACACCTTGAGACAAGAGTGCTTCTTAACTGAGCCAAGCTGCTTAATATTTTGTATTTTTTGCATTGTAAACTATAGCTGTATATGATTCAATAGTTATTGTCTAGATTTGAAAATCCTCCCTCTTTCCAGTTATGGATTAAATTGATACTGATCTACCCTAAGGTCACCAAGACCATGCAAATCTTAATTTAGGGTAAGGTCAGTTCTGACTTTTTGTTAAGCATAAATAGTGTGGGAGGACACTTGCCTGAATGATTTGTTTTTCGTCAGTATATCCTTTGAGAGAATTGTGCCATAGGATTTCTAACGTCCATTTGAACAGGCAGAGAGGAACTAATTTTCAATGTCTCAAGCTAAGAACGGCTCCGCTGACCAGGCGGTCGACGAGCGTGAGTGTGAGCAAGCGCTGGAGTCTGAGCCTAGACCAGTGACGGCCAAACTACGTCCCATGGAGCCATCAAGAAGAGGTCCCTGAACATTCGCACGAGTCTAGGTAAGTCCGTGTTCGATTGGTAGTGTGTTTCCATGTTTTGTCTTGATTGAATATTTCTTGGTTTATGGCATGAATCAAGAAATATACAATCAAGGACATGTATTGCGTTGGCCGGCCAAAAACCTTGGCCGCCTCTTTGGCCCAGTCTTTAAGTCCTGATATGACTGAACGGCGAAAGTTTCAGCAGCCGAGCCAGGATGACCCCCACCTTGAACAGGCAGAGAGTGGAACTCATTTTCAACGTCTCACGCTGAGAACGATGCCTCGGACCGTGCTGAAAACATTCATTCCAAAGCTGAAAAAAAACCTGCGTCTAACAAAAGGGGAGGGGAGGGGAATCTCCCGTCCGCTTGCGTTTTCCAGCCTGCTCCGCACGTCACGCCCCACCCTTTGGGACTCCATCCCGCACAGTCCCTTGGCCTCGCACCCTCCCTCCCTCCCTCCCTCCCTCCCTCGCCTCCTTCGAGGCACATCTCAAGATCCTCCTCCTTTCACGGCACCTTCGGCCATCCTCCTACCACCCCCCTTCCAGGGCACGGCGGCCCCAGCTCGGGTGCAAATCCTTGACTGTCCAGCGCCTTGGGACGTCCTCCCGACCTGAAGGGGCGCTACGCAAAAGGTGACGCGGCGGTGGGTGGGTGGTTGAGGTGGAGGTGGCGGTGGTGGTGTTGTTGTTGTTGTTGTTAACATGCCCTGGCCCTCGGTGCGGAAAGGGTTACAGTGCTAACTGGCGGTCTCCATTGGCCGACACTTGAGCGTTCACGTGGGAGGTCCTTCGCGCTCGTCGGCCGCCATCAGCCTCGCCGGGTATTAAAAAGGGAAACCCCACCCCTACCCCCCACACACAAAAAAAAATACGTGCGCCGTCCGCCAGCAATGGAGACCGGGAGCGGAGTGCCGTGCCTCGCCCTTTACCTGCTCGCCGGGCTCTGGCTGCTGGCGGCCCCCGCTGCCTGCCAAAAGGGGAGCCAAAAAGAGCAGGAGGAGTGCCATTACTACGCGGGGGGACACGTGTACCCCGGCGAGGCGTTCAGGGCGCCCGTCACTGACCACTCGCTGCACCTCAGCAAAGCGAAGAGTGAGTAGCGCCCGCGCTGTACTTCACACACACACACACACACACACCGGGGGGAGAGGGGGAGAGGGGATTATTTACAGTAATAACAATAATAAACCGTTCCTAATAATAATAATAATAATAATAAGATAATTGACAGCTGGGAGGGCTTTCCGAGCTGACCTTGTCCGCCTGCGGTGGCATCGCCGCGCTTCCCCCTGCCTCTCGCGGGGAGGGGAGGGGGAGAGAGGAGGGGGGAGGGGGCGCTCGAGCTTCTAACCGACGCCCGATTCAAACCGTAACGGTCGCGGGGCTGCGCGTGAAGCATCCTTTCGCGCCGCGGGGCCTGGAAGGCGGGAGGGAGGGAGGGAGAGTGAGAGAGAGAGAGAGAGAGGCCGCGGCCTCTGCCCTGCGTTGAGAGCGGGTAGTTTGCTTTTTATAAATGTACGGGTGTACGGAGATATCTCTGTGTGTGTGTGTGTCGAGGCTTTATCTGAGGGTCGGGCTGAAAGGTGACCGCGTCGACGGTCTCCCCTCAACCGCTGTCTTCGTGTGCGTTTCGCTGTATAACGGCGCTCCTGTTTGGGACACGTCGCGCAAGTTGTTACGGGCCCAGGGGCTCGGCAGCGCCTTGTTTTGAGTGGGTGGTGAGAGGGGGGAAGGGGGCAACGGGGGAGGGGGGGGAGGGAGGGGGCAAGTGTCCAGACCGGACCTCAGCTGTGCTCTTTTTCAACCCAAACGGACGCTGCTTCCTAAGCGCGAAGGGGTCTGGAAAACAAACACCGAAGGGTCCGGTGACACCAAGTCATTGGGGGGAGGGTCAGCCATGAGTGGACGGGGGGGTTCAAAGTCCCACCCTGGGGCTGGGAGGCAACGGACTGGGGCTCACCTGAGCCGGGTTGACCCCTCTCGCGTTACGCTTCTGTGTGGACTGCGGGGATTTTTTTTATACCTGTCCCGTCAGGCGGGCGTCCGACCCGCGCAGAAAACCCATCGTCGTCGCTTAAGTGTGTCCAAACCGAGCCGACGCTTCCGTCCGTCCCACCCGCACATGGCAGTTCCAGAGATGGACGGTTGAGCTGGAGACCCGCCCGCCCACGCTCGTCGATGGCTTAAAAGACCCGACGCCAGGCGAATGCTTGAGGCGAACGATGCGATCCTGCAGATTGCAAACCCATTTCTATCGGTTTCGCACAAAAAGGCATTCATTTAATGTCGGTTACCCGGACCCATTCCCTCCTCTCCAGCTACCGCCCCATCTCTCACCTCGCCAAGGTCCTGGAACGAGTCGTTGCGTCCCAGCTCCGCTCCTTTCTTCCTCGCCGTTCCCTCTTTGGACTCCTCCAATCCGGCTTCCGCGCTGCCCACCGCACGGAAACACCACATGTATGCGGATGACGCCCAACTCTTAGCTTTCTGCCTCCACCCTCAACTCCAGGACCACTGCTGTGCTGACAGACTGTCTGTCGGACATCAAGTCCTGGATGAGGGGAAATTTCCTACAGTTGAATGTGAACAAGACTGAGGCCCTCCTGATTGATTCGCACCAGCGCCTCAGCACCTCAGGCTCTTGCAACATCAACCTCCATGGTTGCTCACTACAACTCACCGCCAGTCAGGGACCTGGGTGTCTTGTTCAACCCTCAACTGTCTTTTCTCCCCCAATCCAAGCCATGACCCGCTCTGCCTTCCCTCACCTCTGTAACATCGCCCGACTCCACCATTACCTCACCCCTCAGGCCGCTGAAACTTGTTCGTACCTTCATCACCTCCAGGCTCGACTGTGCAAACGCCCTGCTTGTCGGCCTTCCCAACTCCTCCCTGCACAGGCTGCAGATAATCCAGAACTGCAGCACGTGTCCTCTCCCGCACCAAACTTCGTCACCCCATCTCCCCCAATTCTCGCCCAACTCCATTGGCTCCCTATTCTTCAGAGAATCCAGTTCAAGATCCTGATCCTCACCTACAAAGCCCTCCATGGCCTCGCCCCACCCTACCTCTGTGACCTCCTAATACACTACCAACCCGCCCTCTCTCTTCACTCAGCCGGCTCTGGCCTGCTCCGCGTCCCCGACCCACCCGTCCCACCATTGACGGGAGAGCCTTCAGCCACTTTGCCCCCAACCTCTGGAATTCTATCCCCCAATCACTCCACCTCGTCCCCTCCTTAGCCTCCTTCAAGTCCCACCTCAAGACCCTCCTCTTTGACCATGCCATTGGTCACTCCCCTTCCCTCCCTGAACCCAGCTGGCGTCTGAAATGCTGTACACTGTCTAGCGCCTTGGGACGTCCTCTCGACATGAAAAACGCTATACAAATGTAATCTTATTGTTGTTGTAAATTTAAAAATTATTTAACTGAGCAGTACTTGGAGTAGTGAAAAGCTAATGAACCCAATTTTTTTAATTTAAACAGTTTCAAAGCTTGCACCGAACTGGGAAGAGACTGCAGTAATAAATGGCGAATTCAAAGAGCTGAAGCTTGGAGATTATCGAGGCAAATACCTTGTCTTCTTTTTCTACCCCCTTGATTTGTAAGTGTTAATTCTATTTATGCTTTTCAAGCCAGAAGTAAGGAAAGTTTAAACTAGTGTTGGCAAGCATACTTGCTCATATCATCTTTTGTGCTGTAAATTTCCATGGTTCTAACATTTAGGGGTCTGTACTGGGCCCCTTCTGGTACTCATACATACAATAAAACTTATACGATCGTGTTAGTCGGGGCCATCACATTTAATATCACTTACGCAAAGTCAGGCAGGCAAACTGAAAATCATAGAAATTCCGATTTAATCAACAATTTAATGCGTGGTTAGGGGCAGAGTATCATCAGATTGGTATTGCGGACCCATTTCCTTACCAGTATGTGGTGCTATTGTACTGTGTACTTGTTATTGGATTTTGAACAGTTGTGTTAAGTTTTGTGTTTCAAAGTCAGCAGTGTGCTTTTCTGCTTTTTAAAAAAATGATGAATATAGTATGCTGCTTTTTAGACTTTTTTACACACACATACACAAAAATAAGCTTGGGCAAGGCATCAGTCACCTGCTATTTTTTCGCAGATCGACTCCTAGGCTATCCAACTCGCTGTGTTCTTGGAGTGGATGCTGACATTTGTCATTGGAGCAGTCGAGGAGGGAAGGATACTTGAAATGTTTCAATGATAACATGCTATTTATGACTATTTGATTGTGGCCGGAAGTAGAATCATAGAATTATACAGCACAAAAGGAGGCCTTGGCCCATTGTGTCTGTGCCGGCTCTTTAAAAAGCTATTCAAATCAATCCCACTCCTCGCTCTCCTCCCATAGCCCTGCAAGCCTGTCCTCCCAAAATAATTATCTACTTTTACTCTCTTAAAAGTTATTATCGAATCAGCTTCCACTACCCTTTCAGGCAATGCACTTCAGATCCAAACAACTCAGATCTAGAATGGAATTTAAAGTACACCCATTAAATTTGACAATTTTTTTGAAAACTTAGCTGGTGCTTCTTTCCCTTTCAGAAATGTTTTGTGTTGATTGGTTGGAAATGTACTTTTAATAATGCATGATTTTCTTTATTTGTAGCACATTTGTTTGTCCCACGGAAATAATAGCTTTCAGTGACAGAATTGAAGAGTTTAGAGCCATTAACACGGAGGTGGTAGCCTGTTCCGTTGACTCTCAATTTACGCACTTGGCATGGTAAGTGGCAAAAACGTTGGGTATAATTATTTTGAGTGTAGTTGCTAGTTTTTATGTAATGCAAATTGGTAAATGTATTTTTTAATAAAGAAATGATTTGCAAACACAATTGGTATCATTACAATGTCATTTCTTATTTTTTGAGGTGAAAAAAAAATACTTTCTATTCCCAGTAAAAATGACATTACTCTAATGCAGAATTTATGAAAATTGAAACTCCTTGATTAAGCAATTTTTACTCTAGGTCAGTTTGTGTTCACGAGGCTCGGGTTACAAGTTTGGAAATTACAAGTATGACATGCCACTGTAAAATATGCCCTTATTCTAAAATCACCTTCAAACAACAACTTTATTTTTATTCATTTTTACCTTTAATGGTATTTTAAAGTGGAGGTGTATTTGGAAGTTGTGTCTGCTTTATAGTATTTGAGTTGGTGTCTTCCTATTAACAATGGATTTGTTTTTTTCAAATAATTGAATGTATATGAGTATCTGATTACATTGCAATGAAAGTGACAAATATTTATTGTTACTAGAAAAAAATAGATGGTTTTCCTTCATCAACTTAAATACTTGAAATAATAATAGATGTCTCGAAGACATGAAAAGTGCTATATCAGATGCAAGGATTATTATTATGTATTAAATCACTGTAAATGTTACATAAACAATGTCATGGTTTTCTACCCGTGTGTCTGGGAGAGAGCCCGAGTCATTGCTTGCAAAACACCAAAGTAGGATTATCTAGTTCAGCGTGCTGTGTAAAGTCTAAATACTTGAATGGATTAATTATAGAAGGTCTGCAGACCACAGAGAAATGGTTTGACAAGCATATATGTAAAAACTTTTAGAATTGATGCCAGTGAGTGAGCTTCAGCAGTCGTCCATATTCAACTTCATAGAATTATAGAGCACAGAAGGAGGCCATTCAGCCCATCATGTCTGTACCAGCTCTTTGAAAAGAGCTATCCAATTCAATCCCACTCCCCTGTTCTCCCCATAACCCTGAAAACTTGTCCTCTCCAAATAATTATCTATTTTTCTCTTAAAAATTTTTATCGAATTGGCTTCTACCACCCTTTCAGGCAATGCATTCCAGATGAAACTGGAACTCGCTGTATGAAAAAAATTCTCACCTCCCTTATGTTTCTTTTAACAACTACTTTAAATTGGTATCCTCGGGTTACTGACCCACTCACCAGTGGAAATAATTTCTCCTTGTTCACCCTATTGAATCCCCTCATAATTTTTAAAACTTCATTAAGTCTCCTCTTAACCATCTCTGCTCCAAGGAGAATAATCCTGGCTTCTCTAGCCTCTCCTGATAACTGAAGCTCCTCATTCCTGGTACCATCCTGGTAAATCTCCTTTGCACCCTCTCCAATGCCTTGACATCCTTCCTAAAGTGTGTTTCCCAGAATTGAACACAGTACTCCAGCTGAGGCCTAACCAGTGTTTAAAAAGATTCATCATAACTTCTCTACTTTTGTATTCTATGCCCCTATTTATAAAGCCTAGTATCCCATATGCTTTTTTTAACAGCTTTATCTACCTGTCCTGCTACCTTCAAAGATTTACCTATATGAACCCACAGGTATATCTGTACCTCCACCCTCTTTAAGATTGTACCATCTAACTTATATTGCCTCTCCTCATTCGTCCTCCCAAAATGCACTTGAAGTTAAAATTTGAAGGCACTCTCCCAAGCAGGGGAGATGCTGCAGAAAACTGGATGACACATCATGTTTAAGAAGGCAAAACTGCTGGATACATCACTTCTATGTACTGTACCAAATGGAGTAAGGCTGGGTTACAAACAGATTGATATTGTGTAGTATGAGACCATCCTTTTTATATGCTCTCCCATATAATTGTTTATTTTGACCATTCTAAAACATGTTACATGCATTTGTGTGCTGAACAGAAATGTGACCATTTAGGTTTAATAGCACTTAAAGTTGATGTTCCAAACAGCAGAATTGTAAAATACTATGATTAAAAGTTACACTAGTTTGTCATTAAACATCTCATTTCATATTAAGTGTTACAGCAATCATTTTTTACTGAGTTCATTTTAATATATCAATTAAAAGTGAAACTTTAGTACATGCTGGATTTAAAAAATATCATTCTTTACCTTTTCTAATTTCTTTTAAAGTAGTGGAAAATTGTGAGAATAAGCTGCAGCTTTCCCAAATTTTACATTTAGAATGTTTTTAAAAAGTTGCGATTCAAATCAATTATTTTGAAAGTGAATGTGAATTCATGCAAGTAGTTGTAGATACCTGGAATTAAATGCAAGTTTAATTGTTATCTATTGTAAATTTGATTCTTGGTGCCTTAATGTAAACAAGATTAGTTTCTAAGAGGTGTTTTTCTTTAACCAAAGGATCAACACTCCAAGAAAACAAGGTGGCCTAGGACCAATGAAAATCCCACTGCTCTCAGATCTTACTCACCAAATAGCAAAAGACTATGGTGTGTATCTGGAGGACCAAGGACATACATTAAGGTATTTGTTTTAGAAAATCAGGTCTGGAAAATGTAATATGAATTTTCAGTCAACCATTATACTGGAGAAAGATATAAAAATGTGAAAAATGCAGAGCTGACTGGGGCTCACTAGGCATCTGTATCTAATTAGACTCCCAAACTCATGGGTACCTGCTCCTGTTTGAGTAAATTGAGCTGGTCCAAGACACTGAGCCCCTCCGAAACAGTAACATCAGCACAACAGTCTTGATGAAAGGAACTACAAACTATTACGGTGTATGACAGTCCAAACATATACAGTTGTAAAGTATACATTTCTACCCGTCATGGACATGTTATTGTAAGTTATTATTTTTCAGGGGCCTTTTCATTATTGATGACAAAGGAATACTAAGACAAATTACAATGAACGATCTTCCTGTGGGACGGTCAGTGGACGAAACTCTTCGTTTAGTTCAGGCATTCCAGTATACTGACAAGCATGGAGAAGGTGTGTATGCGTATCATTTGAAATCAATGTGTTATTTCAATCACTATTTTGATCTGGCAGATGTGAGCAAAAGGTAATAAAGATAAAATTGAAATGTAGTGTAAATCTAGTAGTTATAATTGTTTCAATGATCTAACAATGCATGTTTGATCTCCAGTTATCTTTCCTAACCTACATCCAGTTTATGACCAGTATGGCCTTCCTCCACCACATCGCTCACCTTCTCCCCTCTATTAGTCAAACACTGCTGAAACCATCAGTCATGCTTTTGTCAGCACCCTCCTCATTTTTTCCAATGCATTCCTTGCTGGTCACCCCACTTCACTATAAACAAGCTCCAGGTGATACAAAATGCTGCTGTCTGTGTCCTCACCTGAACTAGGCTCTGCACAGCCATCACCCCAGTTATTGTCAGGCTCCCTGCAAAACAGATTGATTTCAAGATTCTCCTTTAAAACACTTCACATCCTTGTAAGACCCTACCTCTCCAATCTGATTACATCCCACTGCCTTTGCTCAGCTGGCTCGGGTTTCAGCTTGTCCCTCATCCCCCCAGCTCCCATTGGCGGCCGAGTCTTCAGCCACTATCCCCCGAATCTCTGGATCTCTCGTTCTCAGTTCCTCCAACTTACCCCCTCTGCCCATCTTCAAATATCATGCTGAAGACTTTCCTTTTCTAACATGTTTTTGGTCACCTCTTTCCAGCTTGGCATCAAACTGCTATAAAGCGCTGTGAGACTCTACCCACAAAGGGTGCTACTTAAATACAAGTTGTTTTTATTGTATGTGACATATCTGATCTTTGTTCCACAGTTTGCCCTGCTGGTTGGAAACCTGGAAGTGATACAGTAAGACTGCCTCTTTGATTTAAAACTTCTTTTACTAACCTCATGACTTAAATGGCAACACTGTTTAGAGTTCAATTACTTTCATTGCTGCCTGTGCTAAATTGTAAGCAATCAGTAGTATTGCTTTATTTCTGACTGTTAGACATTTTCTGCCTGCATCAGGCTGAATGAGATTTTTTTTAAAAAAGCATATTGATTTTTTTTGGATCAGCTGTAGGTTTTGATGCACTTGTGACTTTCCCATTCTAGTTGCTGCAAGTTCACAAAGCAAACAGAAAAGTGCTAATCCTGGAGTATTGCCTTCTTGTCTGACAAATATTCAGTCAATGAGTCTACCACAGAGAGTTGGTTAACTCCTTTTTTTCTTCTTCCTTCCTTTCTCTACCAAGACGAGTTTGTTGCCTTGAAGTAGCTTAATCCCAGAGAAGCTGCTTACCTTTTCCCTTTTTTCTTGTCTCCTCTTCCCACCCCAGACAACTAGGATAGTCATAAACTGGTCAGCTGGCAAGTGCAGCTTTGAGCTTTTACTCGGTGGATGACTAGTACAACAACAAGATTCCATTTATAAAGCGCCTTTCACGTCAGGAGGACGTCCCAAGGCGCTGCACAGTTGGGTCATGACCCGAGCAGGGGGGAAATGGTCAGGGTGAGGGGAGGGAAGGAGGGAGCGAGGAGGGGGGAAATGGTCAGGGTGAGGGGAGGGAAGGGAGGGAGCGAGGAGGGGGAAGAGAGTCGAGAGAGGAGCTGAAGGCACGGTCAAAAAGAAAGGTTTTGAGACCGGCCTTGAAGGAGGAAAGGGAGGAGGCGGCAAAGGCACTGGGGGATAGAGTTCCAGAGCCTCGGGGCTGAGAGGCTGAAGGCCCGACCACCGATGGTAGGGCGATTGGGGCGGGGGATGTGGAGCCGACCGGAGCTGGAGGAACGGTGGGTACGGGCAGGTAGGTAGGGGGATAGTAGGTCAGAGAGGTAGGAGGGAACGAGGCCGTGGATGGCCTTATAGGTGAGGATGAGGATCTTGAAATCAATCCTCTGGGGGATGGGGAGCCAGTGGAGGCGAGCGAGGGTGGGAGTGATGTGGTCCCGAAGCCTGGTGCGGGACAGTACACGAGCTGCAGAGTTCTGAATGACCTGCAGCTTGTGGAGGGAGGTGCCGGGAAGGCCGGCGAGGAGAGAGTTCCCATAGTCCAGCCTTGAGGTGACAAAGGCGTGGACCAGGGTTTCAGCAGCGTGAGGGGTGAGGTAATGCCGTAGTCTGGCGATGTTCCGGAGGTGATGGAAGGCGGTGCCAGTTGTGGTGCGGATGTGAGGGAGAAAGGACAGCTCAGGGTCGAACAAAACGCCGAGGTTCCTGACTGGCTTTGAGAGGTGGAGAGTGCAGCCTTGGATGCTGAAAATAGTATAACTCCTGCTAAGTAGTATGGTGTTCGTGATCGGGCAGAGGATTTTTCCCCTTCTCGAGTCCAGCATTCCGCTGTCCTTTCACAGTGAGCAACACAGCTCCACATAATGTGTGTGTTGCTGATCTCCTCTAGGTCATACACTGTAACCCATTAAACAGTAAATCCACTAGTTGGAAGTGCAAAACTTTAGCATAGTTGCTGAGTACTCTAATTTAGTTTCTGTAATCATACCACTGATATATTTTAAATTAGATCAAACCAGAAGAGGTCATGAAAGAATGGTGGCCCCGAGATGAGTTGTGAGTAAACCCAATAGTATTGGGCTTGATTACAGATATTGTATAAGGCCAGAAACCTAGGTTGCGTGAAGCAATTAATTATCCTTTATTGGCATTTTCAGTACATTAGATAAATTATTTTTTCAGCATTAAATCATTTTCTTAAACGTGTTTAAATTTTTGTAATCTGCTCATATGACTCTTGCTTGTACAGAAATAATATTTTACAGATACTAAATTTTTTTTGAGAACTATGATTAAATATAATCTGAAATTAGTTTGTTTAGTATTTACTAAAATAATTTCTTCTGTGTTCGATACTGTAATTCTTAGTGAAGCTTTTTAAATTTATTCTTCAATCTTTACAAGCTCTTTGTGCTGACTTCAAGCTAAGTTGTCTGAGGTTCCATATTTAATTAAAAAGAATTCTATGAATCACCTTAAAAGCAAGTTTAGCCTAATTTTTAATGGTTATTTTTAACTTTATTTTAGTTCAGTAAGAATAATATTGTCCTAACTATGAACAAAGGATTCATGAATTGTATGTATTGCTGATGGAAACCATTATATTTAGGTAAACCTATAGATAGGGCAGTTCTCAAGCCAAAAAGCAAACTCTTTCTGCTTTGGGATGTCCTCCTGACATAAAAGGCTCTAATTTGTTGTTGCTTCATGTTTTTTTGAGACCAGTATCATCTGGCACCTGCGTAGCTTAGGGAAAGAACATTTGACAATCTGAAATCGTGTCTTTTTTTAAAAAAAAGTCGTAATTCAGTATGATTAGCACAATAAATTGACTTGCGTCTACAAATTCGATGAGCAATTTTGTGGCTGATTTTTAAAAAAAAATATTTTAAATGTCAGATTTTGACCTTCATTGACAATTTTGATTTATTGTGTGTTGCTGATATGCTGATGATGAATAAGAACAAGGGTCTTCCAAGGATGTTTGGGACGAACAGGTGTTTGACCTGAAAGCAACTTATTATTGTAAAAGTTTAGTCAATTGTGGGTAAACAGCAGTGGCAACAAGCAACCATTTTTTTGATGCAGACTATTTGTGGGTTTATTGAGTACTGAGTTTGATTTTGTTTTCTTTCCCTTTAGATAATTCCAGATCCATCAGGAAAACTGAAGTATTTTGATAAATTGACCGACTGAAAAAACAATCCAATGTAATTTCTAGTGTTTTTTATTATCCAGTTCATTACTCTTAATAAACTGGTTAATTATATCTGCCTTGTATGTTTTTCTTTAAATGCAATTTGTTTTAATTTTAAAATGATCACTGACACGAAGCCAACTGCCAAGAATGCAGGCGGAAACATAATACTTTGCATATGCAAACTGCTCCTGGTTCCTGAAATTGTTGTGTACAAGGTTATGGTTTAATCTCTTGCTCAGCTGGTTAATATTAATGCACTCAATTAAAAATGCTTCAAGTATCTTAAACATGTTGAGGTTTATGCTCTGCTTGATGGTAAACATTTAAAATTCATTTAGCAATTCATACTTGAGACCATTGTAAGCACATCTCGGCCAAATGTTCATGAATTTACTGACCGTGTTGAATAATAGTTGCCCCCAAAGGTCAGTAAATTTACTGATTAGAAAATCTTAAGTCTTTGGCATTTTTCTAACATGCATTTTGTTGATTTGTACATGCTAATCAAAATAACTGGATCCAAAATTTAAGTCTTCACTGAAGAATTTAACCACTTTTTAACCTGTAAGAATTCTACCCAGCGTATTTCTTAGAGGACTTGTGCCTTTAACAAACGGCATCTCTTGTTTGCATACCTCAAACAAAATGTCTTTCTCTGTCCTATTATCTCATAATAATATCCTGAACACTTTTGTATTTACATCCTGCCATCAGTCTTTTTTTTTTTTTAAAAAATCTTTACCTTGTCCCCTTGATCATTCTGTAGCTTTTTGCCAGTAGGGAAGGATATATCACCTGTCCTTAAAATATTTTTTAATTGTTTTAGTTCAATTTATGAATGTAGAGGAAAACTTGCTGTTACAGCAAGTACAAGAAACCTTTCCTTTAATAAACCTTGCCTCATTACCACCTCCTGAGGGTAAAGTCTAGTATAGTTATAGAAACTCCTTGAATACCCATGATAATGGAGGCAAAGCTCAAATATTCATATCACCCACATCTCTACTATTTGATCCTGGGTATAGCTCCAGGAATCATTAATGAGCTGTAACTGAATTAAATTCTTTTCTTTTATTCTGCAGCAGTGAATTAAATATTCCAATGAAACTAAATATTCAAGTTGGTCTCGGGAATCGAGGTATTGCTTAGTGTGTCTTATTTCAAATGTATAATGTTTTGTAACAAAAGTGCAGTATTAATCACACAAAGCTGGGACACTAATCCTAATGCTGTCAGTGCCTGGGATGTCCTCCTGATGTGAAAGGTGCTACATGAATGTAAATTTGTATTGTAGGATTTTATTGCATCTATGTAAGGGAATTAGTTGTTCACTTCCTGATATTAGTTTGTTGCTTCTAAGTTTAAAAAATATTCAACTATACTTGTATACTGTGAACGGGGAAGAATGTGTTGATTGTCTTCACAAATCATTGCCTTGGTTATTTCAAGCTTTACTTTAGCTAAATTTTTAGAACTGCCATGTACGTACAAGTTTTAAAATTTGTAATAAATGCATTTCTGACACTAGTTCAATTTGACAATATTCCCATGCAATGCACTTTAGAGATAATTAGCAACTGAACAATTTACTGTTACCCCCTCACCCTCCCCATCATCAGCTCCTACCACGACCCCCATGCTACATTCCTTCCTCTCCATCTCTCCTTCCTCCCTCTCACCCACCATCACCTCAATGAAACCCACCACCTGCAGCCTCGACCCCCTCCCCACCAACTTGCTGGTCATCCAGCTCCCCTGCCTCTGCCCACTACTGGCTGATGTCATCAACCAGTCCCTCTCCACCGGATCAATCCCTGCCCCTCTCAAAACTGCTATCATTACTCCGCTCCTCAAAAAACCTTCCCTAGATCCCTCAACCCCCAGCCACGACTGCCCTATTTCAAACCTGCCCTTCTTCGCAAAAGTCCTAGAACGCGTTGTTGAAAATCAACTCTGTACACACCTCCTCCCACTCCTTCTTCGAACCCCTCCAGTCCAGTTTCCGCCTGCCCACAGTACAGAGACTACGTTTGTGAAAGTCTCAAATGACATCCTCTCGATCTGTGACCAGGGTTCCCTCTGCCTCCTTGTCCTCCTGGACCTCTCCGTTGCTTTCAACACAGTCGATCACGCCATCCTCCTCCACCGCCTTTCCTCCGTCATCCACCTCAGTGGGACCGCACTCGCCTGGTTCGAGTCCTACCTCACGAAGCGCCAGCAGTACATCTGCACAAACGGCTTCTCCTCCTGCTCTCACCTGGTTACCTACGGGGTACCCCAAGGATCCATCCTTGGCCCCCTCCTCTTTCTGATCTACATGCTCCCTCTTGGGGATGTCATCTGCAGACTTGGGGTACACTTCCACATGTATGTGGACGATACCCAACTCTATTTTTCCACCTCACATTGTGACCCCCAGTCCCCTGTGAGGTGTGTTCTGTCAGTCTGCCTGTCTGACATCAGGAGTTGCATGAGTGCAAATTTCCTTCAGCTGAATGTTGACAAGACGGAAGCCATACTCTGGCTCTCATCAACATCTAAAATCACGTGGTTCTCACCTACCTAACCTCCCCTATAACTCTCCGAATTTGTACGCAACTTAGGGGTCAGGTTCGACCCCCAATTATCCTTCCTCCCCCATATCTGGTCCCTCACCAGCACCACTTCCTTCCACTTCCGACGCATTGCCCGTGTCTGCCAATACCTTACTCCAAAAGCCGCTGAAACCCTGGTCCATGTCTTTGTCACCTCTTGGCTGGACTATTCAAATGTCCTCCTCGCCGGTCTCCCCTCCCCGGCGTAGAGGACGCTATATAAATCCTTATTGCTGTTATCACATTTGGGAGAAGCTCTTTCGACTTGGGCTAACAATGAGTTTCTATTTTTCAAAGTTGAAAATTGCATAAGACATTTTGCTGGAGGAATTTATAGTAAAGCTCAAAGAAAAAACATATTTAGGGCAATTGCATCTTTTCTATTTATGATTGTACAAAATGCATCCAGAAAATATTCTGGAACATGTAAGTTAAATATACTACCACTGAAGACTAGGAAAGAACGTTGGGCACTATTGCTTTATGTGAAATAAATTTTGCAAAGTACATGTATCTGAGAAAAGCTAGAGATTTAGTTTCCATTCAATCTGATGTAAAATACAGGTTTTCACAAATTCCCTTGATTGATGCTTTATAGTGTCGTTTTCCATCCAAATAAAGCATAGATTCTGAAAACAAAAGTCAAACATTAAAATACATTTTTAAATATGAAGTAATGTTATCTGGAACTAGCTCAGGGTGAATTTTAAAGTTTTTGACCAATTCATCTGTGCTTTGAGTCTATATCATGAATTATGCCAATAATACTGAACTATCTCTGCTTCTACCATTCCTGTTTTGAACACCTATTATTGAACTTGCAAGTCATGAATGAACATTAACTTTCTTCAGCTGAGAATTCTTTCACATACTGTAGTGGGTATTCTATTATGAACTCAGATTCCTGTAGAAAATCAGGAACTGGAGCTCACAATTAGTCCAGGCTTGTATTACTTCCAATAATATAATAATCCATGCATTTGATATAGTGCTTCACACAATGGAGACGTCTCAAAGTGCTTTACAGAATATATTAAGTGAATTGACTATTTTTTGGGCAAAACTTAGTTTTAATATCTCAACAAACATAATTTTCTATAGATTTCTAGAGAATTGCTTTCCCTCTCTCTCCACACCCCCGAAAATATATTACCTCCATATGTTTTGGGGAAAACCTTCGGCGCTTCTTTATCAGAGGAGAAAGTAAAATGGAAGACATTGGTTGTCTTGCGCTCCAGCGTCAATGGATCGACAACTTCACTGTGCACTCTGATCTGAATGAAATTCCTTTCAGTGTAACAAACCTGTGCAAAATATGATATAGTGTCAATTACAATATATCTATGAAATCACAATATTCTTTAATCAGATAATAGTGATTACCTAAGCACACTGAAGAGTCAGCCAAAGATATGTAGATTCAATGTGTAATGAAGTAATTCAATCATTGCTACAGTGGAAGATCAACAACAACAAAATTATATTTGTATAGCGCCTTTCACGTCGGGAGGACGTCCCAAGGCGCTGGACGGACAGAGTTTCAGACCCGAGCTGAGCGTCAGCGTAGGGGAGGGCGGGGGGGAAGCAGGGAGATCAAAAGCAAGATAGAAGAGGATGGTCTTGAGGTGGGTCTTGAAGGTGGCGAGGGAGGGGGCGAAATGGAGGGACTGTGGGATGGAGTTCCAGAAGGTGGGTACAGAGAGGCGAAAGGCCTGCCCACCGATAGTGGGGTGAGCAAGGCGGGGGACGTGAAGTCGGCCGGAGGCTGCTGAGCGGAGGGAGCGAACAGGGTGGTAGAGTTCTGGATGATCTGCAGCCTGTGGAGGGAGGAGTTTAAGGCGTGTATGATACTGGGTCTGTAAAATGCAAGCGCTACAGTCGAGATTAAAAATGAGGATCTGAATTGTCACCATCCCAAGGCATCTGCAGCTATTCAAGATGCACAAACAAAGAATGCTTCAAATGTAACACTTTATGCTCATGAAGCTTGAACAGACAGAGGTGGCCAATACCAAAACCTTGATAATGTATAATGTGTGCCCATTTTATGTGGGGCATTGTTACAGTGTTTTATTGCCAGATCTATCCCCAGTCTGTCCAATTTAGCACAATCATTAATGAGACAGCCTGCCTGGGCTGCTTTTGATTCTGCAGTCACATAGATCACAGTATTTCAGTGATTTGGGGAATAACTCAACTACAAAGGTATTCTGCAAACCAGCACTGAAATGCTTGGATCTGCTGGATACAAAGCTCAATGGCTGTAGAAATCCTGGGCAAAACTATTTTATGACAGTTGGGGAATGTTCTCCTGCAGAAGTTATTATAGGGACATCTCCAAGAGCATAGTGTGATCACATTAAATAAATTTTTCATTTCACAAGATGATGAATTTTATCATATCCGCAATAATTAAGAATCATCTAAATATAACTGCACACTGTTATTCATTAAGCCTATTAAATCATTTTGTACTGAAATTGCATTTGACATTACCTGTGATGAGAGATATAGCAGAGAACCGATCTCAACTGGTCTGTGAAACAGGATATTATCAACAAATACCTCAGAAGGTCTTGATTTTCTGAAAATAAACAAAACAGAATGCTCTCAAAATTGATTATTTCAGAATTACAACAACATATTATTCAGATGAACCTTAAACACTTTAACATCAATTGGCTCTGGAATATTCACTATTTTCCACTCTGGGATTTTCTGTTAGAAACTGTCCCACTTTTGTAAATATAAAATTGAGTTTTCCTAACTGATTTAGCTTTACTTTATCTGGACTCTGATAAATACATTAAAATAATATATACATCTTTGGTGAGAGAATCTTATCTTTACCCACTGTCACGGTTACCCTGTTCTTGCAGTCTTTTGTAATGTGTAAATAATATGTATATATAAACTATATACCATTTAAGGGAAATGGGGAGGCCTGTCCCTTTAAATTGATCCTGTAAGATTCCAAGTTGCGGAAGCTGTTTGCAGCACAGAGTTAGTAAGCAGCAAACACGAGTTACAGCAATGCAAAGGTCCAGGATTGCTTGATTGACAGTCAGAGTAAAATAACACGTGGACCCTAGCGCGGCAAAAAAAAACACCTCACATTCGCATCATACGGTGGATGGAGCCACGCACTTATATAAAGCACTACTCGGCGCTTGCAATCACTATCTAATAGTCGTCATCCGGTATATAGTGACGTGTACAGGTTTACTGTGCAGTCAGGGTTAGTTTCATCTTCCTTCACTAATGTAGTATTGTGCTGCCAGTTGTTATAGTTATGCGTGATAGTTATGTTTGATGCTATTGTTGTATATCTTCCATTGTTGTGTTCCTCATATGCAGGGTAACCTAGGGTTGCTAGGTTTTAATAAAGAGCTGTTGTTTTCACCAAATGTATCCTCGAGTCTCTAGTATTCTAGACAAGAAAAGGAGTAAGCACTTCAGAGGGTCGTTGTCAACATTCCAGGTTTACTAGTGCGAGCAGACTCCGATTAGACAGTCCAGTTACCGGGCATTGGGGTTAACTGGGAATTGGTTGAGTCATCTTTGAAATAGGGACTTCCACCGGCAGGGATAGAAGAGAAACAGAGGCCACTTAGTACAAAAGCATTAATAAAATTTGCACGTACATCAAGGGGTGAGAACCGTCGCACCACTCTGCAATACACATATTTAGCAATGAACCAGATTTAATTACTTACATATACATACAAGCATTTGCCCATGACAGCTCAAAGGCTTTCTTCATCAGAAACCCACCAAAGATATTTCGGTGAATGCTGTGCTCCTGGGTTTTAGAAAAATAAATTAAATTACTGTTCAATCTTATACTTCTAAATAATATTAAGTTATTTCTTTATATATACATCAGTAATACAAATGCAATTATACTTGAAGCACTAAAACCGAGTTGATCGATTTTGCAATGTAGAATTGATTAGGTTATTTAAAAGAGAGATGTGTATGCTTGGGATGTTAAAGATATTAAGGGGTATAAAGAAAAGGCAGGGGAATTGGATTGAAGGATTTGTCATGATCCAATCAAATGCTGCAGCAGTATGACAAGCTTCTCCTGTTCCTATGTTCCTATACATTACAAGAAATACAAGATGCTTAATATCGGTATTTCTTTATAGATTCAACTTGTTTTTTTAGCTGTGAAGGCTTGCAGAAAAGATAAACAACACCAAGATATTAATTTTCCTCCTGCAAGTAGATTATCATATACATAGAATCATAGAATGTTAGAGCATAGAAACATGCTATTCAAGTCTGCCCTGGTGTTTTTCTCAACGTAAGTCGTCCAATCTGTTAATCGCTTAATCTCCACTCTTTGCTCCCATACTATTTAAGATATTTCTTTTTCAAGCATCTACCTAGAATCATAAAAATTTACAGCGCAGAGTAGGACATTTAGCAAATTGAGTCTGCATTGGCTCTCAAAGCAAATTCGCTTTTATGTATTTGACATTTTTGGTAAAGACAACTGATAAAGTGAAAAATAAAGTGTTTAACAGACACAAAAGCAGAATATTTCTTAGCTGCTGGCAAATATTAATACCATTCAAAAATAACATAATTGGGATAGTTGTGTGACTTTATGTTAATACAAATCAAGCCTTCTGATATTACTTTAATCCATCGCTGCCAATTAAATAAAACCAGTTATTAACTAAGCCTTGATATCGCCCTCACTATAAGTCATTCTTGGATCACACTGTGATGCTGCCGAAAGGCAGTGAATCTTTGTATTCTATCTACTATCCTCCCCACGTGAAAGGCACTATACAAATATAATTTTGCATTGCATTTTGTATTGTATCTGTCTACTGAGATCGATTCCCGGCTGGGCAAAACTTTGGGCAAGTTTCCTTAATCCACACCCCTCTATTTGCCTAGCAGTAAGTAGGAATCTGGTTGTTAGTCGATTGGCAAATCGCTTTTCTGGGGATCATAATTCCTTCAAAATGAATAAAAATACTTTGGTCACTCAATCCACTACTTTTTGTGGGACATTGCTGTTCACAATTGGCTACCGCGTTTCTTCCACAAAATATACAGTTGATTCACTTGTGACAATGTATTCTGTGATGCTCTTTAAGAGGTCTCTAAGACGTGATAAGGTGCTATATCAAATGCAAGGATTATTATTATTACTACTACCTTTGGATGACACATCTCCAGACTTTTTAGTCTTGTATCTTCCATCCACTTTGCATTCTGTGGCAAGATCCGACCAGAAAAGCTTACTGTTCTAAGAATAAACGTTTTTTTAAAAAAAATACAAGATCACAAGATCGGTTCAGATGAAGTTGACCCTTCAGCCCATGTGATCTCATCCTTCCAGGGTACCCACCCTACCACCTTCCCACCACAGCTTCAAGCTGTTTTTTTTTATTTTCTTTTTTTTTTTCTTTTTTTTTTAGCGTCCTGGCTTGAACCACACTTCCTGGCATTAATTACCCTTTGGGTAAAGAAAGACTTTCTGGTACATGTGCTGAAATTGCCCTTTGGTAACACTAAACCAGGTCCACTTTGTGCATCCCAAAATACTGTTCTGGATTTACTTTTTCAATACTTTTTCATGTAAAATTTTTATATATGTCTATAAGGTCCCCTCTGAGATATCTCCTGTCAAGAATAAAGAGCTCTTGCTTGTTGTTGCTCATAGCTCATTCCTCTAACATTTGTTGCCCTCAACAGGGATGCACACAAGTAAATCTGCATAGTTACACCTGCACTTATTTGCCCACAGTTTTCCACTAGCATTGATTTAGCTTATTTAAGACTGTGAACAAACTGTTAGTACTGCTGCTCTGTCATTGACTAAGCCACTTTCAAAACAAATGCCATCCTTTAGGTATGGTGTTAAACTGAGGTCGCATTTGGCACACTGTAAACTGGGCTTACCTTGGATCCAAAGTATGAAGAAATAATTCATGTATAATTTTTCTTTCTTCTTCATTAGGTGCCTTTCTCAGTAGGGAGGTCTCCTTTAGACTAATACGCCTTCTTTTATTCACTGGGGAAATTAGATGACTATTAATATTTATCAAAATCTACTGCATTTTTCAGATGTATTCTGATCTTCTACTGAACAAAATTACACAGCTAGAATATATATATAAAGTCTGTCTGCAATTAGCTTTTCCAACAAAACTATAACATCATAAACTATATCCAACATCAACAACAAATTACTTTTTTAAAACGCCTTTACATCCGGAGGACATCCCAAAGCGTTCTACGCCTTAAAGCTCCTGTAAATTTTGAAATGCTTAAATACCATTTGACATCCCACTGATATGTTTAGATTTTAAACTGTGTGATTGGGGTTGATTTAACGTTAGTTTGATATTGATCACATTGTATGTTTCCAGAGTTCTTTGTCTTAAAGGCCAATATCTCATGACCTTGTATAAGTCACAATCCACAATTTGAATATTGTGGCCCACCATTTAGAATGGCATTGGATATATGTCCCTGATACATCCGAGTAGTATAATGCATTGTTATAGCAATAATAAGAAGAATCTCCATTTGATATATTTCACATCAGGAGTATGTCTCAAAGTGCTGCACAGGATTTTACTGTAAAGTGTAAATTTGTAGACAGTGCCAAGCTTTGAGCTAAGATATTTTAGATATTAAGTCACATTTTTTAATTTTATATTTCTTGTCACAGTTTTGTTTTGAACTACCCAGAGCAGGAAGGGGCTGAGTTGGTATGGTTGAAAACACAATATGTGCCCGCTGGAGAGGAACCCAGTTTCTGGATTCCACCAGGATACGTTTCTCCCTGCTGCAGAGTTGGTGCTGACCTTGACCTGATTTTCTGCAGGCTTTTTCACTCCTGAACTCAGCAACTCTCAGACTTTCCCTCCAATAATATGAGGAGGTTTACAGGAGACTGATCAGGCCTCTTTCTGGAAGGCTCCTTGTCTTTGGACGCTTGTCTCCTATCCCAAAATGTAAAAGTGGTAATGTAGGAGAGACCTAGGTTTGATTCCCAGCAGAGCGAAATTACTCCACGCGCCTCTGTTTACCTAGCAGTAAGTAGGAACCCAGGTGTTAGTGGATTGGCGGATCGATTTTCCGGGGGTAATAATTCCTTTTAAAAAAATAATAATAATAAATTGGTCATTTCAATCCACGACTGTTTGTGGGATACTGCTGTGTGCAATTGTCTGCTGTGTTTTACCCACAAAATATACAGTCAATTCATTTTACAGTATATTCTGTGAAGTGCTTTGAGACGTCTCAAAGATGTGATAAAGCGCTATATCCAATACAAAGATTATTATTATCTTTGATCTTGGATACTGGTACTGATAATGTGTTCATTTCTGTAATCTTTATCCATTTATGTTTTTGCCTTCTAATTGCCAACTATTCACAAACATTGAGTGGTATCAGTGTGTTCCTTGTGTCTCTGTGGCTGAATCTAGATTTGTAATAATTATTTATCAATAACAGAAGAAAAAAAGACTTACATTGTCCTTTTCTAAAAATATCTTCCTCTGCTTTATTTTCAAGTTTCAGTGGATTAACATATGCTGCTCTGTAAGAGGGAAAGGACATGATCAGTAAGCAAAGCCCCTATTACAATTAATTAATATTAACCATTAATAATCACTAATTAATATTATTGATTAATTATTAATTAATGGCCCATGCTCAGAAAGGCCCTTCAGTGGTGAGCTGGCTATATGGGAAATCAGGAAATTTTATTATTATTGTTTTTAGTTTACTTTCTCAATCCCATGTATAGCATTTTATTTACCTCTACACGGTTCCCTTTGTCAATGGAAGCTCCACATAATAGACTAGGTTGTGCATCATCTTTGGGAAAAGCTGGCTTGATAGACCAAGTGGCTTTTACTCCGTCTGTGCTTTTTATGTAATATTAATAGGTAATGTAATCACCTTTGATTTTCTGTGTCTCTTGCCACCAACAGGAAAGTAGCATCTAGTACAAGATTGAAGTTGCCATCGCAATACTTGAAACAGAAAAGCACAATTAAATGATAAGCTCTTTGTCTCCACCAGTTTTCTTACAAAGATTCATAGCTGAAACATTAACCTCTCATCTTTTACCCACTGTGTATTTCTAGCAATTTCCGATCCCATTGCAAGTAAGTTTGCTTATTTATTTTTACTACTTTCATTTCTCTAGATATTATTTAACAAGTCTTATTTAAACACCAAAGATCAGATTACTTTTACGAACTGCAGAAAATTAACTTCTAAATTAAGAAAAAATTAAGAATTTTCAAAACATTTTCCAAATTTTGTTTAATCTTAAATCTTAAAACAAAATGGTCGTTCAGGTGGAATTTTTGGTCTATTGAATCTTAAGATAATTATTCACATTTTTCACTAATTTCCTGGTACTATACATTGAGCACGTAAATTTGACTTGTTTACCATTTGTTTTTAATTAACATTACAATCAATGCATTCCAGATTTATGTCCTTTTGGCTTACTTTGTTACAATCATCTCATAAAAATCATAGACATTTCAGCACAAAAGGCCATTAAGTCCTCTGTACCTGTGCTCTACTGGTGCCCTTACTTAGCTACCAACTCTAATCCTAGTTCCACACAGTGTTTTTTCTCTTATCAATCTTCAAATGTTCATTTAATTCCCCTTTAAATTTCATAATTGACTTGATTATTCAAGATATGATATTCTTACATCGTCCCGACATTAACTTTATGCTGTTGGATGAAAGAATCATCGTATTTGCAAGTGAAAGTTTCAAACATTGAGGAAGAATACATAATTTTCCAAGAATTGTTATCCAACACTTTGGAAATTGAGAATAAAAACACAAACCATAAAAGGGGAAAATCCTAATTTAAAGCTGGTGAAAACTAATACCAGGGTGAACCACCAGGTGTCAGAGCAAGGTAAGGTCTCTTTCCGTTTCCGGTCTATTCTGTATTTAATTATTTCTTTCCCAGCATTGATTTGCTGAGGAGTGGGGGAGGGATGCAAAATCTGTGCTGTACTCAACCAAAAATTAATTTCAATTGAGCAGCCTGGAGCCATTATGTTGTGGTGAACGAGAGTCAAGGGTTGCATGTATCTTAAATTACGAAACTTTGAACCTGATGTAAGGTTTAAAATCTACAATGTAAAACTTGCCCACTTTAGATCAAAAAGATGGCAGTTGCTAGAATCTGAAAAGGAAGGAGCCACTTTTAATTTTGGTCAGGCGGGTGTCTGACACATGCGGAAACCCATCACCGTGCTTAAGAGTATCCAAACCAAGCTGAGGATTCCATGTATCCCACCTGCGGATGGGAATTCCTGAGATAAATTGCTGGAATAGAATGCACACTCTCTCCTGGGGGGATGCATCCTGCTTACCTAATTCTGGAAAGTATTAGGCGCAGTTTTGCAAGAGCCAAGGTTTTGGGACCCCAGAGCGTGCGCTGGGGTATTGCTGGAGTCTAACCAGCTAAAACCGCACAGCTTGCCATTGATATTGCAAGCTTTTCTGCAACTTGTCCAGCTAGGACCTAGAGAGAGGTGCACTCTGACCTGGTGCTTTATGTTGTCATTACTTTACTACAGTATTAAAAAGGGAATACAACAAATTTTAGTCCACATTTTGTAAATAAAGAATCCAACTTTTGTTCTTCAATGAAATGTGAACATTTTACAAAATTATCTAACCTGAGACATATGCATCAGGACTTCTATCGATGAGCTTCCCACCCAGGTGACATTACCAGTGAATTTAATATCACTGTCTGGAAGGATAGTCTTTTTCTGCAAATCTGAAAACCAATATGTTGCAAGAGAATGTAAAGCGATTGATTGACAGACATTACAACAAAAGACAATTAAATGCCTAATTGCTTATTTGCTCAAATGTTCTGTATTTGAGAGCTTCAGGATTGTTCTAACAAAATATGTTAATGTGACGACAACTTCCTTCGTCTACTTTTCCATAAAGATGGGTGATGGCACAATAATTCCTAACCAAACAATAAAGAAAAATCTGTTTAATATTCTAAGTCATTCACATCACTCCTCATTTTGGTTTACAACTTTATCTTCACAAATAGAATTAGCTGAAGAGACTAGACCATCATAATTTGTTAAATCAGGTACTGGATGCAAGATTGAATGAATGATGGGAATACATTCTAAATGGAAAATTATTAAGCGAGGTAGATGAGCAAAGAGATCTTGAAGCCCATGAACACAAGTTGCTAAAATCTAATTTGCAGGCAAATGTAGGTATAGTCATCTACATACTTTGGATACAATACAGTCTTCACTACACATAGAGTATTCATCCCTTCTGAGTGAGATGCACTTAGGAAATTTTCCCTTTAAATGTTAATCCTGTTTAGGAATCCTTCCATCACTCATCTGTACATCTAATCTTGCTCTAAAACATATCCTTAGCATATTGCCAACAAAACATACAGTTAAATATTAAGTACTAGATGTTCTATCACAAGATGCCATAAAGAGAGATAGAGAGGGAGCCATTAATGCTTGTGGGTGGACACTGTAGTGCATTCTTGCATAACCATCAAATCTCTGCAAACAACTACAATATATCAATTTAATGGAACAAAACATGTTGTTGGCTTCTGATAAATTCACCATAACTCACAAAGATAAGCTTTAGGCTTGTCAAAGTGAGGTGTGTTAGTTTTTAATTATATTATACGAGCTATACTAGCTTCGCTTGCAACCAAAGGATCCAATATGGAGTATAGATTGACACACAGACATACAGATACACTTGATTATCCTCGACAGGTTTGATTTTGGCTTAGGCCAAATTAGTGTGTGAAATAATAATAATATTATTATTATTATTATTAGGCATCTTTATATTAATAAATGTAAATGTATAATTTATCATCACTGGGAAATTCTCCCGACTTGAAAGGCGCTTTAAAAATATAATTTTGTTGTTGTTGCCGCGGCTTAGCTTCATCTGCGTTCTTTATTTTGTTCCCGCCGCCACTTGGCTACGTGCGTGCTCTGTAATGCAGGATGCCACAGTGCCACGGTCAGCCGGCGTGGCCACCAGGTGTAACTGCATGATGCCACATAGCCACTCTGACTCGGCGGCCACCAGGTGTAACTGCAGCAGAAAACACAAAACCGAAATACATTTTAGGTCATAACTCATCAACGATAGGAGATACCCGAAAACAAATATGCCCATGTCACTCCCAGTGCAGGACTTTTTCGATGAGGTATAAGTCATGTCTCTACGTCAATCAGTTATTGAGATCCTTCTTGAAGCGCAGACAGACAGACATTGTGGTTTTATTAGTTATATTATATTCGCACAAAAAATATGTAGTCATTCACTTTACAATATATTTCTGTGAAGAGATTTGAGATGTCTCAATGACGTGATAAGGCACTATATCAAATATGTTACTATTACAATTATATGATGAATAGTGAACCCATCTGTACGTCATGTTCATTAAATCTCGAAGTTTGGTCCAAATGACAATAAATCCACAATTTAAAAACTAACGCACTTCACTTTTACAAGCATAAATTCACGCTTTTTTTTAAAAAGACATCAACATACCTATCTTCTCAACAAGTGCAGTAATAATAAGAAGAGGGGTTCTTGAATATTCTTCATTTTTGGTGTGGAGATAAGCTATTAAAACTGTTTTTTTAGGAAAAAGACATACTTGTTAAAAGTTAAGGCAACCAACTATTGAAATAGAACCATTCATCATCAATAATTAGGAAACAATCTAGGTCACCTTTGAAGAATTTAAAATTGTACAATGTTTACAGCACTGAAAGAGGCTGTCCTAAGATTTACTGCAACAGAGTCTAATGTAGGAATGATCAATTTGTCTTTAAAAACACATGAAAAATAAAAGATAAGAAATATTGCAGTGATGCTTACATCTGAAACAACAAGTCCAAAAGTAATTTATATAACACCTTTCACACTAGATAATATCTTGGTGCCTGAGTTTAAAAAAAAGTATTTAAAATAGTATTTAATAATCCTTGCATTTGATATAGCACAGCATCAAGTTACAAGGAAGCTCGTAAGCAGATATCTGACAGATCCAACCATCTGTCCGTCAGATAGCTGATGAGGAAACTCTGAGGCTTGGGGCAACAGCTACTGGAAAGCGTGACCGAAAAACATGGAAATTTGGATATTTTAGTAGGGAAATTATTAAAAAGAGATTTACCTCCAATCAAATCAAGATCTTCGAGGATTGCACCAAATCTGGTTAAAGAAAAATGGGGGTAGGATTCAATTTCATTATGATGTGCAATAAACAGTTTAAACCGTATGCATGCTCTGTATGTAAAACAGTTACTGCACCTTACACAGTTAAATACATTAAGATACATTTTTCTTAGCTGTGGCTGGGTTCCAAGGGGTAGGTACACTTCTACATAACTGTCTTTCATTCGACGAAATGGCAAGTCTTCCTGTTTTCCAACCAATAAGGAACTTAATGCAGCATTTTCATCTGTATCCTCAAAATGTTTACTGAAAAGAAAGTGTAAGCATGAGAGAAACTCGAAAGGTAACCACTTGTTATGGGTAACCCCACCCCTATAAAAGACTGTCCAGAGAATACTGCAAATAAAATTAGAGGGAAGCTATCAGCCTGGCTCAGCACAATCAGGTCTGAGTCAGAAGATTGTGGGTTCAAGCCCCACATCAGACTTTGAGCTGATAATCATGGCTGACTCTCCAATGTAATAATAATAATTATTATGTAATAATAATAATAATCCTTGCATTTGTTATAGAGCTTTTCACGTCGGGAGGACGTCCCAAAACGCTTCACAGAACACACTGTAAAGTGAATTGACTGTGTATTTGTGGGCGAACGCAGCAGCCAATTGTGCACAGCAATGTCCCCAAACAGTCGTAGATTGAAAATGATCAATTTATTATTGTTTTAACCAATTTATTATTGTTTTATGTAGTGCTGGAGAATGTTGCATTGTCAAAGACACTTGTGTAGATAATGAGTTGCTTGATGCAGCAAACATAGGGGTATGAGAGGGGAAATAGCTGCACAACCACTAGCTATCTCCTGAAGGTTATCCTGCTCACAGGGTCAGCAAGAAAACTTCCTGGGGGAAGCGGACATTTCCAGCAGGTGCATTTTGATCAGCCAATGGATGTTGAGGTTTATTCAAGCTTGCACTCAGGTCCAAAACATCACAGGGAATGGACTCCAGAACATCAAGGTGGCTGGCATATCACAAGCTGCCTGTAAAAATCCTCCAACCAGGCTAAGGCAGATGTCCTTTGAACTCTATTTGTTGCATTTGTTGGTGCAATGGCAAGTTTTCCATATTGTACCACACCTTACCCTCTTTATCTTATCATTAGAAATTACCCAAGCTACTTTTTACAGTTAAAGTTGGAGGAGTCAACTTACCTCCAGTCTTTAAATGTACCGGTGATGTTTAGTATTTTATCTCGAACTGAAGAAACAAACAAAAAGAAATAACTTGTTCTTTTGAATTAACCTCAAGATTTGATATAACTGTAACATTTATTTAATTTCCGTGGATATTAATGTCACTAAAAATAAAGTCCCATAATTTGCAATTTGCAAAAGATATTTACCAAAAAAAGGTTGAAACCAAAAGAATATTCTACAAATCAGCGTCTTCAAATATTTTATATAAGGTGCACATTATCCATCCAATTCGCTCCACTGAACATTCATTAACTGGCTCAGTGGAGATTTAATTGTTTTTAACTTATTTTAAGACAGTAAATCTAGTATTGAATTTATGCTGCCACTCACCATTGTGTACGAATATTTTAGAATGCCCTGTGTGTTAGATACATGCAAGTTATTAAACATCTTGTATAAATTATATTTTTAAAATTAAAAACAATTATTTTAAAGGTCTGCAGTGCATAATATAACGCTTAACAATGTAACTAAATCTCCTAAACATATTGGAGTGAAAATTGATGTGTTAATGTTGTGTGAATGATTGATGTGAAAATGAAAATTGAGGTGTATAATTTATCAATTAAATTAAAATATGAAGCTTCCATGAATTAACACAGGAGAAAGCATAAACTTTTATATTTTCAGTTACTCAAATATCGGTATTTCTTATTCACAGTAAAGCCTCATATTTATTATTATACAGTAAAATTGCAAAAAATAATATAAAAATTATTTAAAGCATTTAAAGCATTTAAAAATGCTGCTCTTTAGTTGTCACCAAGTAAAAGTAAAAGAATATACTATATTATGTTATTATTTTATTGATACGAATATTAATTAATACCTTTAGCTAATTCAGGACAACAACCCTTGGACTGCAAACTTCCTGATAGAGATGTATATGTCCTGGAGAGAATGGAAGGTCCACTGTACAAAGTCCGAAACCTAAACAAAGAAGAAAAATTAGAGCTGACTGTTTTTGTCTGTTTTACAAACCAAAATAGAGACACATTCCTTTATTCTCAATGATAGTGACTGAAAGCCCAGCTGCCAATGGTGTTTTGGAGGGTGTGAGGAACATGCAACAGACTGGCATTTGTGGAGCAAAGGGAGTGGGCAGGAAAATGGGGCTGGATCAGATTGCAGAGATAGGGTGGGGAAAAGATATGGAGGGATTTGAATTTCAGCACAGGGATTTTAGTCTATCTTGAAGCAAGGCACTAATCAACACTCTCTGCGTGGACTAAGAACCAAAATTGCAAAATAACCTTTCAAAAAAAGCTTCCCTCTCCTGTACTAGTACCTGACACCGCAATACCAAATGCGGGTGATGCAACGGGACCTACCTCAGTGACAGATGCATGGTGTTGAGCCAGGGTCGAGCTGCAGGTAAAGTTATTGCATTGAGCAGACTCGAGCTGCTGCCATGTAGCTGTCACTGTCTCCAGGCAACGCCAACCTTCAACTAATCTCACAATGCATCTCATTGTTACATCAATGGGCTAAAATCCTACCATAGAAGTTGCGAAGAGTCTGTCAATCCGAACTCAGGCATAATAATAATAATAATAATAATAACAATAATAATAATAATATTAATAACAATTCTTGCATTTGATGTAGCGCCTTATCACATCTTTGAGATGTCTCCAAGTGCTTCACAGAATATACTGTAAAGTGAATGGACTGTATATTTTGTGGTCGAAACACGGCAGCCAATTGCACACTTCAGTGTCCCACAAATAGTGGTGGATTGAGTGACCAATTTTTTTTTAAGGGATTATTATTGGTTTTCTTACTGGCCAAAATGGGAGAATTATTAGAGGTTGCAATCCTTCTTAAAACACCCTGTTTCAGCGATTAAATTATAGTGGCTTGCACATATGCGTCAACTTCCTGAGGAAAGCAATATTGCTTCTGCGGATGTGAATGATCTTCTCCAATGATGTTAACCTGTCCTGCTAACTTTCCACAATCATGTCTGAGATTTGCGGAAACAATATTATTAGTGGTTAGCATGTTAGCAATGTTAACATTGTCATAGTTAACACTTCCTTTCAGTCATACGCCTCGGTTTTCTTAATCGCATAAACAGCTCCATGATATGTTATTTTATTCCAAGTATATGTGCCAGGTTTGGGACTCTTAATTGGCCATAGTAGTTTATTTGCCAAATCAATTATCAAATGATATTTGTCCATCAGATTTGCACAAATAATGTTTAAATTGTCTGGAGTGTTCACCAAAATATGTGGCCATTTTATTTCTGAATGTTCCATTTGAAGTGGAATTGGAATTGATTCCATCCCGTATTGACAATTGCCTGTAAACCCACCTAATTGAGTAACTCTTTTAGATGCAAACTGCGAATTTTGTGGGACTTTTTCACGTATAGCAGTTCAAGAAGCACCAGTGTCCAATAAAAATAGTTTACAATGGCCTCTTATTCCAACATTAATACATGGTCTTCCATGATTATCAATTTCTACTGGGCACATTATCTCAGTGGAGGCCTCCGATTGTCAATCAAGCCCTCCATGAACTCCATCTCCTCCCTGTATGTTATACATCGGAAGGACACCAGGTGCTGCAGTTGCCTGACTTTGAAAAGCTTTCATTTCACTTTGCAGCTTTCTGATTTCTGCAACCATGTCTTTTAGATCCAAACCAGTACTTTTCTCGTCATGTCTACAATATTTTGTCATATGTCCAATTTTTACCACAATTCTAACATTCTATTTTGGATCTACAATCAGGACTAATGTGTCCCTTTTTACCACAAGTTTGACATTCTACATCTTTACACTCAGACCTGATATGTCCTGGTTTTCCACAATGGTAACAAACCACTCGTGTCTTTGCACCTACGGTTTCTCCCTTTTCTTTGCGCGGAAATTTGGCTTTCCCTTACCACGTTGTGAAGGGCCCTCATTTTTCCACATCTCTTTAGGTTTATTTTCCACTAATGTGGCTACTTAACTTTTTAAATTTTCTCTCTCACCCTGTCTTGCCTCCCACTTCATTATTTTCCTTGTGATCCATTTCTCATTATGGTCCTCATTTTCCCTATCCCAGCTTTCTTTGAAACTAGCCTTATAAGGTGGTAGGAATGGCTAATAATCACTTTGTGCCACCTTTCTGTAAAGTATTCCAGACCACTACGATCTAATCCTGGACCAAATGTTCAGTTGAATGCTTCCCATAATCTGTCTATCTAACAATTAGAATGTCCATCTGGTGTCTGTCTACACTTGTGCAATGCTGTACTCGGATCTCCTCTATCATATCCTACAGCATTTAAGATGTTTCTTTTTAAGTCGTTTAGATCGCTTTTCCCATATTTCATGTCCAATGGTAAAGTATTAAAAATTGATAATGTATCTACTAATGACCTAAAATATTCTGTGTCATCACATGTATTCTGTATTGACACATGTTCTACCTGGTTGAAATGACAGTATGCATTTGGTTTTCGTGTTGTATGCTATTCTCATTTTAGCTCACTCTTGTTCTGCATCACCTTCACCCTTCACTTTGTGTTGAATGACTGGATGCAATGGCAAAGGTTTTTTCTTTTCATTTTCCCTATTTTGTCCCTCATATACCTCTTCTTGATAACTAACTAGTTTCTCTTCCAACTCCTGTATCTTTGCTTGTTTAAGCCGCATTGGAGTTTCTTTCAATTCATGATGAGTTTTAGGTTCACTACCCTTCACACTAACCCTTTATTTTTTAATGCATCACAAAGCCTTCCACCCATCTCAATTACTTGTTAGTTTGTCCTGTAAAAGCTCCTCCTGCTCTTTTTCCATAATATGCCTAAGTTTGCTGATGATATCTTCACTGAGTTCTTTCACTTTAACTTCTGCTTCTCTGGCCAGTGCATTCTGAAGTTCAAGTTCTCACGCTTTGACTTCGGACTCTCTATCACATCTTTTCTTGTCAAAAAACAAGTAAATGAGAGAGAGGACAGAGCCAATGACGTAAATAGAGGACCCCATGATCATTAGCCACGAAATGGGATCAGACAATATCTGATAATGTATCCAATTATACAGGACATAATATTGGTTGGCTGGTATAACTGCCATGTCTCAGTATAATTAACACCACCCCACCAGTATACACCAAAAGTCAATCTCCAACTCACTAAACTTATCAAATTACACCAATACTTCAATTTCTAAACGATATTAAACATTTGTATTTATCCCACTTCAACACAGTAGGGTTCCTGTTCGGGCACCAATGTAGGGATTAATTTAATTTTGTGACTCAGTGGGAAGAAATTTCTTTTATTGCAAACCAATCAGTGGTGTGCCACAGGGACCAGATCAGTACTGGGACCATTACAATTTATACATTACTAGCTGTACCCACTACAGCTACACTTGCAAACCAAGAATCCATTTCCACGGACAGACATTTCATCCTTATCTATACTCTGCTGGGAGGACTCCTGTTGGAGGACTCCTTTTCGGAGGACTCAGTGGGAGGACTCGGCACTTTAAAAATGTAATTTTGTTGTTGTTCCCATGGCTTAGCTTTGTCTGTGTTTTATTTTGTTCCCGCCGCTTGGCTACGCACGTGCTCTGTGATCCAAAATGCCACAGCACCACTTTGACCCGGCAACCACCAGGTGTAACTGCAGCGAAAAATGCAAGACTGAAAATAACTCATGAACGGTAGGCGATATCCGAAAAAAATGTCCATGTCGCTCCCACATGCACGCCCTCTCCTATGAAGTATAAATCATGTTTCTATGTCAATTGGTTATTGTCGTTTTATTTATTCAAGATGTCTCACAGAATATACTGTAAAGTGAATTGACTGTATATTTTGTGGGAATCCACATAGTCCGTAACTATTGTATTTGTACTGCAAAACTTGGATAAAAGAAATGAGGTAGCCATCGAGGTCTTAAAATACATGTTTATTATACAAAAGCACATCACCACAAGCCTAGATCCATTAGGAACATGACCAAATATGATATAGTCTCCTTTAGGAGCACATGCAGATTAGATTACGAGCAGAACAGGTTAAAAGACAAATAGAGTAACGCAGGCACTTTAGTGATACCTTTATAACTATAGGTACTGTGCTCTCTTTACTTCCAGCACAGAAGTTCCCCACTACACTGCCACATTACAATAATAATAATCCTTGCATTTGATATAGCGTCTTATCACGTCTTCAAGACGTCTCAAAGCACTTCATAGAATATACTGTAAAGTGAATTGACTGTATATTTTGTGGGAGAAACGCGGCAGCCATTCACCTGAGCCAATTCTGGTACTCATGATACTACCTCAGTATGGCTCAGCAGGTGAAAGTCTAGATGGAGTTGGGACTCTCCAAGACTCCCCTGCATTCCCAGGGCAGGCACTCGGACTCCTGTGATATGCCTGTTATTGGAGCCTGGAGCAGAAGAGCCACGGGAGCTCTGGCTCTGCTCCCTCAGTCACGCGCAACTTTTTCACACATGATTGATTGGCAACCATCTGAGCTCTTTTTTGTCTGACCTAGAGCACGTGGCTTTGCAGACACTGGAGGGACAGCAGCAGGGAAAGTCACCTACCCATAACACATGCAACATACAGGTAGGAGCACTACACTATGTTATTAATTGTGAGTTGTATTGATTGTATTGTATTGTATAACTGAAACACTTAGAAACAAACAATAGAAAATAATAGTGTAGCTAATGAAGCAATCTAAGCAATGAATTGTTTCAGAGGGGGAAAAGTAAACATGCAAACTATGTTCTTATTTCTGCAAAGCTGAGTAGCAAAATAAAACCTTATAACATCAATAAACACAAACACAAAACATTTGGTTTATCAACATCTGAAAGAGAAAATTATTGTAATGTTTAATGTGTGACCCTTCACCCGAATTTTAACTTTGCTTGGGGGGGCAGGTTCCAGTAACTGTCGTAGATGTGTCTTATTTGCTGATGTCTGACTCTTCATGTGATGCAACTTGATTTTGTTTTCCATATGGTTTAAAATGTCGCTTTCCATCCAAGTAAAGCATAGATTCTGAAAATGCAAGCCGAAATGTTAATTATGCAAAAGACTCATACCTACAGATGAGAACCCCAATGCAGGCCCATTATAACGTAACCAGTTTAGGATGGATCTATTTATGGCACAGGCCCACTGTATAGCTGTATACTGTGGACCCGTGCTGTAACGGGAGCACTGTACACCCAGTTTCCTGTGCTAATTATGGCTGCCTTCTGGATCATTACGCTTCTCTGCCCCCACCCTTTAGAACTCCATTCCACAGTCCCCTTGTCTTGATCCCTCCCTTGCCTCCTATAAAGCACATCTTAAGACCTTCTTCTTCGACCCTGAATTCGGCCACCCTCCCAGCTCTCCATCGCCCCAGATCCCAACCCCCTGCTTGGTCCAAATGCCTGACTGCCCAGTGCCTTGGGACGTCCTCCGGATGTGAAAGGCGCTATACAAATGTAATTTGTATTGTATATCACATCTTGTACATTGCATCACACATGCACAGGCACTGATGACAGTGACCCAGAAAGCAACCATTTTTCACATTCCATTTTAAGCTGAGGGTCTGAGCTTTAGTAATATAGTATAGTATGTAGTATAGTATGGACCCAAATCCACATTCACCTGATTACTGTGGGTTTGCAATGCATCTGGGAACACAGAGGCAAACATGCACTAAAAAGTTGTGCTAAAAATCTTTAATTATGCATGCATATATTCTCAGCGGGATGGTTTTAGAAAGAGGGGGACACAGGCAAATTGAATTATCCTATGTGAAGGGTACAAATATAAATGTAAGATGCTGTTGCTTCTTTGATACATTCAATTTCTATGAGAATAAGGAATCCTGTATCATATACATTTCCTGCATGTTTCCGTCTGCTCATTGTTCCCCCAAAAGACATTACCTCCATAGGTCTTTGGGGTAACCCGCGCCACTTCCTTGTCAGAGCAAAAGGTAAAATGGAAGACATTGGTTGTGCTATGTTCTTTTGTGTATGGGTTTACAACCTCACTGTGCACTCGGACTTGGATGTGGTTCTGTTGAGTGTAACAAACCTATGGGAAGTGAGGAAAATAATGAATACTTAATAAACAATTTAAAACATAATAGAGGATAGTCATCTTCTTAGTTTTTTTTAATTCTAAAAGACCACTAATCTCTTAATGAAATCGCTACAATCTTTACCTAGGTAGCACAATAGATACCTAAACACATCAGCATCCACAGGCACAGAGATCAATTTGATGTGTAATGTATCAATTTTTATTAATCATTGAGCACTGCAGCAGCTACTTCTGAATTTCTTCCCAGTATTCAAAACAAAAATCATAATAAAGCTGATAAAGCTAGAAGCAAGGTACGTACGTACCTTTTTGGAAAGCAACTTATGAAAGATGAACAGAAATCCAGTCTGCATTTATGACTGCAATTATTTATAGCAGTACAGCTTCATAGTATAATCAGAGCCCTAATTGCTCTTGACATGCTAGTGAAACGGTAGATTTTCAGCCTCAAGCTTCACTTATTGTTTATGTTCATATACATTAAGATTGCACATCAATTAACTAATGGTGCTGACATTTCCTGAGATGTATGTACATTACCTGTGATGAGAGGTAGAGTAGGGAACCAATTTCAACTGGTTTCTGAAAAATTATGTCATCTACGGCTACCACGTGAGGTCTTGAATTTCTGAAAGCAATCAGAAACAAAGATTTCAAGATAAACTCTCTGAAGAGTCAGCTGCAACTATGAAGTAAGTGGCGAGACACAAAACACCCTGGTCAACGTCCCAAAAGATTGACATCCCATCTGTGAGATTATTGCTTAAGATACATATTGTTTTAATGATCCAACTTTTGTTACTATAAACCTTGATTACACCCAATTGGGATTGTCAGGTCGTTCATTGATTACGATATTTGAATCAGAGAAGTCTCTTCAAATATTAACAAAATACATAATCTACAACTCACCCATAGATACAAGCATTTGCCCATCCCAATTCAAAGGCTTTCCTCATCAGAAACCCACCAAAGATTTTGTTGTGAATATTCCGTTCCTAATTTAAAAAAAGGATTGTTTTCATTATTGCTCATCTCTAAATTATATTGGTAGTTTCTTTAGAAATGTAAATAACTATAACAAGCATACAATCACATTCAATGAAAGAAAAGGTACATTTTCTTAGACCAGCAAATAGCAGGATTACATTTTAAAATCAATTTTACTGCTGTCCTACCCCCTAAGAAGTTACTTGCAATGCTTATGCTTTTTAAATTACCCCCAAATTAAATGTGATTTCTTCACGGTTCCCCACTATCCCATAACACATGGAAAAATCTTTAATAGTTTTCATTTGGAGACTTTGGGCACGATTTTCAATTAGTAAATTTACCAACACTGGACGCAACCAGGTTAGATACATCAGTAAATTTAACAAGTCAATTAGCATACAATGGGAAAATCTCATATTAAATTTACCAACTTAATTATTCTACCTATCCCTGGGTCAATTTGTCACTTATTAGAGAATCACTTCTCTTGTATCTGCAGGATAGGACAGCTTTAAACCCTTGAAGTTGAGTGACATGCTCTTGATATACATACACACGCATTTACACATAAACACACTCCTCAATTTCTAAGGCAAACACAAACCTCCTCCGTTAAATAGTTACAATTCCCACACTAGCCATCCTATTTAGATCAGAATGATAATTGGTTCCAAAATTGGAGTTGCATCATTTTTAATTAACTTCCTGTGATCAGAGAGACGAAACTTACATCCATTGGGCTGGGCTGTATTCAGACCCACGTTCTAGCATGAAATATACATTAACCTACGGCTGTATTCCCTCACTGCCTACACTTGCACCAACACAACACTCTCTGAGCATTGTTGCTCCAATTTGGAGCTCAACACAGTGGGAACCTAAACCGGTCCCTACACTCTGTACCATTTCAGGTTGCCGGGCACCATTACGGGAATAAAAATAATAATAATCCTTGCATTTCGCCCACAAAATATACAGTCAATTCACTTTACAGTATACTCTGTGAAGCGCTTTGAGACGTCTTACAGACATGATAAGGCGCTATATCAAATTTAAGGATTATTATTATTTAATTTGCTTTTAAAAAGTGACAACATTATGTGAACTGCATTTATGAGATAACATGGCGTTGCATTGAATGCTTCCTGCATATACCTGGGGATGACAAATCTCCAGACCTTTAAGTTTTGTCTCTGCTATCCAAACGAATTCTCTGATAAGACTCGACTACGGAAGCTCACCGTCCTGAAACAAAGAAAAGTTTAAAAGTATTGCAGTGGTGTAACAGAGAATTTACCATCACTTGAGTTTGTTTCTCATCTACCTCTGTAACACTGTCCTCTCAGATTCTGAGATTCGTGCTACTTTTTAAAATCAGGCACGCCCTGAAAGACAAGTCACATCCAAGTAAGTTAATAACCAGATACAACTGCCGGAACTGTGACCACAACGCTGTAAAGTGTATGTCTAGCTCACATTTTAGTCATGCACATTCACAGAATATTACAGCACAGAGGGAGACCATTCGGCCCATCGTGCTCTTGGGAAGAGCTACCCAATCAGTCCCACTCCCCCGCGTTTTCCCCATACCCCTGCAAATTTTTCCTTATCAGGTATACCCATCTAATTCCCGTTTGAAAGTTGTTATTGAATCTGTTCCCACCACCCTCTCAGGCAGTGCATTCCAGACCATAACAACTCCATGCGTAGAAAAAATTTCTCATCTCCCTCTGGTTCTTTCGCCAATTATCTTAAATCTGTGTGCCCCGCGTTATTTGTGTTTGTTTCAAAATTTGCAACATTATTTAAAATGTCTCTTTTTATAGTTGCAAAGGGTAGGAGTTTGGACACCTGTATAGTCATGACAGCACGAGAGCTCATCAACCGCAAGTCACGCTGTGACAATTTCACATTTATAAAAGATTGTGATCACATGGTTATACATTCAATCAGTGCAGCCAGATGGTCAGATACATATTTAACCGGGTTCTCTATACCAGCTGCCAATTTATACATAAAAAGCTGCAGAGTTCATGCAAAAACAGGACTAAGGCAGGCACCTTATAATAGGGTTGTCTTGTATGTTTCAGTCAAATGTTGGCATAACAGGCCAGGGCAATTATATAGAATATTATTATTTACTCATTTTCATTGTTACATAAATCATTCAAATAACAGTAAATAGCACTAACCTCGGATCCAAAGTGTTAAGAAACAATTCATGTATAAGTTTTCTCTCTTCTTCATTTGGTGCCATTTTAAATAGTGACTGTTGCAATATGTTGATCCTTTTTAATTTGTTCACTGCAATTTTAAACAGGAATCAAAATCAAGTAGAATGTCTCTTCTTGCAGCTATACATTTTAAGACCCTGAAATCCCACATGCTCTTGTCTGTAGAAAAACATCCAACCTACTCACAATGAAAAAAACAAAATTTGCTCAAATTCTCAAGAATGAAAAACTGCTTTTTGGAGAGTTGGGAACTGTGTTATTTTTGTTCATTAATTACTGAATTAACTGTTCAGTAACTGATATCACAAGGCCAGAAAATGTTTAGGTAATGACTTACATTTGCCTTTTCTAAGAATATCTTCTTCCTCTGGAGTCTCAGCCTTCAGCGGATTAACAAAAGCAGGTCTGTAAATAGAAAAGAACATAAATGATTGACTGTCTTTTAATAAATGATGTTTAACATTATATAATTAATTTGATTGCCCATTGCGTTTCTTTAAATTGTTTAAACCTTCCTGCAAAATAGAAAAGCTTTATTGTGATGGAATGAATTTTGTCTCCTTGCAAATGTTGCACCTAGAAATGTTTCTACTTGTCAGTATTTCTGACTGCATATACGTGTTGGAAATGATTGCAGCTATTCTGGCGCGGGGTTGGAGGCTGGGAGGGTAGTAAATCACAGAAGATAGTTCCTTTCACGATTTGCAATATACTGCATTTCATAGGCACACAATCTTGCAATCCTGCATCACTCCTCGGTTCCCCCCACCTTTGCACTGTGAGCAGCACCAAGGAAATAAATAATTATACCATCAATCACAATGAAATCACATTTCTAAACAGACCATGTTAAGGAGTTATTTAGTTTCACCTTTCTGCGCTGTATATATTAACATACATAATATAGCACACTTAATGACAATGAGTGTTGCCATTTACTTCACTTATATGGAAGATCCATAACTTTTAATTAGCAGTAACATCAACAAAATTGCATTTGTATAGCGCCTTTCACATCAGGAGGACGCATGACATCTTTCATATAAGTCAAGGAAACCTGAACACTGATGCTGGTGATATTTTAAAGTTAGGGGTTTTGTGCAGTGCTACAATCCAGGAACTAGTGCGTTAGTTTTGATGGTCACATCCGAAATCTAACAAAGTTGTCATATTGCAAATTATACCCACAGCCTAAGAGAAAAACTTTTTCCAAACTCAATTTCTAGGAGCAATACTATCATCCAGTGACTCAATAAATGTTACTCACCCTTTGTTTTCAGGGTCTCGAGTTACCATCACAAAAGTCGCATTTAATACAGGAGTGAATACTCCATCGTAGTACTAAAGACAAAAGTACAATTACTTTAATTAGTGCTTTTGTTCCTGAGAAATAATTATACAGTACCTCCCCGACTTGATTTCTGTTACATTTTGTGACACTACTTTGCAATGAAACCCTACTTAAAATCTAATTCTGTAAATCTCAAGCAGAACAAGAAGGTAGATTATAAATCAGATAGATCTCGTTCAACAAATGGTTAACTTTGGAAACAAAATGTAAGTTTACTCTGCTGCTTCTGAAATTCGAACTCTCTGTCTCGAAATCTCTCTTCCTTGCCCCTGACCGTACCTATGGTCACCTCCCCCCAGCTTGGTGTCAAGCTCTGCTATTGTTAATCGCTCTGAGACCTATCCCGCATGAATGGTGTTTTATATACCTGCTTGTGGTGAAATTGAGGAGGAGTGCATTTGAAAAGTCCAGGCGGAAGGTAAGGGTTTTGTTAGTATTTGGTGTGAGACAGGGGTGCAAGCAATACAGGAAAGGTGATATAGGGTGAATAAAGGTTTGGGCAGCATTTGGTCTTCCATTATTTCCGCCATTTTACAGCTGGAGGAAATAGTCTCTGAATTGTTCAAGGTAAAGTGGATTAGCTTCACTTGCTTTAAAAGTACAACTTGGAATATTCCAGTGATCAAACCTGAGACAAGTGCATCTGGACTTCCATTGAAGTTTTTCCCACCCAGCTAACATTGCCAGTGAATTTCAAGTCACAATCTGGCAGGATATGCTTTTGGCATAAATCTAGAGTGATAAAAAACATTTTAGAAAAGAACGGGAGATGAATGAGAAATATCCTTGTAGGGATTTTCCAAACTTTTTTTTTTAAATCACACAGTGCATCACAGTCATTAGTCTACTAGTGTTTTGGAACACACTCCAGTTTGTTTTCTTTCACATTCATGTACACTGATCATTATTTACCAATCTGCACAGTTTCATTCTCTTGGCAGTAATGTATACAGATAGCTCCCATAATAAAACTTGACAATTTGAATACAAGTGTTATTGCAGCTTGTGATTTGAACTAAAATAATATTTTGATTTATTTCATGATGTTACACATAAATATTGTAGTTTCTGTGTTATAGCAAAATGTTCTCATATTTGATTTCTAACAAGATATGCTACCAAACAAAAAACTTATTGTAAGGACTTGTCAATGAAGGAGAATCGGTCATTAAATCAGGCTGGCTACACATACCACAAGACTGCAGCATTGTACTCTAATGAAGCAGTCCATCTGTTGTCTTTCTACACTACCTTCCTTCTCGCCAAACGTCCCAACTCTTCCCTCCACTAACTGCAGATTATTCAGAGCTCTGAAGCTTGTGTGCTCTCCCGCACTAAGTTCAGTGAACCGATCAACCCCCTCCTCGCCTGGCTCCATTGGCTCCCCATCCCTCAGAGAATCGAGTTTAAAATCCTCGTCCTCACTTTTAAAGCTCTCTATGGCCTTGCTCCTCACTACCTCTGTGACCTATCAATATAACACCAACTTGTCCACTCAGCATACACTGCTTCGTGCTTCAGGTTCCTTGCCCTGCCTGCCTCACCATTGGGGGTCGGGCATTCAGCTTTTCTGCCCCTATCCTCTGGAACTCGATCCCGGAATTCCTCCCCCTTGCCTTCTTCAAGGCGCGTCTCAATACTTTCCTCTTTGATTGTGCTTTCGGCCAACTTCCAACCTCCCTACCCTCCACCCATCGTGATTCCAACCCCAGCTCCAGCGCAAACCCTTAACTGTCCAGTTGGAATGTCCTTCCACTGTGTAAACGTAATTTTGTTGTTGTTGTGCATACACTGTTCAGCTTGTCAGCTTTGGCCTTCCATATACAGCAGTTTTTTTCCAAGTTGGATCGTATTTTGTTCCAAGGATACCAATTTATGGAGAAAATTACCACGTCTCAGGGTAAAACATGCTCTCAATAAACACAGCCACTAAGATTGCAAATAGCCCTAACTGATTCAGTTTTAGATCTAGTTCCAGCAAATATTGGAGGTGTCCAAATATCAGAAAACTCATATAATAATGGGTGCATAATTCTGGCAAGCACCAGTTAAAGTACAATGGAAGCATTTACTTTGTCACAACTTTTCTGGTAATACTGAAGTATCTGACGTACCTATTTCATCAACAAGAGCAGTAACGATGGAAAAAGGGCTTCTTGAACCATTCTCGCTTTTCATGTGGTTATAACTAATTAAAACTAAGTCATAAAAAAGAAACACTGTAAGTGTCATTATAATTACATTACTCCGCATTGTTTCTGTAACAATTAATACACATATCCTGTTTCTCGACAGCTCAAGGTGCCATCATTATCCAGTACAACCGCAATATAACACGTTTTGTTATAACTTATAACTCAGTTTTGCTTATAACGTGATTAGGATCCAGACACTGACATTCACTCCAAAAAAGTACAAAACGTGTGCTCACTGGATAAATCTGGATAAAATGACTATGCCATCTATAATTGAATGCAATTTCTGAACTCCTGCTCTGTGTTATGGATATTTGTGAGTAAATATCTTTCTATTATCTATTCAACTATGCGCTGAAAGAAGAGAAGCTACTAAAAGTGGAATGAATTTACCTCCGAATGAATCAAGATCTTCAAGGATTCTGCCAAATCTAGTTGAGGTAAAAATATAAATTGATATACAAATTAAAATATAAAGTGATATAATTTTTTTAATATAAAATGAACATTATAATAATAATCTTTGCATTTGACATAGCATCTTAGCAGGTTGTGAAAATGAATCAAAGTGCTTCATAGGTTTTACTGTAAATTGTAGTGACTATTTGTAGACAAACATGGCAATCAATTTCTGCATAGCAATGTCCTACAAATAGTTATGAAATGAAATGGTCAAGTTTATCTTGGGAACTGTTGGTCAGGACACAATGGACACAAGTTGCTAGTTTAATGTCAACATTTAAAGATAATTCAAATATTTGATATGAAAATTGCTACAATACCTTACAAAGTTATGTACGTTAAGATACTTTTCTCTCAGGCTAGGTTGGCTTCCCAGAGGTAGGAACACCTCAAGATAACTGTCCTTCATTCGTTTAACTGGTAGATCTTCCTGTTTACTGACCAGTAGAGAACTTAAAGAAGTTCTGTCCTTGATAGCCTGAATATTTTCACTGCAAAAAGAGACACTTTACAGAAAACTAGAAACGAGGAGTCAAAATGATTGAACCCATCAACTAGGCAGCTGTTTTTCTTTCTTTGTTGTTTAAACTCAACGAGATTAGGGGATGGAAGTTTATTCAGTCTTAAAATCAAACAATTATCAACAAATGAGTTATATAACATGTTTCTTTACTTTATAAACTCAGTTATAAAATTGACACAGTCGACCACATCCTCCTCCACCGCCTCTCCTCCCTCACCCACCTTGGTGGGACTGCACTCGCATGGTTCCGAGTCCTACTTAACCAACCGCCTCCACTTCATCTTGGCAAATGGTTTCTCCTCCCGCCCCTGCCCAGTCACCTGTGGGGTACCCCAGGGCTCCATCCTTGGCTCTCTTCTTTTCCTCATCTAAATGCTCCCTCTGAGCGATGTCATCCGCAGACATGGAATAAACTTTCACATGTATGTGGATCATACACAAATCTACTTTGCCTCCTCCAGTATCGACTCCTAAGTCCGCCGATGTACTATCAGCTTGTCTGGCAGCTGGACAAGACGTAAACCATACTCCTTGGTTTCTGTCATCGTCTTCACTCCTGCGGATCTGAACTCCTTAATCTCTATGGGCTCTCCCTCAGGCTCTCCGAACCAGTGTGCAATCTAAACATCTGGTTCGACCCCCCCCAGTTGTCCTTCCTCCTCTACATCTGGTCCCTGACCAGGATCGCCTTCCTCCACCTCTGCCACATTGCCCGCCTCTGACTGTACATTACCCAAAATGCAGCCGAAACACTTGTGTATGCGTTTGTCTCCTCCTGCTTGGATTACTCAAACGCACTCTTCACTGGTGGTTTCCCCAGCTCCACTATTCAAAAGATCCAGCTCATTCAGAACTCTGCCACCCACATACTTTCCCGGACCAAACTCCGTACCCACATCTCACCAGTTCTGGCCAGGCTTCGCTTACAAAAAAGCAGCTTACAATTCAAATGTCAGTCTATCTTTAAGCATAATAGTAAAATAAAACTACACACCTCCAGGTCTTAGAAGCACCAACGATATCTTGCAGTCCGTTTCGTACTAAACAAAAAAGAGGAATGTAGTCAAATCAGATTTGCATTTTATACTGAACACTTCTCCTTCAAATCCATTTTGCTTCTGCTGATTGGATATGGATAATCTTTCTGTTATAATAAATATGACAAAGTGACCCTAAAAACCTTTATTTTAATAAATGAAAATGATTTACTTTAGATAAGCAAAGGCGACCAGCTTTGTAGATGTTATATGCATGATCACAGATACTGTATAGATAATCCACTAAATACTTATCCTAGCAGATATGATGCTATCAGTCCTTTTTAGTTAGTGTTCAGATTGTACTGCTATGTCACTTACCATCATTCATGACCATCTTGGAATGTCCTGTAGAGAAAAGACGATATTTTAAAATGAGACAGTTTTATTATATATTTCCAAAAAGGAGCACATGAATTCAACTGGTTTCAAGCGCTCCAGACCGCTATCCCGAGTGAAGGACGCTATATAAATGCAAGTTGTTGTTGGTTGCTGTTTTTCAGTTTCATGCCACACAAACATTTTAAACTTTAAATTTTGTTTAAAGTTCAATATAGTTCTCTTTATTAAAAATTAAATAACGTTGGAGAAACAAGATGAACTATGTTCCATTAGTAGTGTGCATGTAGGTTTATGGTTTTAAGGATGATCTGGTCTACTCTACTTTGTTTTCTCCAGAGTAGAGTAGAAACAGAGTGGAGACAGCTCCAACATAACTGACTTCAGCCCCTCAATTTCTTCTTCAAGAAACAGAACAACTGCAACAGGTTTGGAACAATCTGATATGAAGAGATGGCAATGTGCCTAGGAGATTCTTTAGGCCACGTGTTAAAGCCATGGCCATGAAGTGTTCTAGTGAAAAAGGTACAAAAAGTATTTCAATTGCCTATTGGGTAAAGACACCAATCGTTGCAGCATGAATGACTGGAAAGTTACAGGTTAAAATCTTGGTTTGTGCTATAGGGCTGAAATTATTAACTCTAGGGCATCGTGGAGTCCTGTAGGCTAGCGGTTAGAGCACTTGCCTCGCAAACGAGAGACCTGGGTTTGATTCCCGGGCAGGGCAACGTTTCCTTACTCCACACGCCTCTGTTTACCTAACAGTAAGTATGAACCAGTTGTTAGTTAATTGGCAGATCGCTTTTCCGGGGGTAATAATTCCTTTTTTAAAAAATTGGTCACTTCAATCCTCGACTGTTTGTGGAACATTGCTGTGTATAATTGGCTGCCGCATTTCGCCCACAAAATGTATAGTCAATTCACTTTACAGTATATTCTGTGAAGCGTTTTGAGATATCTCAAAGACATGATAAGGCACTACATCAAATACAATGATTATTATTATTATTTTCTACAGGACCCATTGCCACTATTCTTTTACAGGCTGAGTGGAATTCCCAGCTATTATCTCCTGAATTTGTCAGTATCACCCTTGGTTCCTACTGTTATTTCTCTTTCAAAAGCTAGATGTCTGTCTGCACACTGCACAAAGGAGGGAGGGGGTGTAAGATTATATTTGTGATGTTTAAGTGTTTTTTAAGGCTTTTAATTAAACTTTATATACATACAAAATGTAACCAATCCATAATCCTTTAATAAGGTTTGTTTATAGAATGACTAGCTTAGTAGGGGTTTTGTGGGATCGGTTGAGGTTAGCTTCTGATTACATTTCATATTTTCCTGGGAAGATATTCACTCCTCTGAGAATATGAGCAATCTTGAGAATAATGGACCACAGAAAGAAAAGCTTCAGCCTTCGACACCTGCCTATCTCAAGACTGAAAAACAAGCCGGCTGTGGAAAACTGCCCAGAAGTTGTCCATATCTCTCTCTGTGCAAAGCAGCCTGCGAAGGGTGGAGGCTATCTCTGTGACCAGGGAAGGTGGGGTTAGAAACACATGAAAGAAAGATGTAACTTTGGAATAATTGGAGTTGTCGCAGAGGGTCAGCACACTTCCCAGTGGGATCGATATCGATTCTACTGTATCTATGGTCTCAGTTTTAAGAATAAGTTAAGCTATTTGTGTTACCTTAATAAACCTTGGGTTATTACACCACCGTATTGGTCATCTCCATCCGAATCTCTTACAAATCAGCAAGCCAACCAATGGGAGACTGTATAATTGATCTAGGGTTAACTGAGTAAGTGATATAGATAGGTTTCGAAAAGCTCGGCTTGTGAACTGGCCGTTCGGGACAAAGGAACTGTATTGCAAGATACGGGGTGAGAGTTGAGACTCTCCGACAGAGTAAAGTGATCATGGAGGCTACAAAGGCTTTCGAGAAAACGTCCGTAATGCTCAAAGCCAGCAGGCAAGGATTTCTGTGGCCATACTGTTCATGTTAATCGTGATATTATTGATAATGATGTGCTGTAATTACAGATGCTAAAATTGGTTGAAAGGATTGATGCGGTGGCTGAAGTAAAAGGGAATTATGAAGATTCTGATGGTGATAGTGGGCTGTGCTGTCAGCTTGACCCACTCGAGGATAGTCAGCAATCCCAGAATTCTGGTCGTCTTAAGTTGTCCAAAGAAAATTGCAAAGACTCATGGATTTGTTTTGCTGAAGTACAACTGATTCTACGTATCACAAAGACATCAATAACATCAGTACATTTAAACTGCTAAGAACAAAAGGAGTGTACCAACCTTGACGGATATGTTTTTAACCCTACAATGAATGGTAAAAACAAGCTGTTGAATATCTCATTGCAGACTTGGTGTAAGTGACTAAAAAGGTCTAAGTTTGGGAACGAAGAATACAAGTCTAGCCGATCTTAAGAAGAAACATTCTAAATCAACATTGATCGAACCACGTTAACAAATCGATTCCTAATCACAGCCGTTGTATCAATCAATCATTGCACTGAATTTTATTACTCATGTCTTATGCTTTTGCGATTGCCCAAGCCATAATTATATTTACGTTGATTGTGTCTTTATGTTATTTGCGCTCCCTGGGTGAAAGGGCTACGTGGGTGAAATCTGACCATTTACAGTTATCTATTTATCTGTTTTTTAAGATCTTCAAACCTGGGAATTTGTGAGCACAGGGTCGGTATGAAAACAATTCCACTTAATAAATCCTAGATAAATGAGATCAAAAATCTTATTTTCTCACTCTCAAAGTGGGGGCTGTAAGATTATGCTTGTGATTTTTATTGTTTTTTTAAGATTTTTAATTAATCTTTATATATATTTAGAATGTAACCTACCCATAATCCTTTAATACAACAACAACAACAACAACAAGATTCCATTTATAGAGCGCCTTTCACGTCAGGAGGACGTCCCAAGGCGCTGCACAGTTGGGTCATGACCCGAGCAGGGGGGAAATGGTCAGGGTGAGGGGAGGGAAGGGAGGGAGAGAGGAGGGGGGAAATGGTCAGGGTGAGGGGAGGGAAGGGAGGGAGCGAGGAGGAGGAAGAGAGTCGAGAGGGGAGCTGAAGGCTCGGTCAAAGAGAAAGGTTTTGAGACCGGCCTTGAAGGAGGAAAGGGAGGAAGCAAGGCGAAGGCACTGGGGGATGGAGTTCCAGAGCCTCGGGGCTGAGAGGCTGAAGGCCCGACCACCGATAGTAGGGCGGTTGGGGCGGGGGACGTGGAGCAGACCGGAGCCAGAGGAACGGAGGGTACGGGCAGGTAGGTAGGGGGATAGTAGGTTGGAGAGGTAGGAGGGAGCAAGGCCGTGAATGGCCTTGTAGGTGAGGATGAGGATCTTGAAATCAATCCTCTGGGGGATGGGGAGCCAGTGGAGGCGAGCGAGGGTAGGAGTGATGTGGTCCCGAAGCCTGGTGCGGGACAGTACACGAGCTGCAGAGTTCTGAATGACCTGCAGCTTGTGGAGGGAGGTGGCGGGAAGGCCGGCGAGGAGAGAGTTCCCATAGTCCAGCCTTGAGGTGACAAAGGCGTGAACCAGGGTTTCAGCAGCGTGAGGGGTGAGGTAGTGCCGTAATCTGGCGATATTCCGGAGGTGATGGAAGGCGGTGCCAGTTGTGGTGCGGATGTGAGGGAGAAAGGACAGCTCAGGGTCGAACAAAACGCCGAGGTTCCTGACTGGCTTTGAGAGGTGGAGAGTGCAGCCTTGGATGCTGATGGTGTCAGCGCCTGAGGTGCGGAGGCGCTGACGTGAGCCAATCAGGAGGGCCTCGGTTTTTCGCACGTTGAGCTGAAGAAAGTTGTCTCTCGTCCAGGACTCGATGTCGGACAGGCAGGCTGTCAGGACATCGGTGGTCGTGGAGTTGAGAGTAGAGGAGGAAAGGTAGAGTTGGGTGTCATCCGCATACATGTGGAAGTTAACCCCATGTTTGCGGATGATGTCACCGAGGGGGAGCATATAGAGGGTGAAGAGGAGGGGACCGAGGACAGAGCCCTGAGGGACACCACATGAGACAGTACGGGGGGTGGAGGAGAAGCCATTCGTTGAGACGAAGTGAAGACGGTGGGAAAGGTAAGAGCTAAACCATTCAAGGACAGTGCCTTGAAGGTTGAGGTGGGAGGACAAGCGGTGGAGTAGGATAGCGTGGTCGACCGTATCGAATGCTGCCGATAGGTCAAGGAGGACGAGGAGACAGAGGGAGCCCTGGTCACAGATAGTCAGGATATCATTGGTGACCTTGACCAGGGCAGTTTCTGTGCTATGAGCAGCACGGAAACCTGACTGAAGGGGTTTGTTTGATAGAATGACGAGCTTTGGAGGGGTTAAAAGTAGCTTTTCTGGACGGGTTGAGGTTAGCTTCTGATTACATTTCATATTTTCCTGGGAAGATCTTCACTCCTCGGAGAATATGAGGAATTTTGAGAATAATGGACCACAGAAAGAAAAGTTTCAGCCTTCAACACCTGCCTATCTCAAGACTGAAAAACAAGCCGGCTGTGGAAGACTGCTCAGAAGTTGTCCATATCTCTCTCTGTGCAAAGCAGCCTGCGAAGGGTGGAGGCTATCTCTGTGACCAGGGAAGGTGGGGTTAGAAACACATGAAAGAAAGATGTAACTTTGGAACAGTTGGAGTTGTCGCAGAGGGTTCGATATCGATTCTACTGTATCTATGGTCTCAGTTTTAAGAATAAGTTAAGCTATTTGTGTTACTTAATAAACCTTGGATTATTACACCACCATATTGGTCATCTCCATCTAAATCTCTTAAGGGTGGGGGGCTAGAATTGTGACAAGCAGTAGTTACTTTTACTATTATCAACATGAAAGGATTGTCTTGATAGCTTGTATTGTGCATTTCCCACAAGACAGAAGAATAACAACTTAGCAGGAACTGACCTTACTGTTACTAATTGTATTTGCATTCCAATTATTTATATCAACATTTTTGGTTATTGGCACTTTTATGTTAAACAAAATATACTTTGTGTATACATGTTTTGATCTGCAAGCAGTTTGCAACACAATGATCATAATAATAATAATCCTTGTATTTGGCACAGTGCCTATTGAAATGTCTCTGGTTTAAAGAGGAAATAGTGACGTAAAACAAAAGGGTTTTTTTAACAAAAGGGGGCTGTGTTGAGACAAAATTGGGGAGAAGAGGTGTTAATGGTGCAGAACAGGCAACACACCAGAGTGTGTTTAACCCATCAACTAATACATTCTCTCCTTTGTCTTCTCTCTCTATTTTTGTCTTCTTTGTTGTCCTTGTCCTACCTCCCCCACTCAATTTGTCCTTAAAAACCTCTCCCTCCCAATATACCCCAGTTCTGACGAAGGGTCGTGGACCCGAAATGTTGACTCACTTTCCTTTCTCCATAGATGCTGCCTGATCTGCTGAGTTTTCCCAGCTCTCTCTGTTTTTGTTTGAGATTCCAGCACCTGTAGTATTTTGTGTTTCATTATATCCTGAATTTAGCAGCTAATATGCAGATACTTTCAAAAAAAATCATACACCCCCTTTCCCCTCCCAGCACAAAAATGTTTTTTCAAGGTAATACATTCAAATTACATTCAAATTACTATTATTTCTCACTAATAATACAATTGTAGAGTCTCTAAAATATGCATGATGTTATTTAAGTACCTTCAATCATTTCTGGAGAGCATCCTCCATGTTGTGAATTTCCAGACAGAGACCTACATGCCCCGATGAATACAGAAGGAATACGATGCAACATTCGAAACCTGTAAAAGAAAAGTTTCATTATTATTTTTGCCACAACTGCCACAAGTTCAATTTACAATACTATTCACTAGTGAACCCTGCATTTCACCCATATAGATTGGTTACCCAATGCTCGTTAAGTTTTTTTTCCAAATATTATGGTTTTAGATGCTTCTATTCCTTATCTTGGGAGACAACTATTTGGAATAGCACAGGTTAATTATGTAGTTGTATACAAATAATTATAATAATAATCTTTACATTTGGTATCGAGTTTTATACGTCGGGATGACATCCCAAACAGATTCACAGGATGTAGTGTAAAGTGCAGTGACTATTATTTTGTGGACTATTGTAGTGGTTAATCTGTATTTCATTGCTAAAAAAAAACTTTGCCCCAAGATTTCTAAAAGCATTATTACTGTTATGTAGTTTCTTGTAAAGCCAAAAAATAGTTCTGCTGGAATTTTTTCTAATTTCATTTTCTCAGTTACATGTCATCACCAAACAACCTCAACAAAACCTCAAACCTATCTGTAATTAACAGGAACCTAGGAAATGGTATGTGGAATATCATTAAGAATAAATTCCAACCACACCACCACCACCATCATCAACAACAACAACAACAACAAAAGGTTTGATGTCATTTGGTGCTCAGGAAAGACAAGGATCAATAAAAAAAATGTACAAGTTGATCCTATTACAATAAATACACAACCCTGTACAGTGCTACCACTCTGTTTTTTAAAAAAATATATATAGATAATATTGTCTGGTTTTGTATGTAACAGGAGAACTTGCTTCAACTTTCTGAACAGTGGTGTTTGCAATGCATTACTTGCCACTCCCTATGTTCTTACTCATTGCAAAGCCTCCTCTCTCTCTCTCTCTCTCTCACACACACCCCCCCATCAGCACAGACCTGCCCAACAGGCTGCTGGTATGTGAAAGGCCACAGAGAACATCCAGGAACCTGATTCCAGCTGTGGATCAGATCAGATCTCCCCTCTCTGCCCCATCCCCTGGCTGAGCTCTCAGCTTCTCAAGGGAATGAATGCACACTCTCCCTCCCCAGCACCAGATAGCTTTACAGTGATCAAAAACATGGGGTGGGGTGGGGGGTGTGCATTTCACCAGCTCCACATCAGACACCCACCCACCCACCCAGGCACGTCCTCAGTTGGGTTGAAGGATCATTAAAGCTGTCAGATCAGAAGTAAGGCCCCACCCCAACACACACACACACACACAGTGCTATCCCAGCTCAGCCCAGCCCAGCCCCCACACAGTACAGCAGGACTCACCTCAGTGTCATTGTGCTTCACTGGTTGGACGGGTGGGGAGGGTGGGCAGGGGTCTGACTGGGGTGCAAACCTAACAGGGAGGTTAACACACAAGCTTACACAGTGCAGCAGTTTGCTCCCTGTCCTGGCTCCCTCCCTCCCTCCCTTTCTTTCTTCCTTCCTTCCTTCCTCTCCCAACCCAATCTCAGTGGAGGCACCTCCTAGTGGCCACCTTAACGTAAGGCGTCATACTCCTTGACTGTCACTCATGGGGGAGCTCCTCCTGATCACACCCCCCCCCCCCCCAAAAAAAGGGGCATCAAGTAACACTAATGATAATCATAATAATAACAATAATAATCCTTGCATTTGATATAGCGCCGGATCACGTCATCGAGACGTCTCAAAGCGCTCCGTAGGATTCGCTGTGAGGTCCACTTCGCTGTGTGTTTTGGTAGCAGAAACAAATGCAGCAGCCAGATTCACACCGTGATGTTTCACCAACTGCAAGAGACTCGATGGCAGGTTTCATCTGGGCGGTCAATGGAAGAGATCGCCCACTGTTGAACCTGATGGTAAATGTCGACCATTGATTATTGTGTTGAGAGCGGGTTTCAAAGTTTCAGCAACTTGTACTTATATAGCACCCTCCACTCAGGATAGCGTCTCAGAGAGCTTAACAGTGGCGGAGCCTGAATCCGAGCCGGGGGGAGGTGGGGGGCGGCCGGGTGGGGGGTGTAGATGGCCGTGAGCATGGTCGAAGAGGAAGATTTTCAGGCTTTTTGAAGTTTTGGTTTCTTTTTGAAGGTTTCGCTTCACTTCACACTGCAGTAAATTCTGTGAAGCGCTTTGAGACGTCCTCCTGATGAGAAAGGCGCCGTGCCAAATGCAAATATTATTTATTATTTAGATTTCTAACACTTAACAGCTATTATGGATCATATGTTGAAATCAGCATCTATACACAATCTTTATTTTAACTCAGAAATCTTACTCTGTTCACAATTCTGCTTGCGGGGATGCTGGTAGGCATTTATGCCCCTCATTCTCCTAGTTCATCTTTTGATTTCCAACAACGTTTGCGCTTCCTCAACTTTCCAATTGAACTTGCAATTGATATACTGCTGTTGCTGTACAGTAATAGATCCAGTATTCTTCCATTTTCTCCAATGGGTCAGGTTATCTCACAACTTCCTTTCAAGTCGGGGGAAGGGAACTCTATGGCAGCTGATTGTTTCCCTTCTTCCATATTCTCAATGGGGATAGGCACACCGGCACTATATGGCAGAACACATTCCCAGCAGCAGGTATGTACGATGTAGCGAGGTATGAAACCTCAGTGACTTCAAAATCAGGATTGTGTAGGTTGAGGTCAACTCACATATGATTTCTAGCCTCAAGACCATTCCCAGTTAAAATGTATCTCAGAATTGAGGCATGACATCAGTTTAGTTAAAATGAAACTAGTCGTTGTAAACACTTTCATTTACTTCCCTGAAAGTTATACAGACATTGACCCCAGTACAACATATGTTGAAATGGCAATTAGGTCAAAGCATAGTCCAAAGTACTGTTTTACAGCTGATATCAAAACCCATTTCCAGGGAAGCACCAATTTACATTAAGTTACCTGAGGCAATTAATAAGCATGGCACTATAGTTATATGTACCATAGACATGCTAGAATATGGAATGCTTTATTATAAATCTCTGTTGAAGCACAGCAAATCATAGATTTTAAAGGGAATTGGATAAATACCTAAAGAAAAATAATGTGTTTACAACACACCAAAAGAGTGATGAGAGATTTCATAGAATGCATTGCCTGCCTGCTCACACCATTTGTTCCGTGGGAACTCTAGCTCATCCCAAAAACCTAGGTCCCACTATTGGAAGAATCAGAAACCCAGAACACAATATTGTGGGCCCAATAGAAGACAATATTAAAGAAAACCCTGACCCCAGAGTGGATGTCTGCGGAAACCCATCACCATGCTTACGAGTATCCAGACCAGACTGAGAGTACCACGTAGATGTGCAAAGCCATAGAGGAGATTTCCCTCTGTCTGTAATGCAATGTGACCTCTCCCACACCACCACCCCCCCACTTCCCCGTGGGACCCATCCTGTTTAACTAATCCTGGACTGTATCAGGCGATTGACGCTAAGAGCCCAGGCTTGGGGATCCCAGCGTGTGTTGGGGTTACCGCTGGAGTTTAACCAGCCTGTCGTTTGACAGTGCTGTCCTGCAACCCTCCCAGGCTGCATGTCCAGCTAGGACCCCCTATGGGTCAGGGTTGCAGGGTTATGAGGAGCTGAGTGGGAAGAATGCCTGCCTGCCTGCCCTCACCCCCCACCACCATGCCCACCTTCTCCCTCCCTCCCCCAAGTTATACACCTGCTGCAATAAGACACCAGATAGACATAGCCATTGAGCCACTTTGACTGACAGCACTACAGGCGGTGCTTGAACTGGCACTTGGATGGACTTATGCTGTTTATACTGTACTGTAGTGTTATTATGTACAGTAACTGCTGTGGTGTTAGTGTACTGTTAGTATGGTATTATTGTGTACAGTAACTGCTGTGATGTTAGTGTGGTGTTAGTGTGGTGTTAGTGTAATTGTGTACAGTAACTGCTGTGGTCTTAGTGTGTGTGTGTTAGTGTGGTGTTAGTGTGGTGTTACTATGTTAGTGTGGTGTTAGTGCGTTAGTGTGGTGTTACTATGTTAGTGTTATTGTGTACAGTAACTGCTGTGATGTTAGTGTGTGTGTGTTAGTGTGGTGTTAGTGTGGTGTTACTATGTTAGTGTGGTGTTAGTGCGTTAGTGTGGTGTTACTATGTTAGTGTTATTGTGTACAGTAACTGCTGTGATGTTAGTGTGTGTGTGTGTGTTAGTGTGGTGTTAGTGTGGTACTACTGTGTTAGTGTGTGTGTGGTGTTGTGTACAGTAACTGCTGTGAAGTTAGTGTGTGTGTGTTAGTGTGATGTTAGTATGTGCGTAGTGTTATTGTGTTACAGTAACTGCTGTGGTGTTAGTGTGTTAGTGTAGTGTGGTGTTACTATGTTAGTGTGTGTGTGGTGTTATTGTGTACAGTAACTGCTGTGGTGATAGTGTGTGTGTGTTAGTGCGTTAGTGTTAGCGTGGTGTTACTATGTTAGTGTGGTGTTAGTGTGTGTGTGTGTGTATGTGGTGTTTTTGTGTTACAGTAACTGCTGTGGTGTTAGTGTGATGGTATGCGTTAGTATAGTGTGGCGTTAGTGTGTGTGTGTTAGTGTGGTGTTACTATGTTAGTGTAGTGTGTGTGTTAGTGTGTGTGTGGTGTTATTGCGTACAGTAACTGCTGTAGTGTTAGTGTGGTGTTATTATGTTAGTGTAGAGTTAGTGTGTTAGTGTAGTGTTATTATGTTAGTGTGTGTAGTGTTCGTGTGTGTGGTGTTATTGTGTTAGTGTGTATAGTGTTATTGTGTTAGTGTGTGTGTAGTGTTAGTGTGTGTGGTGTTATTGCGTTAGTGTGTGTGTCGTGTTAGTGTGTGTATAGTGTTAGTGTGGTGTTAGTGTGTGTGTGTGGTGTTATTGTGTATGTAGTGTTAGTGTGTGTGGTGTTATTGTGTTAGTGTGTGTGGTGTTATTGTGTGTGTAGTGTTAGTGTGGTGTTAGTGTGTGTGTAGTGTTATTGTGTGTATAGTGTTAGTGTGGTGTTAGTTGTGTTATTGTGTGAGTGTGTGGTGTTAGTGTTTGTGTGTAGTGTTAGTGGTGTTATTGTGTGTAGTGTGAGTGGAGTGTTAGTGGTGTTATTGTGTTAATGTGTGTGTAGTGTGAGTGTAGTGTTAGTGATGTTATTCTGTTAGTGTGTTAGTGGTAGTGTAGTGCTAGTGTAGTTGTGGTGATGTTGTTGTGTTACAGTAACTGCTGCGGTGGGATGTGCTGGTGTGTGTGCAGTGTTAGTGTGGTGGTGTGATATAGGAGCTGCTGTGATGGGCTGTGCTGGTGTGTGTGTGTGTGATGGGCTGTGCTGGTGTGTGTGTGATGGGCTGTGCTGGTGTGTGTGTGTGATGGGCTGTGCTGGTGTGTGTGTGTGTGTGATGGGCTGTGCTGGTGTGTGTGTGTGTGATGGGCTGTGCTGGTGTGTGTGTGTGAGATGGGCTGTGCTGGTGTGTGTGTGTGATGGGCTGTGCTGGTGTGTGATGGGCTGTGCTGCTGTGTGTGTGTGTGTGTGTGATGGGCTGTGCTGCTGTGTGTGTGTGTGTGTGTGAGATGGGCTGTGCTGGTGTGTGTGTGATGGGCTGTGCTGGTGTGTGTGTGTGAGATGGGCTGTGCTGGTGTGTGTGTGTGAGATGGGCTGTGCTGGTGTGTGTGTGTGTGTGATGGGCTGTGCTGGTGTGTGTGTGTGAGATGGGCTGTGCTGGTGTGTGTGTGTGTGATGGGCTGTGCTGGTGTGTGTGTGTGAGATGGGCTGTGCTGGTGTGTGTGTGTGATGGGCTGTGCTGGTGTGTGATGGGCTGTGCTGGTGTGTGTGGGTGTGTGATGGGCTGTGCTGGTGTGTGTGTGTGATGGGCTGTGCTGGTGTGTGTGGGTGTGATGGGCTGTGCTGGTGTGTGTGTGTGATGGGCTGTGCTGGTGTGTGTGTGATGGGCTGTGCTGGTGTGTGTGTGATGGGCTGTGCTGGTGTGTGTGTGTGATGGGCTGTGCTGGTGTGTGTGTGTGTGTGATGGGCTGTGCTGGTGTGTGTGTGTGATGGGCTGTGCTGGTGTGTGTGTGTGTGATGGGCTGTGCTGGTGTGTGTGTGTGGAGGGGCGGTGGTGTGTGTGTGTGGAGGGGCGGTGGTGTGTGTGTGTGGAGGGGCGGTGGTGTGTGTGTGTGTGATGGGCTGTGCTGGTGTGTGTGTGTGTGATGGGCTGTGCTGGTGTGTGTGTGTGTGATGGGCTGTGCTGGTGTGTGTGTGTGATGGGCTGTGCTGGTGTGTGTGTGGATGGGCTGTGCTGGTGTGTGTGTGTGTGTGTGTGTGTGATGGGCTGTGCTGCTGTGTGTGTGTGTGTGTGTGTGATGGGCTGTGCTGGTGTGTGTGTGTGTGTGATGGGCTGTGCTGGTGTGTGTGTGTGTGATGGGCTGTGCTGGTGTGTGTGTGTGATGGGCTGTGCTGCTGTGTGTGTGTGTGGTGTGTGTGTGTGTGTGTGTGATGGGCTGTGCTGGTGTGTGTGATGGGCTGTGCTGGTGTGTGTGTGTGTGTGATGGGCTGTGCTGGTGTGTGTGATGGGCTGTGGTGGTGATGGCAGTGCTGTGATGGTGTTGTTGTGGTGCAGCCGCCGCTGTGCTGCAGCTGTGCCGGTGAGTCAGGCTGAGCACGTGATGAGTCAGCAGCCAATCAGGGGGAAGTCCGGTGGCACGTGGGCGGGGGGGGAGGGGTAGCGTCACCAGTCAGTGAGGGGGGGGAGGGGGGGAGGGGGAGGGAGAGGGTTTATTAGGGACAGACGGACACGGAGCGGCCATCACAGGGTCGGGGCGAGGAGTTGGCAGTTGCACCTCATGGTGGGGATCCCCGACTGACCGCAGAGCTGACGCCTGGGACGCGAATGAAGAAAACCTTACTTTTGTTCTACAAGTACAGGGGCCTCCACAGGAAAGGGAAAAGAAGTAAAAGACGAAAATGGCCGATTTTGTTATACGACCCGCAGCTCCCCAGCACTGCGCCGACATCCTCCGCCTCATAAAGGTCAGCGACAGGGAGGGAGGGAGAGAGAGAGAGACGGAGTGGGTGTGAGAGAGACTGAGTGAGTGTGAGAGAGACGGAGTGAGTGTGAGAGAGACGGAGTGACTGTGAGAGAGACGGAGTGTGTGCGAGAGTGTGTGTGTGCGAGAGAGTGAGAGTGAGTGTGAGACGGAGTGTGTGTGAGAGAGACGGAGTGTGTGTGAGAGAGACGGAGTGTGCGCGAGAGAGTGTGAGAGTGGGTGTGAGAGAGAGAGACGGAGTGTGTGCGAGAGAGAGTGTGTGCGAGAGAGTGAGTGTGAGTGGGTGTGAGAGAGAGAGACGGAGTGTGTGCGAGAGTGGGTGTGAGAGAGAGACTGAGTGTGTGAGAGAGACTGAGTGTGTGTGAGAGAGACTGAGTGTGTGTGTGCGAGAGAGTGTGCGAGTGGGTGTGAGAGAGAGAGACGGAGTGAGTGTGTGTGAGAGAGAGAGACGGAGTGAGTGTGTGTGAGCGAGTGAGACGGGGTGAGTGTGTGTGAGCGAGTGAGACGGGGTGAGTGTGTGTGAGAGAGTGAGACGGGGTGAGTGTGTGTGAGAGAGTGAGACGGGGTGAGTGTGTGTGAGCGAGTGAGACGGGGTGAGTGTGTGTGAGCGAGTGAGACGGGGTGAGTGTGTGTGAGCGAGTGAGACGGGGTGAGTGTGTGTGAGCGAGTGAGACGGGGTGAGTGTGTGTGAGCGAGTGAGACGGGGTGAGTGTGTGTGAGCGAGTGAGACGGGGTGAGTGTGTGTGAGCGAGTGAGACGGGGTGAGTGTGTGTGAGCGAGTGAGACGGGGTGAGTGTGTGTGAGCGAGTGAGACGGGGTGAGTGTGTGTGAGCGAGTGAGACGGGGTGAGTGGTGTGTGAGCGAGTGAGACGGGGTGAGTGGTGTGTGAGCGAGTGAGACGGGGTGAGTGTGTGTGTGAGCGAGTGAGACGGGGTGAGTGTGTGTGTGAGCGAGTGAGACGGGGTGAGTGTGTGTGAGCGAGTGAGACGGGGTGAGTGTGTGTGAGCGAGTGAGACGGGGTGAGTGTGTGTGTGAGCGAGTGAGACGGGGTGAGTGTGTGTGTGAGCGAGTGAGACGGGGTGAGTGTGTGTGTGAGCGAGTGAGACGGGGTGAGTGGTGTGTGAGCGAGTGAGACGGGGTGAGTGTGTGTGTGAGCGAGTGAGACGGGGTGAGTGTGTGTGAGCGAGTGAGACGGGGTGAGTGTGTGTGTGAGCGAGTGAGACGGGGTGAGTGTGTGTGTGAGCGAGTGAGACGGGGTGAGTGTGTGTGTGAGCGAGTGAGACGGGGTGAGTGTGTGTGTGAGCGAGTGAGACGGGGTGAGTGGTGTGTGAGCGAGTGAGACGGGGTGAGTGTGTGTGTGAGCGAGTGAGACGGGGTGAGTGGTGTGTGAGCGAGTGAGACGGGGTGAGTGTGTGTGTGAGCGAGTGAGACGGGGTGAGTGTGTGTGAGCGAGTGAGACGGGGTGAGTGTGTGTGTGAGCGAGTGAGACGGGGTGGTGTGTGTGAGCGAGTGAGACGGGGTGAGTGTGTGTGTGAGCGAGTGAGACGGGGTGAGTGGTGTGTGAGCGAGTGAGACGGGGTGAGTGTGTGTGTGAGCGAGTGAGACGGGGTGAGTGTGTGTGTGAGCGAGTGAGACGGGGTGAGTGTGTGTGAGCGAGTGAGACGGGGTGAGTGTGTGAGGGTGTAAGGTCTGGTCTTGGTGCTGTTGCACCAGCTCACACCTGCTCTGGGTCTCGCTATATGCACCACCCTGGTCTAATCCTGGTCTGGTGTAGTGTGGTCTAATCCTGGTGTAGTGTGGGCTTGAATGATCCGGTTTAGGTTTGACTTGGTCTGGAATGGTCTAATTCTGGTCTGGACTGGCCTTGAGTGATCTGGTCCACATCTGGAGCTGTCCTGAATAATGTGGACTGGTCTGGAGTGGTCCAGTCAGAGTCTGATCTCGGTCTAGAGTTGTCCGGAGTGACATGGTGTGCATTTGTTTGAACCAGGTCTAATCCTGGTCTGGTGTGAAGTGAGTTTGAACGATCTGATTTAAGTCCGATGTGGTCCTGGTCTGGCCCCGATCTGGAGTTGCCTTGAATTATGATGCGTAGTGACCCAACTGTGCAGCGCCTTGGGACGTCCTCCTGACGTGAAAGGCGCTCTATAAATGGAATCTTGTTGTTGTTGTTGTTGTAGTGTGATTCTGGTCCAGTCCGGGTCTGGTCTGCTCTGGTTCTCGTTGGTGTTGCTCTGGTCTGATCCGGTTTGTTCCTGGAGGTTGACGTCAGGAGCCTGGGTTTGTCACCCTCCCCTCCTGCCCCCCCTCCCCCCCATGATCCGTGATCAGATAAAGATGTGAACACTGTGTTTATAAACAAATGCCTGACCTGTGATGTGTGTGTGTGTGTGGAGAGGAGCCCTTTCATCCGGTTAATTAGTTAGTCTCTGGTTGACGGCATATGATGGCGGCCTGCGGCTCCCTCTGCCTGTAATTAATGTGCGTCGACTCATACTGGCGAGTACTCCGGGTGCTATCCCGCGTGAATGGCGCTATATACGTGCAAGTTGTTGCTGTGGTGGTCAGGCCTGGACCTGTGTACTAAAAGTTAACAACTCTTGTCTTTCAAAAAAAAAAGTCACGTCTGGCAGTAATGGCTTCTAATCCCTTTTATTCTCACGATTGGAAAAAGACTCCCCTTTCGAGATTGTATTTCTAGCAGCCAGCAAATCTACAAATGTAAGCAGACGGCTCGAGAGCAAGCCAGTTACACTGGCACCTACGGGCTCACTACAGTCATTCATTCACCCAATTGCTCTTTGTGTAGTTTCCTGTGGTGGGACGAAAGCAGCTGCAACAGCTATGGTTATGAAATGGTTTCCATGCATTCAGTCACAGCCCTGAGGCAGACAACGTTATTCCTGGAAGGACTTTTATGGGCATGTAAACATAGACTGGGAGGTGCTAGTGAGCAATACTGATGCCAGTAGAAACTGCGGCGAGACGACAGTACCACCTAATGGATGATTCCTGTTGTAATGTTACTGGATTGTAGGAGATTTTCAGTGTGTGATTGTAGTTTAGTTACATTTGTGCAGAAGTCCTAAATAGGCCTCGTAATTTGGAGGATGGGTAGGTGCAGATACATTGACTGGCTTTGAGCTCAGTTGACTTGTTGCATGCACTAAGTGGATTATGTTTGAAATTATTCATTTCAAGGAGACATTTGCAGACTGTTAGTGTCAGCTATGCTACTAGAAATGTAACCTTGAGAGAGAACAAAGCCTTTTTGGGTCGTGAACAGAAGGAGTTTAGAAGTAATTACTTCCTTCTAAAATGGATTCTCACCTCACACTTGTCTGCATTAATTTAAATTTCATCTGTCATGTGTCTGCCCATTTCACCAGTCTGTCTATGTCTTCCTGCTGTCTGCTACCATTCTCCTCATTGTTTATTACGTTCCCATATACCTTTCATGTTTTTAATGTCCACCTTGGTTTAATATACAATTTCATGTTTGCAGAAACTTTTTTTTAATTAGTTCTGCTTTGCTAAAATTAGTCTATGTTTTTCAATTCTGTAACTTAACACCTCAGTTATTTGGACAACAAAGAATCAAATTACCAAATTGTGGGTGCTGAATAACCCTCTTTGTTTACACTCTAGGAACTTGCAAAGTATGAGCAAATGGAAAATCAGGTGAAGTTGACTGAAAAAGGTACAGTAATTATGTGAATATTTTTGGCGTTTATGTGAATAAAGTGATTCTTTTCTGAACCTGACTATTGTACATTTTTAGAGTTGCTTGAAGATGGATTTGGAGAACATCCTTTCTACCATTGCCTTATTGCAGAAGTCCCAAAGGAACAACAGACTGCGGAAGGTATAAAACTTTATTTCATTTAAAAGGCCCAAGTTTAAGAAAGCTTGTCCACCTAACTTTCCCTTTTATTACTTTTAGTCACTTATCTCTTTTGAGTAGAGGTATATATTATGCACAGCTTTACAGCATTGCCATTGCATATGTTCATAAAAGGAATCTAATTGTTTTCCATCTCCTATGACAGTGGTTCTCAAACATTCGTTTGGTGGCATCAGTGTGCAGCCAATGATAAAGGAAATTATAGACATACACACATCTCAAATGGTTTTCATTTATTTCTGTACATTAGACAAGCCACATTTGAGAAAACACTTTTTTGCACAAAATCTTGCACAGGCAGTAACAAGAACCGCACAATAAATGGAAATCATTTGAGAGGTGCATAAAAATTAGTATTAATAGGGATCAGACATGTCAGTATAGTTGTAATCGGCTTAGTGGTTAAGAGTGATTATATGATCGCCTTGCATGCCCAGCACTATATTGATGCTAAAGCTGGCTAATAGCAGTTGCACACCTCACGTGGTGGTGGTGGGGCTGCTATGGCTGCATAAAATCAGACGGGTGGCCACATTTGAGAAACACCGACTTATAGGGCATTTTTTCCTCTCTCTCCTCACCACTCCTGCTGACTAACTGGTGTGTACAAAATTCCAGATTGTAGCATTGGTGGGTTTGTGCTCTGTGGACTGACCACATAGTTGTTAAGTACCAGACTGTTTGTTTGTTTTGGAAGTGTAATAAAGTTGGTTTATGAACTATTTTGAGAGGCCATGGATTCAATTGATATTTTAATAACAATTCCAAAATGGTTATTTGTACCCTGACTGGTTTCTATTGAGTGGACTTGGGTATTCTTTTTCCAATTCCAATGCTGTTTGTTCCTTTTGAAAAGACAACTTTGTCGTATTTGCTCAAAGTGGCAGTCATTATGAAGGAACAGTTTATGAAATTCAATTAATTCAGAAGCCTACTATAATCCACCTCCACAAATCCAAAGAGAATCTGAACTGGGAGCCTCATCCAGTCCATGGGGTAGAGACCCTGTGAAGAGGCAACCCTGGTGCAAGTTTTTTTTAAATGCATAGACAACTGAGTCAGGTAAACATTCTTAAGGTACTTGGAAAGACTGCTGGTCAGAAATTGTGTGATTGCAATAAGTTGCAGTTTTAGAAAGAAAGAATGTGGGAGTAATGGATGTGAAGCTTGGCAGGAATTGGCGTTAGTCATATTGATGGAATAGACTGTTGAAAAGTTGTATTAGAAGGGATGAAAGGAACCCTTTTTACTGTAATAACCCATATAACTTGGTATAAATTGATTCTAGTGTTAATTCTTAGTAGTAGCAAGGTGTACAGTACATCAAATTCTAGCTATCAAACCCATTGGTGCATTATAATTTAACTTAATTACAGCACAGTTTACCTGCAGCTTAATCACTTTTACCCCAGAAGTTTTGTTTCAAAATAAATTGTATTTTAAAGAACGCACTGAGGTATCGTCATTTGAAATTGGCCAACTGGTGTAAATGTAGTGCGAGTGAAAATTTGAGAAATAGCTGTGAAAGACTTAGTGTTTCCAACCATTTCCTCTGAATACATTTTGAATGGTTGTTTCTTTTCAGATTATAATCTGCATCATCCTTGGACCAAAATTAACAAATAAATCTGATGAAATCTATGTATGTGTATTGTAGTATTTCTAATTTAACTTGCCACCACAATCGATATCCTGCATTTTGTTAGGTTGAGTAATCACAAGTTGGAGACTATTGTACAAACCAGTCTGTAGGTGACTAGTGCAGGATCACTTTAGTGTTCTATTCCATTAGGTTCAGATTTGTAGTGGTGGACTATACTTCAATTCTGAATTGAACGTCTTAGATGTTGCATTTACTTTTTTGTATCTGGATCTTGTTTTTAATTTTTTTGTAATCATGTTGAATTGTATTTTTTCTAATTTATCCCCAATCTTCAGGTTACAGTCTTTAGCTTCGCCATGTACATGGCCCTTGGCGTGTACATGGGTGGGCGGGCTGGTAACTGAAAGATCCATTAAACATTAGATGATCTTGATAACGGAGGTAAGGTCCAGAGGGACGTGTTATTCGCAATTTTAAAAACTAAAGGGAGGGGGAGGGAGAAGCATGGTATATCAGAACTTCTGCATGTACTCTGTATCCAACAGTGCTCTTGAAAAAAAGTTTATTAACTGATATTAATTCATTAAGTAATTCAATTACTTAATTACGATTAAGTTATTGTATTTGTTGAATTCTTACATTTACCGAAATTTAATACCCTTAAGTAAATATGATACTGCCACCTTACTGCTCTGACTGTAAACTCCCCTCCATTCATCTAACACTGTCTTGCTTCACGTCCCCTGCCCCAACATGAGCGAGCTTTCAGCCATCCTGCTCCCACTCTCTGAAATTCCATCCCATAGTCCCTCATCCTGTCCCTCCCCCCTATTTTAAAGCCCGTCTTAAGACCTGTACTTTTCGACCATTCTTGCTTGCCTTTCTTTCCCTTTTCCACCACCACACACACAGCCACACAAGATCAGCTGTGTAAACTGCTTTGAGATGTCCTCCAGATGTGAAAAACACTATATAAATGTAGATTATTGTTCTAAGGTGATTTAGATTTTTTTTAAAAAAAAGGGGCACCTCTTGATCCTAATTTTTGGCAATAAATTGACAGAATTATGAAGTTCTGAACTGCCATGTCTTTTGCTAGACATGTTTTTATTATTATTTGAATAACCCATGGTTAAATAGTGTTGTCGAGTCTTCAGCTGGGTGAATGTGTCATCACAAGGATCATTTGGCTAACCTGGAGCTAGTTGCCCTTGTGATGGCAGATACATGAAAAGGTGGTGAAAAATAAATTATCCGTTCACTGTCTAAGCATGTTTTTTTTAATATAAAATTGGTTGACTCTGAGGTTGAAATGCAGTAACTGAAGTAGAAGGTGCCTTAACTGATGTTCGGGGAGTTAATGGAATAGGTGACTTTTTTTTCCCCTTCTACCATTCAGCAGGCATTTTGTTTTTGCTTTTGTGCTTGTTTTTAAACAACGTTGAATATTAGATCATATTCTATTAACTAATGTACAAATGTTTTCATTCACAAAATGCTGATGAGAATGAGTAATTTGTGCAAAGCAGAGTTTCCTCTGGTGAAAGATGAGGTTGGCCTATTTCCACAAGGAACCTGAGCAAATGGCTTCAAAGTGGTGTAATAACTTAAATAAAAGTCTAATGCATGTTTTAGAAATTCATTTAATGGTCATAAATTTTTAAATTGTTAATTATATCATCCTGTCTTTTTTAAGGATACAGTATTGTGGGATTTGCCATGTACTACTACACATATGATCCTTGGATTGGAAAGTTAATGTACCTTGAAGATTTCTATGTAATGAAGGAATACAGGGGTATGTTTTATGTACATTACTATAAGGCTTCATCTTAAAGCTTGCAACGTTGTTGAGGTTCACATTTGTCTCTGATATATTGTTAAATATAGCTGACGTAATACAGTTGAAGGATGCTCAACATTGTTTCATCAGCTCACCCTCTGGAAAAATTGAACATCTTGAGATATTATCCCTTTGATTTGATCAAATCACACCCTACCCTAGAAGTTTAAATTCCCAATATGAGGAGAAATGTTACTTGTAAATATAGCTCTTTGTTCTTCACATTGCATTTTGCATAGTTTCTAAATGCTGGCATTCTGTTTACAGGATATGGGATTGGCTCGGAAATCCTGAAAAAGATCAGTCAGGTAAAGAAAAGAGTCAGTTCTATATCACAGCTTAATTGTTAGTACTTACAATTTATGCAAGTTTTACTGTAATCAGTTAGGACATAAACATTTAATGACTTGGTTGAAGTCAAAATTGCAGGCATACTATATCAGTCATAACTGTACAATCTAATTTAATAAATCTACACTGCGCATGGTAATTCAAGGCACCTAGGTTAAGTATAACGTAGGTCAGATACAGAGTCTGGTGACAAAAAGAGGTTTTCATCTCATTGTTCTGGAACTCCTAGGAGAGACTGAGATTTATACTCCATCTTAGTGACACTTTTGTCAGATAAATTAAGTATTTGTATATTGGAATATATCTGGAGTAGGCACAAGTTCAAAGCAGTTTTGGACAGGTAAATGTGGAGGAATAGATACTTTACCCTCAATCAATACATAAATAAATAATATTCCTTGCATTTGATATAGAGCCTTATCACGTCTTTGAGATGTCTCAAAGCGCTTCACAGAATATACTGTAAAGTGAATTGACTATATTTTGTGGGTTTTAAGTGAGACTTGAGTAAGAAGTTTGCAAATCGTCAACTTTTTATTGTTTACCTTGTTTCCAGACTGCTGTGCAGAGTCGTTGTAGCAGCATGCACTTTGTAGTGGCAGACTGGAACGAACGTTCGATTAACTTCTACAAGAGGCACGGTGCTGCAGATTTGTCCAAACAAGAGGGATGGCGTCTCTTTGAGATTCAGAAGGAACACTTGATTAAAATAGCAGCTGAAGAGTGAGCGCACATGCTCACAGTCTGAAGTGCACACTAACGTTTTGGCTTTCCCAAACGTTTGTTTTGTTAGAGTCTGATTTTTGTTTATATATATATATATATATTGTGTGAATTGCAAACTAACCTGTGGTAGAATAATCACTTTAAATGTTAATTGTAATGCATGTTGAAATAACTATACTGTAATGATCTCTTTCAGTCTTGGATGATGTCCTGCAAAAGGGGATTTAATCATTCTCCTTGGTGATTTTTATTCCAAAAAAATTGTTTAGTCTATTTTGATGTGTTGGAAAAACCTCATTCTCCTCAATTCTGGTTTAAAAGGGACTTTGTGTTTAATTGGAATTTTGGTTACAGTAAAATGTTTGCTGTTAGGCACAATCTACATATGTATATAGCTTCATATGGATATAGTGTCAATATGTAGAAATGGCTTCTGTAAATAAATTAAGCTTTCATGTTACAGTACAAAGTTTTTATTCACCAGAGAAAGGGTTGCATCTTTCATTTTCCCCTCCCAACTGATTGTCATAATGTAATGTCTGCTCTTAGAGTAACTAGAGGAAATAACCTTCCAATCCATATTGGATATTTAAGCAAAATACAAAATTTCCCAGGCCACCACCAAAAGTACAAAAAATTAATCAGCAATTCAGTTTGGAGTATGAAAATAGTTGCAGTAATGAGGATGATCAGTTCATCTTTTATATGTTTTGTTTATTATTGATTCTGTTTTGGTTTGTAGGCTATAATAGAAGCTCATTGTTAATAAACAGCTTGACAATGTGTTCTATAATCAATTTAACATTAGTGTCTTGATGTTTATGTGCTCAAAATCATACATTTTCTCTTCCGACACTCAGGGTTATTACTTGCCCTTTCCCACACTGACAACCTGTTAGACTAACAAAGATGTACATTCTTCAACATGACATTAAAAATGTCACCACTTTGTAACTACTTGAATATTTTAAATAAAGCAAACTCCAAGGAAAACCGTGTTTCAAAAGCTTGTTTGTAAATCTTTTACGTTGATACTGTTCTGAACTGATCTGTGTTTGTTTAACAGGGAAACAGCAGTGTTGTAATGGCTTTGATTGTACAAGTGACCTGTTGCCTATAAGACATGAGATGATAGCTTTAAACCCCCCGTATTTCAGTTCCGTCACATGGGTGAGAGTGAGTGAGGGGAATTCGGCCAAACTAACCGAGTGGCTTGTTTCTGTGCCACATCACCTAAGTGTACCTAATTCCACAAGAGTAGTACAAGAACAAAGGCTTGGAGACCCCAGAGTGCATTTGGATACTGCTGGAGTTTAACCAGCTAAAACCGCATATAGTGACTATCCTCCTTGAGGGGAGGCAAATGGAACTAAAGTAGTTCCAAGGTGATGTGCTTGGAAATGTTGGACCCTCTGTGGTTGTCGCTGTAGTCTGGTTCCTGAGCCAGGTGAGTCCACAGTGCTCTGGGGTGCTGCTGCTGATCGACGAGCCAGCCTGGCTTATAGGTAGGACTTGGAGAAGCAGACAAGAGTCACTGGGGGCAGGGATTCTTCCCATTCAGTTCATGTTAACCCTGCAAGCCAAAGCCTTAATGGGTAGGGTGGTCCTAGCTGGTTAAGCAGCAAGAACACTTGCCAGACATTGCTTTCAATGGCAAGTATGCTGTTTTAGCTGGTCAGACTCCAGCAGTACTCCAATGCACACGCTGGGATCCCCAAGCCTTGACTCTTGCAGGCCTGCGCCTAATACTCTCCGAAACTGGGTAAGCAAGAGGCGTTCCTCCAGAAAGAGAGTGCGCATTCCCCATTGCAAACATGGGAATTTCCATTTGTAGGTGGTGAACATGTCTGGGCTACAATCAATAAACTCTATAGCCCTGATTAATATGAAACCTGTGATCTTCCTGATGTGCATAGGATAATTTCTGTGCATATGTGCACTTCTGTCTGGTTTGGATACTCTTAAGCATAGAGATGGATTTCTGCATATTTCATACACCCTGCTGACCAAAAAAAATATTTGTATTGCAACTCCATAACTTTCAGTACAATTCTCAATAGACAATGAGTCTTTTAATCTTAATTTTTAAGTAAAACAATTTAGATTAACCAAATATAGCACTAGAGTGACATTCAACCTCCAGGGCTGGCCTTCTATTTGCTAATGTGGTAAATTAATTTGCAAGGCCATTCACTAGATGAGGTTTCCCATTTAAACAGCCCAATAACAACTGTGGTCTGTTTACAGTGCAGGTGTGGGACTAAAGTTGCAGACAAATTGCAACCAGCTACTGTATAAAGAGCAAAGAGAGAAAAAGGTTCCCACAATTGTGGGAACAGAAGCAATTTTCAACCAGACTAGAAAAATCCTGAAATAGCTTGTCAATAAATAAGCAATACTGTAAAAATCCTGATTGTCCTGGCCTCCTTATTACTATGTACTTAGTAACTGAGTGGGCTACTTTGCAATTGGTACAAATGTTACTGTGCTCTCATTGTATACAGTTGTGCACAAGTGCCAAGTCAGTGCCTTGAACCAAAGTTCAAACATTTTACCATCTGTTAGATCTAATTTTGCACCATTAAATATTGCTATAATATTTGATTATTTGCCAAACTGCAGAAAACAATATTGCATTCCTTTTATTTCCACAAGGGATTAGCTAACACTTCTGATTATGTAAGTAATGCAACTCACTTAATTACAGTTATGTTGAGTGCTGTGCGATAAATGCATCTTCTGGCAAAGCCAAGTTCTTACATATATGGATGGTAGTTAGCCATTAATACAGTCATCTAAATACCACATAAACATGAAAAAACATCAAATGATACAGTAGTTTGCCATTTCCAATACAAGTTGCACTTACACAATGCCTTATACATGACAAGGGGGGAATAACAACAACAAATTGTATTTATATAGTGCTTTTATCTTCGGAGTGCCATCCCAAGGTGCTGGGCAGTCAAGGGTTTGCACCTAAGCTGGGGGTTGGAGTAGTGGGGTGGGAAGGAGGTCAAAGGCATGGTCAAAGAGGGTCTTGAGACAGGCCTTGAAGGAGGCATGGTAGGGTGAGAGGTGAAGGGATTCCAGGTGGAGTTCTGTAGGGTGGAGGCAGAAACATTGAAGGGCTGACCACCAATGGTGGGGTGGCGGGGAACATGGAGCAGGCCAATGCACACTGAGCAGAGGGAGTGGACAGACTGGTATAGTGTTAATGGGTTGCAGAAGAAGGGAGGAGCATGACTGCGGAGGGCTTTAAAAGTGAGAACGAGGATTTTAAACTCGATCTTCTGAGAGATGGGAAGCCAGTGGAGCCTGGCAAGCATAGGAGAGGACACAGCAGGGAGGAAAGCAGGTGAAATTTAAGGATGTCTGTCAAAGGCTTGGTTAGATACAATTTTAAGAGGATCTTGAAAACGGGGACAGACTTCACAAGGCCTTTCATTGGAATTATCAACACAACAATAGAAAACTTCTATCAATATATCCTCAGCATGTTTTTGAGTTGTTTTGGAGTGACCCATAATTATGAGATGTCACATTTGTAAGATGCCTGTTAGACTGTACAGTGACTTTTGGAGGGTTTTCACAAATCAAAATGGAATTATTTTTGCTGCACTTAGATTTATTGAATCTAAAGTATAAAAACAGATGTCAGACAGAACTGGTTTTCAGTGTTGCTGACATCATTGATTTCACCTAAACGGAATAGTCCTGCTTGTGCAGGTCAAAGACTGAATGTGTGGATACTGCCTAATTATTAATTATATTATACAAGCACCTTCTGTGTATCTCCAAAGAATTTGGGCATTTAAAATCTTGAGAATATATATCATAATGAATTTTCCAAACACAAGACAATTTGAAATTCATGTCAGCTAGGATTTGGCAAAAACAAGTTATGTGGTCATGACCTACTCTTAAAGGAATTCTGAGGTGGAAGTAAAATGCAAAATACGTTCCTTTGTAACACATAGGCTCCAACATGCAACACATGTTCAGTATTTGCTACAGATTATTGACCACAATATTTTCCAAATCACATATTCTTGCAACAGATCATGCAGGAAAAACTGTTTTTTGAGAGTTTGCTCAATTGTACAGCAAAGGGGTTGCTCTACTCAAGCCTGAACTTACACTGATGACCACAACACTATAGGATTAAAGGTGAAATATCTTGCCCATCCCCAATTCAAGACAGCCTGACATTTACTTTGAAAACATTGAATCAAATGGATATTTGTGAATTAGCACAACACAATAGGATTTTCCTCCAGCAATGAATTATTAAACTATTGAAGGAATTTACCCTAAACAAAGATATTCTGCACAAAAAACTAATGAAGAGAGAAATTCCATCTGGGTTTAGATTTACTCTATTTACATAGTAGAATAATAATAATCCTTGCATTTGACATAGCACTTTAACATGTCATCAAGAAATCTCAAATCAATGACACAGATATACAAATCAAATAATGCATAAGGAATTGCTCAGTACTCCAGACAAAACAATAAGCCTGAGAACAAACCTCAACATACACAGCAGAGATCAACTCCTGGAAATCCCTCGGGGACAACTGATTCTGTAATAGGGACTGGCGCCCGGTAAACCCTCAAACACAACCAATCCTATAAAAAAAAAAGTTAATTACAGAACTATCACACAGAATCGCAGAGAGTAGCTCCTGTAAACTCAACAGAAACAATCAGCTCTTAGCCCAGCAGCTCACTCATGCTGGCTACAACAACAACAAAATTACATTTATATAGCGCCTTTCACGTCGGGAGGACGTCCCAAGATGCTGGTCAGTGTACAGGATTTCAGACCCAAGCTGGGGTCGGAGGGAGAAGGGAGGGCCGATGGCATGGTTGAAGAGGTTTTGAGGTGGGACTTGAAGGAGGCTAAGGAGGGGGCGAGGCGGAGTGATTGGGGAATGGAATTCCAGAGGTTGAGGGCAGAGTGGCTGAAATTTCTCCTGCCAATGGTGGGACGGGTGGGGCGGGGGAAGTGGAGCAGGCCAGAGCCGGCTGAGCGGAGAGAGCAGGCGGGTTGGTAGGGGATTAGGAGGTCGCAGAGGTAGGGTGGGGCGAGGCCATGGAGGGTTTTGTAGGTGAGGACCAGGATCTTGAACTGGATCCTCTGAAGGATAGGGAGCCAATGGAGTCAGGCGAGAGTAGGGGAGATGGGGTCTAACCTGATTTCTGCATTTGAAACGGACCAACCACTACTACTGTTATTACTTCTCTACCTAGCAAACAGAACCAAAAACATATTACCCACTACTCCTCCTCTTTTACTTTTAATGGTCACTTTCTTACTGGAAGTAAATTCCCTCACTCCTGTACATATACATAGATACAGTAGAATCGATATCGATTCCACTGGGAAGTGCGCTGACCCTTTACACAACTCCAACTATTTCAAAATGACATCTTTCTTTTATGTGTTTCTAACTCCACCTTCCCCGGCCACAGAGATGAGCCCCCACCCTTCGCAGGGTGCTTTGCACAGAGAGAGATATGGACAACTTCTTGTCAGCCGGCTTGTTTCTCAGTCTTGAGATAGGCGGGTGTCTGTAGCCTTTCCTTTCTGTGGTCCATTGTTCTTACATCTATGCTCAAGAACCCAATAGCTCATTATCTCAGAGCAGTGAACATCGTCCCAGGAAAATATGAAATGTAATCAGAAGCTAACCTCAGCCCATCCAGCAAATCTACTTTTAACCCCCAATTCTTCTGGAACATTCGGTGGCTGCTATCAGTATACCAATGTATCCTGAGGTGCTAGTCAGTATATTTCAACAATATTTAAGAATTTGCAATTCGCACAAGAGTAGTTGAGAGGAGGAAAGCAACAATTTCAAACATCATGGGTCTTATGGATCAGCTGGTGATTACAGGGTCAGCAAAAGTGGGTTCAAGGGAGCAGCTGACACCCACAGAATCTGAATGTTGATCATCCGACAGTTTATGGGGCACATTCAAAGTCCAACACATGGTAGAATAGGGCACCACCACCGGGATCAAGATAGAGCCATTTGTGGCCCAAGTGACTCCACATTTGGAAGGGAGATCCAAAGATCCTTTCTAAAATATGTAACAGTAAAGTCGCAGCATCCAGAAATATGATTTGGGAAGCTTGGAGCTAGGGCATTTTGAATTGTTGTTTTTGCCTGGAACAAACAAACTGCTCTTGTCTTTAAGTAGCCTCTTACACTTAAATAGCGCCTTTCACATCAGGTGGACATCCTAAAACGATTGACAATAATAATCACAGCCCCTAGTGTTGAGGGTGGGGTGGGATCTAATAGGTTTTTTAAAAAAGGATGACTAAACACCTCAGTGATCAGCTGTTGGTTCCAAATCTTTGCTTCTTTGTTCAACAGCTGCTTCTGGAGACTTATCTGACAGCTTATCTGACGCAGAGCCAGGTCTCTAATCTGTTCAGGAGCTTGGAAGTGCGCTACTTTTACATTACACTTTGCCTCCAGAGAAAGGCTCAACTGCGGAGCTAAAGTGGTAATATAAAAACTGCATTAGATCATTTATAGACCGTCACAATGCACAAAACCTTACGTTTTTGTGTCCACCTTAAATAAAGGCAGCAGAGCCTGCAAGCTCTGCATAAAGAATTAGCCCTGATCCTTTTCTCCCCCATTCCGCTGCTACTATTTTGGGAGGGTCAATCGATGGTATCCCAAGCATTTAAGCTGAGAAAGTTTTCACCAGCTGAGCATATAGCAGACCCCCAGCTGGCGTTCCTAGATAAGTCTTGCCCACAAATATACAGTCAATTGATTTTACAATATATTCTGTATACACTTTACAGTATATTCTAGAAAACGTGAAAAGTGCTATATCAAGTGCAAGGATTATTTTATTATAAGTGATCTCTCTGGATCGTCATGCAGGCTGGTTCTATGACCTCTGGATGATCTTATTGACACTCCAGCTTGTATGTTACCTTTGTAACTGGAGGAGCTCCTTGCTACAAAAGGCAGCCTGAAGAGTTTCCATGAAATGATAAAGGCAGAGAAATCTTTTATCGAACAGTACTGTATTCTGGCCTCCTCCATCCTCGCACAATCATTTTCTTTCAATAAGAAACATTTCTTATTATACGTCAACAACATTGAACAATGTTCAGAGTACGTACTAGAACAAGTGACCTCTACTTTCTTATCTGATTTTGGAACAGTTTATCTATTCACTTTCAACTGACTACTGCTTCATATCCATATTACATTTTTACTGGTTTGTGGATAACATGGTTCACTTTCTATAAATCTTTAACTTTTGTGGTTACTTGTTTTGTTAATTTGCGGGGATTGTGCAAGCAGTACTTTAACAAGGACAAACAGTAAAATAGAAAAAGAACACTCATGAGTGCATTGAGGCAAAGCTTTGCTGGAAACAAATGCAATAACAACACCACTTTGGCAGCCTCTCAAGATATCTAAATAAGCTTACAGTCACTGTTTGGAGTACAGGCAGAATTGTGAATCCCACAGGGGAAAGAATTTACGTCAACAATGTAGGAGTTACAAAACCAAACAGATTTAGAAAGCGTCTGGAATATTGACCTTGCAATTACCATGAATAGACTTTGGCTTCTCAAGTTGAAACTATGCATTTCAACTACAAAGTCATGGAAAACCAAATACTGTACTTCTGTTGTTGTTGGAGAGGTGGTAAGTGGAATGAAAATGCCTTACACAAACAACATGCAGCACCCTCTGGTGTTGGACAAGAATGTAACCTGTTAAAAAAATTGATCATGACAAAAACTAATTCTCAGCTTGGTTTGGATTCTCTTAAGCCTAATGATGGGTTTCGGATGTGTCAGACAATTTCCTGCTAATATACGAAAGAATTCCCTATTTTTTCAAATATTCTTCCTAATAATCTTTAACATCTGACAAAGTTTCCGATATTTTCTTGTTTTAATCTCCTGATTCAGATTTTTTTAAAAGCAGAAATATTGAATCCAGTTAATCGTAATAATTCCAGCACTCTTCTGAAATATTCTAAGAGACCATGTTAATAACTGAGTAATCAATTTAAATCAAGCTCAACCCTAAAACATTGTGCTCTGCATAATTTACTGTTTTACATGCTTTTAACCACAAATCCATCCAGAAACTCTAAGGTCTATTTTCTGAGCATGTTTTCTAAGGGACAGTCATGGGTTTGTGGTGGTAATGGCCCTCATTTTCCCTCTACAAAGGAAATGAAACTTGTAGTGTTTAACTGAGCAAAATGATCCTCATCTGACTGAACTGTTTGTGCTTCCAACTAACCCAAACCGGTAATACAAAAATGCTGACCTAAACATTTGTAGGAAGTCAACTCAATCGAGTTTGTCAAAACAACCATAAAAAACACAAAGTTCAATATTGTAAAAGTAGTCAATCAACATTCAGAAATAATAATAATAATCCTTGCAAAACACAAAATACTACAGATGCTGGAAATCTGAAAACAAAAACAGAAGTCGCTGGGAACACTCAGCAGATCAGGCAGCATCTATGGAGAAAGGAAAGTGAGTCAACGGCTCAAGTGCAGTTCTGACGAAGGTTTGGTGACTCGAGACGTTGACTCACTTTCCTTTCTCCATAGATGCTGCCTGACCTACTGAGTGTTCCCAGCGACTTCTGTTTTTGTTTTCATAATAATCCTTGCATTTGTTACAGCGCCTTATCACGTCTGCGAGATGCCTGAAAGCGCTTCACAGAATATACCCTAAAAGTGAATTGACTGTATATTTTGTGGGCGAAACGTCAAAAAAAATGAAGGTAACTGTCACAAAATGCTAAATAATCTGGATAAAGTTACTAACCAGAAACTGCAATACCACAGAAAAAAGACAGGAAGTTTCTGACTTAGCATCAGGAGACGAATGCTCAATTATTCAGTGCTGAAGTATGAGACAGCACTAAACCCTTGAACAGAGTCTACCGTTGTGTCCGATCAGTAGTATAATGATGTTTGGTGGATTTTGCAATCATAAACAAGTAATAGATGTACAACAACAATAGCTGGCATTTATATAGTGCCCTTCACACGGGGCAACGTCTCAGGGCCCTTGCAAATGCTTAGGCGTGTGGGATTTACACACAAAGATGTCAACACTTAAGTCGGGTGGGACACCAGGATCTGCAGGCGAACAAGGCAGTCAATTTTTGTCATTCACCACATGGGCTGTGTATGGGACCAAATATCTATCTGTGTTGTGTACCTACAAAAAACTCCACAGTCCACATACAGCTGATGTGAATTCCCTTCCCTGGGGAGTAAATTGTGCTCTGCTCTGCAATAATGTACTGTTTCACGTGCTTTTAACCGCAAATCCATCCCGAAACTCTTAAGGTCTATTTTCTGAGCATAATAATAATAATAACAATAATCCTTGCATTTGATATAGCGCTTTTCACGTCGGGAGGACGTCCCAAAGCGCTTCACAGAACACACCGTAAAGTGAATCGACTGCGTATTTGTGGGCGAACGCGGCGGCCAATTGCGCACAGCAATGTCCCACAGACAGTCGTGGATTGAAAATGACCGATTTTATTATTGTTTTTGTTGTTTTCGGAGGGATTGTTATGAGGCTCTGCGTGGAGTAGGGAAACTTGCCCAAGGGTTTCGCCCTCTGCCTGGGATTGAACTCAGGTCTCAAGTGAGCAACGCTTTACTCAGGGACAGTCATAATAATAATAATAATAATCCTTGCATTTGATATAGCGCTTTTCACGTCAGGAGGACGTCCCAAAGCGCTTCACAGAACACACTGTCAAGTGAATTGACTGTACATTTGTGGGCGAACGCGGCGGCCAATCGCGCACAGCAATGTCCCACAAACAGTCGTGGATTGAAAATGACCAATTTATTATTGTTTTTGGTTTTGGAGGGATTATTATTAGGCTCTGTGTGGAGTAAGGAAACTTGCCCAAGGTTTCGCCCTCTGCCTGGAATTGAACTCAGGTCTCTCACTTGCAAAGCGAGTGCTCTAACCACTGAGCTACAGGACTCCACTGTATGGGGTTTGTGGTGGTAACGGCCCTCGTTTTCCCTCTCTCCACAAATGTCATTCCTGGGACAGCCACAGCCCGAGGCCCGGGGCCTGAGGCCTGAGGGCTGAACCCTAACCCCCTCAGCAGGAGACCCCGCTGCGTGCGCCACCTGTGCAGCAGTCACATCACCACCCGGTCGGTCGGTCGGTCGGTCGCTGCGCTGACGAGGTGGGGGCGGTGACGAGGTCGGGCGCTGGGACCCTCGGCGCTGCAAGTGCGCTGGGCGCTGCCACTACTGCCGAGCGGCCTTCAGGGGGCGCTGTCGGCGGCGGCGGCGAGCAGCGGGCGCAGGTCCGGCGAGGCTCGGTCGCTGACCCGCGGAGGGCGGGTGGTGGGGTGGGGGGGGGGGGGAGAGATTGTATCGTGTTTACGTGTGATCGAGCGGCCGGCGGTCAGCGGGGGCGGGAGACGCAGCGGGTCGAGAGAGGGACGGCTGAGCGGAGCGGAGCGGAGCTGAGCGGAGGGCTCTCCGAGCGCCATGTAAGTCGCTCTGAGCGGCGGGGCGGGCGGGCGGGCCCGGGGCGCCGCCATCTCGTGGCGCAGCCGCCGCCGCCGCCGCTGAACAGTGACCCGGTTTTGTTATCTGGTGCTCTGTTCGGTGCGGTTCGGTGCGGTGCGGTGTCGAAGCTGCTGTGGCGCTGGGGGCCGGCAGGGGGGCCGCACGGCTGTGGCTGGGGGGCGCTGTCTCAGGCCCGGGGGTCGGTGTCAGGGGCCTTCGGGCCTCGGGTCTGGCCTGGGCTGGGAATAGCCCGGAGCCCGGGTTTGGAGAGAGAGGGAGAGGGTGGGGGTGGGGGGTGAAGGGGGGTGGGGGAGCGAGGGGTTAAGTGAGGGGGGGTGGGAGATGGGGGCGGGGGGTGAGGGGTTAAGTGAGGGGGGGAGGTGGGAGATGGGGAATGAAGGGGTTAAGTGAGGGGGGGTGGGGGAGTGAGGGGTTAAGTAAAAGGGGTAGGAGGTGGGGGAGTGAGGGGTGGTGAGGAGGTGGGGGGGTGAGGGGGGGTGAGGAGGTGGTGGGGGAGTGAGGGGTAGTGAGGAGGTGGTGGGGGAGTGAGGGGTGGTGAGGAGGTGGGGGAGTGAGGGGGGTTGAGGAGGTGGGGGAGTGAGGGGTGGTGAGGAGGTGGGGGGGTGAGGAGGTGGGGGGGTGAGGAGGTGGTGGGGGAGTGAGGGGTAGTGAGGAGGTGGGGGGGTGAGGAGGAGGTGGGGGCGTGAGGGGTAGTGAGGAGGTGGGGGGGGGGGTGGAGGTGAGGGATGTCAGTGGAGCTCCAGTGAACAGGAGCAAAGTAACTGAAAGCTCGTTCACTGCCGATGGAGCTGAGCGGCCGAGGGGACCAGAGTTGACGTGGTGAGGAGGATTGAAGAGGGGAAAGGAGGAAAGTGCAGCTGGAGGTGAAAACAAGGATCTGGAAGATGATTGACTGAGGGATAGGCAGCCGGTGGAGTTGGGTGAGGATGATAATCATCATAATAATCCTCGCATTGGATGTCGTACGCCTTTTCGAGACGTCTCAAAGCGCTTCACAGAATATACTGTGTTTTGTGGGCTGGCGTGGAATGGGCTCGCAGAGCTCGGTGTGGGGGAAGAGTTGGGCAACGAAGGTAATAACAAACAGACAGTCCTTGTATTTGTCTTAGCGGCTGTATATTTGTAGGTATTCAATCTAAAATACGTTGTACTGTATTCCAAACCCTGATCGGGTAACTTTCCCATTGCACAGCCTTCTTCGATGCATCAAATATTTTAGGTGGATAGCAGTGTCCCACAAACAGCATCCAGTGAATGATCATTTCTATATCTGTGGGATTATTGGTTAGAAACTGGGAAAAATGTCTTTCTCTTTTTGAATATCGGCTGCTGCATTTCGCCCACAAAATGTACAGTCAATTCATTTTGCAGTGTGTTCTGTGAAGAGCTTTGAGACATCTCAATGACGTGATAAGGTGCTATATCAAATGCAAGGATTATTATTATCATTATTATTATTCTGTGAAGCGCTTTGAGACATCTCGAAGACGTTTTAAGGCGTATATCGAATGGAATGATTATTATTATTATTGGGTTCTTTAACCTCCACCTTAACAAGCAGATTTCCTGGGACCTTGGCTTAACATGTCATCTGAAAGATGCTCTTTGCTCTGTACTTTTGGTTAAAACTGTTTCTTTAGATAAAACCATCAACATATGTACGCAGTTTGGATTAGATTGAGGCTTGCTCTTTTTGGTGGTAACTCCCTGACTGCATTTACTAGATAAGATACAATGTCTGATGTTTTTCTGTAAACATCAGAGCCTACTTACTTTAGCTTAGTGGAGGATTTTTTATAAATATATGCTGTTTGGGAAAACAAATACTACAACAAATTTAGGATTCAAAATTGAAAATCTAATACATAAATTGAACCATAGAAGAGCAGGAAAACACCTCAAAACCCCATCAAGTTCACTCCTTGCGCAATTCTCCCATTACACCTCCCATCCAATACTCACAAATAGCACTTTAAGACATCTTGAAGACATGATTAGGCACTATATCAAATGCAAAGATTATTATTATTACTCTTCTGTTGTTGACCATCCAGGTTTATTTTCTTTCATGGCTGGAGGACTCCAAGCTCTTCACATGATTTACTGTAGAGACTGAGTGATTGGTAGGCAAACTCAGCAACCAATTTGTAAATGGCACATACCTGAGTGAAGTGAAATAGCTTCTGTTAAAAAATAAATCTCTCCCCAGGTACCTTTACTTCTCATTAAAAGTTAAAAAGATAGTTGGACAAGTATGTCACAGCCCGGCATTGATACCATTGTAAGCTAATTGGAATATCTTAAAACTTGCTCAGCTTGCGTAGCTTAAATTACAATAGTTACTTATGTTAATACTGTATTGCTAGACTTGCTCTTTTCCAATTTTACTCGATGATAAGAGAGCAGAAAAAAAGTAGAAAGTTCATTTGTACGTTTAATAGATGAAAAGTACTGTTTTCCACAGGCCAGGGAATATGGGTTCACCTGCCCTTGTTTGGGTTGGTTTCAAAGGGCATAGAAATGTTTAATAAACTTGTAAGTGATTTGCGCATTTCTTTTAAAGTTAACTCTAAAATATTAGTCTTACTCTATCCTTATTTCTTGACAAGAATTTCAAAATCTCTCACTATGTTACTTTGAATTCTGCAGGGCTGACTACTGGAAGTCCCAACCAAAGAAATTCTGTGATTACTGCAAATGCTGGATAGCGGATAACAAACCTGTATGTTACCTGTCTTTTTTATTGCTCGTAACAGCTTTAACTCCTTGAATTGGAGGAGTTAGCAGGAAATTTAATAGTTGAATTGTTTATATGTAAATCTAGAAGGAAAATGCCATAACAATTAAAACTGATGTGTTATTTATGCATAAATAATACATGTGCATTCTTAATGTTAATATATTAATGATAAACAATATGAAACCAAGTGTTAAAACTATAATAAAGTAATGCATTTAAAAATTGATGGAATTGGAATCTGCATATTTCTGATTTTATAATTAGTAGTTACGAATAGTTTATAGTAGAAGCTTATTGTAGAAACTCTGAAATATATGGGTTATAACTTTGTTTGAAAATGCTATGACTGTAAGCATACCTAATTTATAATAATTTTTTAAACTTCAGTTCCGCCTTTGTATTGTCAGCTGAACTTGTGTAAATACATTTTGATCTCATTTTTCTGTTGCTGATTTACAGTAACTTTACCAATCAGAATGTTTTCTGTTTTAATTATTTATGTGTTAACTGCCAGTAACCTGCATCCATGTATTCTGTTGAAACAAAATTTGGAGCTTTATTCCAAGTTTTTTTAAAGATATTTTTTCATATTGTTTTGACTTATTTTTTGGAAATATTTCTTCCAGAGTGTTGAGTTTCATGAAAGAGGAAAGAACCACAAAGAAAATGTGACGAGGAGAATTGACGAGGTGCCCTTTTACACAGTTTTATAGAGATGATTTCTGTTTATTTTGAGAAAGTGTTCTCTGTTGTGTAAGGCTGAAAAGCAGAATTGAATTTATGTTTCCAGATTAAGAAGAAAAGCATGGAAAAAGCAAAGGAGGAAGAAAGAGCGTCAAAGGAATTTGCTGCAATGGAAGCTGCAGCAATGAAAGCTTATCAGGAAGATCTGAAGCAACTTGGAGAAAGTGTTTCATGTAGGATTGATCACATAATTTACATTATTCTTTTGATGACAGCAAAATGTCTCATGATTTTAAAAGCTGTCAAAATTGTTAAAGAAAAAAGCAGTAATTATGTGGTAAATGGTAGGAATTTATTTTTGGGAGGTCAGACACATGCAGAAATCCATCACTGTACTTAAGACTATCCGAAGTTGAGTCCAATATATACCTTGTAGATGTGAATGGGAATTTTGCATTCTCTGGAAAGGAATGTACACTCTTAGGTTCAAGTTGACACCTAATTCTTTCTGGAATGAAATAGGCAAGTGTGAAATAAATTGTCTGATTTTCTGTGGAGTAACTTTTGTGTAGTACAATAGTTAGCTCATTTTGGAAAAGATTGTTAATCATTGGAGCACATTTTAAAAGCTTTTTAATGAATATTACATTTAATAACTCTTGAGTTTTAGTAATTTTCCAATTCTAAAATTTAATTATATTGTGTTATTCTCTCAGCTACTTCATCTTCCAGTACAATTGAGAGCCAGCAGACGGAAAAGAACTTGGAAGCAAAACGTGGTATGAAGAAGAAAAGAGCAAATGATTGGGTGGAGGGAGTCTCACCTGAAGGATATAGCTATTACTACAACAATATAACTGGAGGTAGGACACCTTAGTTCTTGTTTGTTTTTAAAAAGCTCTGTTTGCTTCCAGAAAACCAAAACGTTGCTTAAAGTTGGAATACATTGTAAGCAGTAGATACAGTTTAGCACAGTAATATTTGGAGTGCTGTAACTGACCACTATCAGTTAGAAATCCCTATCAAAATAAATAAAAAATAAATTGGTTACTTCAATCCACAACTGTTTGAGGGACATTGCTGTACGCAATTGGCTGCTGCATTTCGCCCACAAATTATACACAAAATATACAAAATATATACGCTTTGCAGTAATATTCTGTGAAGCGTTTTGAGATAAAGTGATTAGGGGCTATATCAAATGCAAGGATTATTATTATCAAACAATTCTTTCTCTGCTATTGGGTAAAATGTAGATTTGAAAACAATTATCTTTGCTTTTGTTTTTTTTCCTATTTATTTGGGACACTACTGATTTGAACATGAATGGAAGAACTTAAATTTAGCTTTTGTGTTTGTACCTTTTACCTTCTGTTACTGGAACTCCATCCCACAGTCCCTCCCCTTCTTTCAAGACCTGTCTCAAGACCTCAAGTCTCTTTGACCGTGCCTTCGGTCACCCTCCTTCCCCCCTCACCCCCTTGCCTTCCACCCTCCCTGATCCCGACCCGCAGCTCGGGTCCAAAACACTGATTGTCCAGCGCCTTGGGACATCCTCCCAATGTGAAAGGCGCTATACAAATGTAATTTTGTTGTTGTTCATGCAGTCTATCCTATCTGACCTAAGCAACAAGCTAGAGAAGAGACTCATAGATGGAAAGTGCTTGCCTCTTCTCAGTACATCTTTCAGGGACATAACTGAAATGGCAAATCTGTGCCCCATTACACAATAGTTAAGAATGACATCCCCCCAATAATTTCTGCTTCAGCAGAAACTTGCTTCTAAATAGAATTGTGGAGTCCTGTAGCTCAGTGGTTAGAGCACTCGCTTTGTAAGTGAGAGACCTGAGTTCAATTCCAGGCAGAGGGCGAAACCTTGGGCAAGTTTCCTTACTCCACACAGAGCCTAATAATAATCCCTCCAAAACCAAAAACAATAATAAATTGGTCATTTTCAATCCATGACTGTTTGTGGGACATTGCTGTGCGCAATTGGCTGCCGCGTTCGCCCACAAATATACAGTCAATTCACTTTACAGTGTGTTCTGTGAAGCGCTTTGGGACGTCCTCCCGACGTGCAAAGCGCTATATCAAATGCAAGGATTATTATTATTATAATTCAAGCTGAACTGATGTAAATGTGTACCTGTCACAAATTTGTCTTTAAACCTCTTAACTAGAATAACCTGAAATATAGTTAGTAAAAAGGCTATTGCTGCTGTTGATACAAATGATCTTGCAGTCCTTGTGCTCTTTGTGTCTTTTTTTGTATGACTCAATGTTGTAATTTTTGATGTCCTGAGTTTTTTATTGATTTTATTTTTATCTAAATAAATTTGTTCTCTCTGTACAAGAATCTGCTGGAGTAAAATTGCTGAGCTCACAATAGACCCCAATGGCATAAAACCATTAATAAGTCACTGATCTGCGGGAAAACAGATTTTCTGCTTTCTGCTTTCCCACTCATCTGTGTGAAAGCAGAAACAGTGCAAATGTTCTCATTTAATTTAGTTTTTCTACATCACCATGAATACAAAATGTGCCTGCATATTTTCCGAGTATCAGTGCATGTGTACCAATTAATCCTGTGTGGAAATCTCATAAATCTTGCAGGTGAAGTTATTTAGGAGCAGATCTTCGGACTACTCTTAAGCACGAGAAATGGGGCAGATTTTGTGGTAATATTCTGCTGCTTCTAAATCTAGCCTCTTTGACAATATTTGTTTTTTCTTTTATCAGCACCATCATCAAAGTTGCTACACTTTGTGGAAAGTGAAATAACTTGCCATTAATGTCCAGAAAAGTGTAGATTTTAAAAGGGCAGAGATTTGTCTATGATAATCCATTTAAAACCTAGTAGCGTGGGGACATGCAAGCATTTTCCCCAGCAGTCCAAGACCATTTTGATGTTTGACCAGGGTGTCTGACTCATCAACCAGATATAGAAATTTGGACCCGACAAACAGTGCAAACCAAGGCCTTCACGGGTAGGGCAGTCCTAGCAGCACAGTGCTTATTGTGCAATGGTTCTCATTTCTTTCTCATTACTGAAAGATTATAAGTAAGCTCATTCAAAGTTTGAATGTTAGAGAACGTCATTGTATTGAAGTCATAAAAGACTCTTGTAAAGTCGAATTGTTTTTCTGATGCTTAACACTATTCTGGTATTTTAATCTTGTTCAGTCTTCATATGTGTTTCCTTTAAGATTATGAAATGTTATCTCAAGTTACTCATTTTCTGAACCCTTACATTTATGAATCTAGTCCAATCAAACAATTTATTTTCGTGGTCAGTGTATGGTCACCAATATTTACTTTCGTTCATCATATTTAATGTATAAGAAACACATTAATTAAATGGATTATGCAATCCTTTCTTGTTAACATTGTTGATCGGATCAACTGATAGATCAGGTCAAATCCATTTTATTTAAATGATAGTCACATAATGGGCTAACATCAGCAAGAGGTGTCTGTAAAACAGTCATGTGGAGTAATCACATCAGTTTTACTAAGCATGATTGTCCATATTTATCTTGCAAAGAACTATTTTATGCATTGATAATTACCATTAGATGAGGAATTAGCCACAATGTTGTACTGTTGGTATTTCTAAATGAATATAGAGAATAAATACATTTAGATTTTGCGTACTTTAGGAGACAATCAACCTGCATGTAGGGCTGATCCTTTTAATTTGTTGTAGTTCCAACAAGCATTCCAACTGTCGTGTTGTTTGAGAACTACAATAACAAAATACACAATCAATCCACTTTACAATATTTTCTGTGAAGCGCTTTGAGACTTCTCAACAACATGATAAGGTGTTATATCAAATGCAAGGATTATTAGTTTTATGATTAACCATAGTACTTGATTTTTTTTCTCCAAGGTTTGAAGTATTATAATCACTTGGCAGCAAACTTTTACCTGACCCCCTATTTTTTAAGTTCTTCTCTTGCTTAATATTCCTGGTAAAGCTAGAAGACACCCAACCTAGTTTCAGGCCTCCGGCAATTCCACATGGAAAATTAAATGTATGGAGCTTGGGTTTCTCTGCCCTTTCTGTCTTGCTGTTAAACTCCACCTGGAGTTCACCAAACGTTTTGACTTGGAATGCACAATTTATGTACAACTGTTACTAGATATAAAGTTTAATTCTTCCAGCAAACCATAGTATATTGGGTATAAAATTGTATATTTTCAATATAATCTCTGTAGCAAATGAAGTACCACAGTAAAATCTGGTGCTTCACGTGAAGTGATAGTGCTCATAAATTGGACTCAGGCAGTCATAGTGGGCAAAGAGGAGTGGTACTCCCAAACTATTAGTGATGGTCCAAACGTTGAGTCCAGTCAATACATAATTTGATTGAATGGTATAACTTTTTTAAATAAATACATTTTAAGTAGATTTCTTGTGACTTCTGTGTGTATTTCAATATTGTACTGCTGCAAACTTGTTTCAATGTTTTCAGACATAAAAGGATTTCTATTTCTGCTCCGTATTACTTCCTGTAGTACTGTGGCAACAATAAATTGTAAAGAATTAAGTGCATCTTGGAAACTTTTCGGATACATCAACAACAACTTGCATTTACATATATCTTTCACACGAGCTAGCGTCTCAGGGTGCTTAACAGTGGTTAACATGTGTTAACAAGCTTAACTCATTGATAAGATTTTGTGATTGATAAAAATATTAACTCTACATATAAATTAGTCAATTAGAAAACTTAATTGCTGCTACATACTGTTGTGGATAGGTTTATAGATTTTTTTTTCAAAGGCAGTGCTGTTTTGGATCCTGTTTGGAAATGGGACTTGTAATATGCAGATGATGTTCAAGGGTTCAGTACTAGTGAGAGACTTATAGGCAACTGTTTCTTCATTGTACAGAATCACAATGGGAAAAGCCTGAAGGCTTCCAAGGGAGCTCAAACTTTGTGCAGAGTGAAGTTGCACAACAGGTACATTGTTGGTTTGCATTTGCCTACCACATTGTTCAGGTCAAAAAAAAATCCCTGAACAACAAAACAAATCTTTAAAACATAGGTTTCTCTATGAATTCTACAACGGCCTCTTATATATTTGGACCATTAGTATTTTGCATCAACCATTGCTTTGAAACTGTATTTTCCATCCAGCAACATTATCCTGTGCTTGTGTGGGGTATTTAGCATTGTTTTAAGTTGGCAAACTGCAAATAATTATTAAGAGTTAAAGTACATATGCTTTCCAAAAAATCTGTTTTACATTGACCCACATGATCTCCACAATTGGCTTTTTTTTAACATGGAAGCATTTTAAACCACTTGTGTTCTTTTACTAATACTTTAGCAAGAATTGAATTAATTCAATCCTAGATAGGTTGCAAAATGTAATTTTGTAGGTTTGTAACTTAGGTTAGCATAGGATTTAACTGATCATATCTTCCAAGGAATAGGGTCTTTCATTCATATAATTGACAGAGTGGTGAATAATTTATCTGTCCAAATTAGTGAAAAGGCTAATGTTTGTTTGCCTGTATTGTGTCCAAGGAAAATGAGAGTTTTTGCATAAAGTTTGAAAAACAAGAGGGTGCAGCTAAAATCTCTGGCAAGTTTGAAAATCATCATTATGAAACCATAATTATGGACATCTTACTTTGAAAATCAAAATATTAATGTGGTTATTTTTTTACTACCAATCCAAGATTGTCCAAATGCCACCATGATACATTATCTGTAAAATGAAAGCTTATTCGGAAATATTAGTCAGACTGTTCAAGTAGAATTTAATGTTTCCTCATGTAGTGCAGCACCAGTAAAACAATAGTCTTGGTCTATTTTAATTGATGTAAAGCAGTTGGTAGGTTCAAGTTGTAATACTGGCATGTTTTTTATATGGTTAGGCCTGATAATATTCAAAAGCAGTTTAATAAAACTAACCTTCCATATATATATATATTATTCATAGTAGGTGGTGAGGTAATCTAATTTAACATACTTTTGAAATGTAATGGTAGGAAACTGCAGTTTTAGCTCCAGCAGTACCCCCTATTGCACAACCCGTACTTAATACCTTCCAGAGCTCAGTAAACAGGATGCATCCCTTTGGGAGGGAGACTATTCCAGACGAAGGGAAATTTCCATGCCTAGGTGGCATGCATATATGGAACTCTGCACGGTTTGGATACCAAATCCCTGACTGTCCAGTGCCTTGGGACGTCCCAACATGAAAGGCGCTATACAAATGTAATTTTGTATTGTGATGAATTTCCATGAGTGTCAAACACCGGTCTGAACCAAACCAAAAGTGTGATGAGGAGGAATTCCTCATGCCTGCTATATTGTGAGTGAAAATACCCTAATTGCACATCCATGAATGAGCCCTAATAAGCTTGAAATGTCACTCAGTCACAAAAAAGGAAAATGTGTTCATGTAAAGTTTTGAAATCGCTGCATTTGTCAAAATCTACAAAGTAAATAAAATATTGTAACTTGCTAGAGCTGCATTCTTTTCAAAACAAGCTTTTTTTTGTCTGGTTCTCTCTGTCAGACAATAACTCACCGTTGCCCATTATTCTAGAGATACAGTGAAACTCTGATAACTCGTCAACGCCACATAATGAGATACTCAATATCCTGCATTTCAAGTACTTTCTACTTTTGAGATACTGTAATTTGGATAACTAGTCAACTCTGATAAGTAGTTATTTGAGCTATTTCCTTTTGGGCGACGAGTTATCAAAGTTTCGCTGCAGTTATCTTAGTAATTAAACAGGAATGCAATGCACTTGGAACTTTCAAGGTAATTAAATGTAGTAACTGGTTTAATATTTAACACCATTCCATGAATTTGGTTAACCTTTCAGTTACCTAAACTGCCCTTATTACTGTGAGCAAAACAGTATATCATCTTATTGAATATCTTGAAAAACAAATGGAAAAGCTGTAGATAAGCTGTCAAATCTGGCTTCATTGCTGACACTTGCTTTGGTGTTCTTTGAGACAGAAGTGAAACAGTCTTCATAGCAGCAAGGGTAGTTTGTGTTTCAATTTATTTCCCTCTGTAGATCATCTCTTTGTGTGCTACTCTTTTCCGTTTCTGGTATTTGCAGAAGAAATCTGTAGAAATCTGACAAAGATAATAGTGGTAACCATGTAGGAACTAGAAATATAGTGGGCTAATATTCAAAAAGTTTAGTTTTCACATTCTTTTGACTAGAATTCATTATATCCGAATGAAAAGGGTGGTGGGGGGGTGGTGGTGGGGGGGAAACTTCCACAAATTTGTATAATTTTGTTTTACACTTTTCCATAGCTTTCTCAATATTTTGTTAAATGTAGTTTACCTCACTGTGTTCTGTTATTATATCCTTGTCAGGACCTAACGGCCTCTCCATGGGTGGAAGGAGTTAGTCCCGAGGGCAGAACCTATTATTACAATGTCATGACAAGAGGTAGGGATTTTGTCTTTAAGTTGTCTAAGTACCAATGCTTACAGATTTCACATTACCATTTTTAATTTTGTTGAATTTTTATATGGTACAATTTGTTTGATTTTAATGTTGCACTCATCATAGGAAATAGTGTATTATTTTACTCAACTGCCATTTAATTGCATTATACTTTCAGAATCAAGATGGGAAAAGCCAGATGACTTCATCTCAACCACTGAAAGTACAGGTGCATCTGGTGAGAATGCGACGAAATCTGAGGAGGCACTGACAAAATCAGAATCCGAGGTACCTCCAGCCACGGAAAGAGCTCAGGCAAAGGGAGATGAAGAACCCTCTGCAGACACAGAGGATACAGAAACACTCCAGAACTCAAACGTTGTCCGTTCTGTGAGTATTGCATCTCTAGCATCTCCAAAATGTTCTTTCACATTCAAGAAAGTAAAAGGAAAGTGATGTGCTACTTACTGATCTTGCACAGCTGCAGCTCATGTGACTATCACCAGTTGTCCCCCTGTTGCCAGACAATTAATGACTTTAATCATCCAGTTATGAAATAATGGACCCATTTTCTTGCTTAATTGAGGTCAATTGAAATTATATTCTGGAAGGTTTCGCCTTCAATACAGTCAATGTATCTGACAGTAATTACCTGTGAAACTCTTTGAGACATTTTGATATAAGATGCTATATAAAGTGTGATTTTTCTTGACAGTACATTGAGAATAAAATGGCAGTGCTATTCTTGTTTTAAATGAGTAGTTAATACAAATTCATTTTTAATTTAGTCTGATTATTATTTCACTTTTTGCAAATTAAATTATACATAGTAATGTTTTGACAGCAATTTGAATGAGTTTTGGTTTATAAATCAGTTTTTATTTTCAATAACAGAATATTCTATTACAATATACACTGATGTATCCTCTGCAATTAGTAATCCCATGTCACCTAAATTTGAGATGACCTTTATATTGCTGAATTAATCTTAATTGCTAAATCAATCTTTCCCGCTGGAAAAAAAAACAATTTGTGTCAATTCAGTTAATATGAAAGGCAGTATAATGTTAAGATCTCATTGTCATTCTCAGGATGCCTGGAAGAATAAAATTTGAACTGACCTCAATTATACAAGCAGTGCTTTTGCCTGTAGAAAAATTGTAACAAATTAATGGTTCATGTTATAGGAAAACGATGATGCAGGAGATAGCAGTGACTCAAAAACTACTGAAGAATCTGAAGTAGAAAGCGATCCAATAGAAGATCAATCTCAGCCAGAAACAGAAAAATTCAAGAAAGTAAATCCATATGGTGAATGGGAAACCGTAAAAGAGCAAGAATCGTGAGTAATTAAATTATTGTTTTCAGTTTAATTTTTATTTTCAGGGCAAATATCTTTCCACTGGAATAACATACAGCTGGATTAGGCCCAATTGTCGATGGATGGAAAATCTGAGATGTGGCTTCTTTAAAATTCTTGAACATGATTAAATGTGGAGTCCTGTAGCTCAGCGGTTAGAGGACTCGCCTCACAATTGAGAGACCTGGGTTCGATTCCCAGCAGGGCGAAACCTTGGGCAAGTTTCCTTAAACCACACCCTGATAATAATCCCTCAAGAAAAACAAAATAATGAATTGGTCACTTCAATCCACGACTGTTTGTGGGATACTGCTGTGCGCAATTGGCTGCCCATTGTGCCCACAACTATACAGTCAATTCACTTTACAATATATTCTGTGAAGCGCTTTGAGGGGTCTAGAAGTCGTGAAAAGCTCTATATCAAATGCAAGGATTATTCTTATTATAAATTCATATGATCTGTTCCTTCAAATGTCCCACAAAAGGCCAGTTCACCTCCTCGGAGATTCTTGATGTGGATATTAATGGTGCTCATATTCTTCTGCCTCGTCATGTTAAAAAAAAAACTTTTGCTTTCTCTTGTTCCGTTGCCGAGCATCTGAAGTCTAGTTGGGCAGAAATTGTACCAGGAGTGAGAGAATGAAGTCAAGAAACATTGGGATAAAGTTTAGTGGGAAAGGAGGAAGATGGAAACATTGTGTCTGAAAGTAAAATGCTGTTTGTGATTCACGGGTAGAGGTAAACGTGAGCCAAATGGCCTACTCTTATGCATTATTTTTTATAATTTTGTTGTATGGGTGGCAATCTGCAAAATGGTTATCTGACCACCTCTTGTGCATAAAACAAGGTGTGTTTTAGGGCTAATTAGATTCCTGTATACATGGGTTTTAAATGCCCTTGGCAGAGAAATCTGAAAGGTACTAAACCTTCCGAAATAGTCACCTCCTCCACGGTCATTGGTTATACTACTACAGAATGCAACAGTGTGGAGCATACAACCTTCAAATGCCCAATTTGTGGGTGACCAAACTGCTGGAAGGTTATCCTTTAATTTTAAAGGAAGTTTCCCTATTTAATGTAATAATAATAATCCTTGCATTTGATATAGCTTTTATCACATCTTCTAGACGTCTCAAAGCGCTTCACAGAAGAATTGAATTGACTGTATATTTGTAGGCGAAACGCGGCAGCCAGTTTGTGCTAATTTATTCTGCGCTAATTCACAGAATAAACAGACTACGTCTAACCACAATATGGGAGTGCGAGTTGCAACAACGTTGCTGGTGTTTCCAAACATTCATGTTCAACTACTGTTATGTGGACTTGTGTATAAGTAACTTGATTCAGTCTCTACCAATTTTCACTGCCCTGGTTTATTTAACCATTTTTCTTTCTCTCTTTCTCCAGTGAGCAGATAGACTTGCAGTTACCAACTGTGGAGCACTGTTACCCAGCAGCACCTGTAATTGAAGTGAAAGCTGAACCCAAAATAAAGTTTAAAGAAAAAGCAATAACCTCCCTGGAGATGATGCTGGAGGAACACCAATATTCAAAAAGAGGAAACTTGAAAGTGCCAAATCCAGAAATCTAAGACAGAAAGAGAATGACGACTAAAAGTATAGATTTGTACTTAAAGGAAATGTGTTCAGAAATGTGTTACACTATATAATGTTTTGATTTGTTACAATCGACCTTGATTTTCAGCTCATTGTGGAAGTAAATTAGCCTTATTTGTTGTAAAATGCTGCAATGTTTCTCTTCTAAATAAAATGTACCTTTTTTAAAAAAAAATTGCACTGTTTTGCACAGATTAGAAATGTACGTTTTTTTGGTGAAACCTGTAGATCCTTAAAGCAAAGCATCTTAGGTGTGGCTTTTATTAAGCTTGGTTTTTTACTTTGTTTTGCTATAATTATCTGTGGTGTTCAGACATGCGCAATTTGTTTTATTAAAAGGCACTAGTTTTTTTATGTATTACACTATGTTTAGGAGTTAATGTGTGCCATTACAACTCCATAATGTTTCTTGTGTTTTATAAGTAGTTTTAAATACTAGCATTAGTATTTAAACACCTATGCAGAATGTTCTTCCAAAATGCTATTTCAAATATTCTTTGCACAAAAACTTCTGTTTACATCATAGCAGCTTCTATCAAAAATAAATCTTTCAAAATGTGTAATATGTCATGTATGATATTCTGGCATGTTGTCAGTCTACATACACATGCAGCACTGGAGATTCCTAAGGCTGTATCAAGGCAGAATTAGTATAACCTGTAGTGTAGATATTTGTTACAATAATAATCCTTGCATTTGATATAGCGCTTTTCATGTCTTCTAGACGTCTCAAAGCGCTTCACAGAATATACTGTAAAGTGAATTGACTATATTTGTGGGTGAAACATGGCAGCCAATTGCGGATAGCAGTGTCCCAGAAACAGACGTGGATTGAAGTGAACAATTTTTTTTTTCTTGAGGGATTATTATCAGGCGTGTGGAGTAAGGAAACTTGCCCAAGGTTTCACCCTACCGGGAATCGAACCCAGGTCTCTCGGTTCCCAGGCGAACATTCTAACCTGTGTTAGAATGATGGGCCAAAAATTAAAATATTTTGGTGCCTGATCGGCAAAATGGAATCTTACACAGGGCTTCTGGTGAGGACTATAAGCTATATTGAATCATAATAATAATCCTGGTATTTGGTACAGCGCCTTACATGTGCGGAGGACGCCCCAAAGCGATTCATGGGATCTGCTGTGAAGTGGAGTGATCGTGTATTTGTAGCTGAACGGAAGCAACCAATGGTGCACAGCAATGTCACACAAACAGCTATGAAGTGAATGACAAGTTTTATCTGTTGCCCGGGAAACCAGGAGAAACTTCTCTTTTCAAATAGTGTCTTGGGATCTTTAACATCCGTCTGAATAGGCAGACGGGACCACAGTTTAATATCTCAACCAAAGAAGATGTTAACATTTACATCCACTCTGCAGGCACTGGCCCGCTCCATGTCCCCCTCCCTTTCCAATCCATTATCAGCGCTCAGACCTTCAGCCTTTCTACCTCCACCCACTGGAACTCCATTTCGTAGCCCCTCTGCCTCGCTCGCGCCCCTCCTGGCCTTCTTCAAGGCCCGTCTCAAGATCTTCCTTTTCAACCGTGCCTTCAGTCATCTTACCTCCTCCACTCCTTGTTCTCCACCCTTCTCCGATCAAAACTCACAGCTGGGGTGCAAACCCCTCATTGTTCAAGTACTCCGGGACTCTCTCCCGCATGAAGGGTTCTATACAAATGCAAGTTGTTGTTGGGATGTCTTCCCAATATGAAAGGCACTATATAACTGCAATTTGACTCCATAATTATGGACTTTTTCTCGACTGGTTACTTCCCAATACTTATCTGTTCTTTGAAGTTTCGACAGACATTCAATTTGATACATTCAATTAGTTGACGTAGGTGGACTTCAGCATTTACCATGTGATTTTAAAAAAAACTGATCTTGTTAACACTGTTCTGAATGGAACTTTAGAAAGCAAGTAAAATGACGGTGTTTTGAAAGTCTGCCCTACCTTTGCTGTTTGTCTTTCAAACCAGACCACACAGCAAAGCTCATTCACAGTGGTGCTTGGGTATCCGAGCTAGTGGTGGGAGCCAAGGGGGATGAGGAAGCATGACCAAAAGTATGGTGAAAGGTTCTTCATACACATCCAATGTACACCTCGCCAGCATCCTCTATGTAATTCACTGCCATCCATCTATTGTCTCATAATCACTAACTATCTGTTAACCCATGTGTTTTTGATAGTTGAGTTGCTTCAGGTGTAAGTGCAGAAAGTATACTGCATGGAAAACTTTAATGCTAACTACTCCAATGGAATCTGTTCAAGGATGACTGGATTGTGAAGCATACTCATTCTTTTAATTTTTAACAAAGCCATACTCAAAATTTGTCCAGAACAAATCAGAACGATTGTGTTTTAGTTACAGCATAGCAACGTGTGGTCTCTATACATCCACCAAACTGTCTCCTGACTTTGTTTTCCCTTTTGGGAGACAATGAGTGTTTGATAAGGCAGTGTTGTGATTCAGCAAAAGCAATTGGGACAAAGTAGAGTAAGTTGACTTATCTTAATATTTTATTTCTGGCTATTTTAAACCGAACTATCTCTGTTAGACACCTGGCTGACCAAAAAAAATCTCTGTGATTATCTTCTACAAAGATTGTTACGTTGTATTCTTTAAATCGTATTCTTTTTCCTTTTGATGAAGCTAGGGTATAAAGGGGAAGATTCAAGCGTGCACTATTCATGATAACCATGCCTAACAAAGCTCAGGAGGCAAGTAGACAAGACTCTTATCTTTGGTATAGTTTTGCATGTGCTCCTTCCGCATGTTTTACCAATAAATAATCAATAACTAATGGCTGGAAAAAATATTATATTTTGAACTTTAGTAGTCAGGATTCTCAGGATGCATAACATATTAAAATGGATACAATACTACACAAAATTGCATTTGTATAGCGCCTTTCACATCGGGAGGTCAGTCATGGATTTGCACCCAAGCTAGGGGTTGGGATTGGAGAGGGCGGAGGGCAGGGAGGGTGGCCGAAGGCTCAGTCAAAGAGGAGGGTTTCGAGATGCGCCTTGAAGGAGATAGATATCAATGGTTCTATTTTCCTTCCTCTAAGTATGTGCAAGATTGAAGACTAGATCAGGCTTCAGGAACAAAAATAAAAAATGTATTGAATAATAATAAATAATAATAATCCTTGCATTTAATATGGTGCTTTTCGTGTCAGGAGGACGTCTCAAAGCACTTCACAGGATTTTCTGTAAATACAATATAGTATTGACTACATTCTGTAGGTGAATGCAGCAGCCAATTTACACAAAGCAATGACCCACAAACAGCTATTAAATGAATGGTCAATTTCCACTAGAGTAGATGTAGAAGAAATCAATATAGTATATAAAATATTGTGTGCCACTTTCCAACTTTAACATAGGTAAAAAAATTCTATACAATTCAAATAACGTGAACATCTTCCGGAGCAGACATGCTGTGATATATATACAAAACCCAAAGTTATTATAATAATACAATAATAATCCTTGCATTTGATATAGCGCTTTCCACATCTTCTAAACGTCTCAAAGCGCTTCACAGAATATACTGTAAAGTGAATTGACTGTATATTTGTGGGCAAAACGAACAGTTGAAGCAGGTGTTGTTGGCAGAAATAATACTTGGTTGTATTAAATGGTGTTTTCTGACCCAGGATGCAGTGATTAACCGGAAATCAGTCCAAGAACTAGCCAAAGAACTGAGCTTTGAATGGACCATTGTGGCTTATGAGCTTGGATTCACCAGGGCAGAGATCGGCCACTTTCATGTAGCCTCTGTGCAGAAAAAGATGCAAGCGCAGAAAATGTTAGAGAACTGGTAGGTAGAAAAAGAAAAATAATCAAGTAGGTCTTGATTCTTTCACTACTGGTTAATACTGTAATGTATATGAAATTTTGTATTTACTTAGAATCACAAAAATCACTGCAAAAAAGGAGATAATTTGGCTTGTCAAGACCACACTGGTGCAAGCTGGCCCCTTTTGAGTTATCTACTGCAATCCCAATTCCTTTAATAATAATAATAATAATAATCCTTGCATTTGATATAGCGCTTTTCACGTCGGGAGGACGTCCCAAAGCGCTTCACAGAACACACTGTAAAGTGAATTGACTGTATATTTGTGGGCGAACGCGGCAGCCAATTGCGCACAGCAATGTCCCACAAACAGTCGTAGATTGAAAATGACCAATTTAATTATTGTTTTTTTTTTTTTTGGAGGGATTATTATTAGGCGTGTGGAGTAAGGAAACTTGCCCAAGGTTTCGCCCTCTGCCTGGAATTGAACTCAGGTCTCTCACTTGCAAAGCGAGTGCTCTAACCACTGAGCTACAGGACTCCACTCCTTTCTCTTTTCCCAAAACATTTCTAATCTTCAAATATTAATCCATGTCCATTTTGAATGTAATTGTCTTAGCTCCAATAGCCATTTATGGTAAATGATAGACAGTCTCCATTTTGCATGTTGGGAAGAACAGACTGTCACTGAACAAACCTTGTAGTTTTGATTACAATGCATGCAAAAGAAACAAACATCCTATTGCACAGCATCATAATGTTTAACAACCAGCAATGAGCTTGGTATATGGACTCACAAATGGGGGCATAACATCAAATCTGTAGAGAAGGCACGTTTCAGAAAGCATATAGCAATTTAGTAAAAGAGGATCAGATCCAACAAAGATACAGCTACTGGTCATCAAAATAACTGGGCAAATGTACACCAGAAAAAACAAACGTTCTAATTTACCAAGAATGCTAAGCAATGCAGTGAATGATTGAAACACCATTAAAAATATTTGCATGCTCAATGGTAGCTCTGAGTTAATATTTAGATGGAGGGTGGCTCATCTAACATCAGATATCCAACCCATGTTAACGGCTATACTTTAGTGCATTTGCTGGGACATCTTCAAAATGCCACTATGGTTGCTGTGACACTTCAGTCAGAGAATGACTCATGTGAGATATCCAAAATTGTGCTTCAAGCTGTTTTTAGAATTTTATAATTGAAAGCCACTTGTGAAGTTAATTAATTATTTCATTTTTTATAATGTAAACCACTTACGGTAAACTGCTGATAAGTCATTGCTCCAAGGGAAAAGGGTTCAGTGACAAGTTATCTGGAGGGGCAAGTTAGGCATATGTATAAATACATCAAAAAATGTAGCTGGAATATTGACAGCATGATAATAATAATCCTTGCATTTGATATATCATGTCTTCGAGACGTCTTAAAGTGCATTACAGAATATACTATGAAGTGAATTGACTGTATATGTTGTGGGCGAAATGCGGCAGCCAATTGCACACAGCAGTGTCCAACAAACAGTCATGGATTGAAGTGACCGATTTATTATTATTACTTCTTTTTTAAATTTGATGATTTAAAAGTGTGCACAGTAAAAAAAAAGCCCTTTTCTTCATTTCACACTACTGCAATTTGATGATTTAAATTATGATGTAATCTCCAGAACTGTGCAATTTTGTAAAAAGTCTGTTTGCTGACTAAAATATTAGGTAGAGTTTTAAACAATTTAAAAACAAATCTCCTTTCTTGTGAACTCTTTAGGTATGAAAGATCGTGGAATAAAACGAACAAAACAAAGTTGCTTCAGGATGCATTAGAAAGGGCTGGTCGCACGGACTTAGCAGATAAGCTACGCTGCCTTCACTGGGGTCATCAAAAACTGAGCAGTCGTGTGGAGCTGCCCTCAGCCTTTCCATTCCTTATCACTGTGCACAAGACCATCAACAACAGGGAGGGACTACGGAAGATTAATCAGCTCAGTCGAAAGTAAATTTAGAGATAAACGCAAATGTTGTTGCACATTATATGTAAAATGGAGTAGGCAGGCTTAAGATATTGCTTACAATTATGTATCTTTAGACCGCAGATTTGATGTGATAGTCTGTTTCTTTGCCACTGCATGATATATTTTAATTATCTTTTCTCCTTGAATGCTGGAATCATTTAAGAAATAATTCGACACTGTAATTGGAAGATGAGTGTATGAGTGATCTCTAATAATAATATAATAATAATCCTTGCATTTAATATAGCGCCTTATCACATCTTTGAGACGTCTCAAAACACTTCACAGAATATACGGTAAAATTAATTAATTAGTCTGTATAATTTGTTGGCGAAAAGATGATCTGGAAGGATCAGATGAAATGAGTCATTTGTACCTCTTATTATCCTAGGTTTCTCTGTGTTGCACAACATTTCTCCAAGGCTGCTAACTTGCGTCCTAGCCCTTGTCTGGAGCAGCCTTTAGAAAGTTGTGACTTTCTTGCTTTCCCTCTGGTTTCAGTTCCTTGCTTTCCCGCTGGTTTAGAGTGCCAATCCTCTGTGTTATTAGCACTCTGTAGCACAATGCATTGCAGTACTAATGTACAACTCTAATAAAGCCTTCAGATCTTTTACTGTTATTGGTCTTAGGGTGTGCAAAAGAAAAAGCATTCTTTTTAACAAAGCTCAATTTTTTCAACAATGGTCCAAATAACTGCAATTTGTTCTCTACATTTACTTTTACTTAGAGATCTTTCTGAATTATTATGCTCGCAAAGTAAAATAAATTTACATCTTAAAACTTAAAGACCGACTGATTTTGAAATACAGCATCTAAAAGCTTACTAATTGCTGTACAATTGGAATATAGCCGGGAGCACAGGATTGAGTGAGCTACTCTTACTTGGTCAACACCCTCAAGTTCCCCCTCATCTTTTCCCTTTGTGAAATGTTCTTAGATGTTTATCCAATGTTAAAAGCAAGTGCAAGTTATTGATGAAGTTGTGCTTGTGGACTCATCAACCAGTGGGTAACACTATAGGTAGATGAAAAATTAAACCAATAATTAGGGATATTATAATTAGAGGGATCACAACCATTCATTCATACAAGCAAAATAGCTGAGTATACATGAACATACATAGCTGAGTTATTCTTAATCTTACAGGAAATCCTTCCAGTTGATCATTGGGGAACTACCTAAAGGGAATGTTACCAGTTCCATGCCACTGAGAGTCAATCATCTGATGAAAACATCATGTCTACAACCTTCACAGAGCAGCTTAACTTTTCATCTGAAGGACTGCAGCACCCCTCCCTATATTAGCCACTGTGGCACTAGGTAGCCCTATCAATACCAACAGGTGTGCTGCCCCTATCCTCAAACAAGGTCTAAGATAGTTACATCACTAAGTTCATCAGAGAGGGTCCAAAATCTATACAACAAAGTATGTGTTCCTCAAAACAAAACAGATTGTGTGCACTGGGTTCTGAAGGAAACCTCCCTAGTAGGGTATGCTACCACCTAGTGGATGGTGTTAATGCCAGTGTGAATTAACAAAACTTTTTTCCCAGTTGTAACTGATATAGCACCCATAACATGAAAACATATCAAAATATTTCAGAGGTAATTACTGGCGAGAACACTGACCTTGCACTATATTAATAACAGTAATAAGTAATCCTTGTATTTGATACAGCGCCTTATCGCCTGGAGTCCTGTAGCTCAGTGGTTAGAGCACTCACCTCGCAAGCGAGAAGATCTGGGTTTGATTACCGGCAGGGCGAAACATTAGGCAAGTTTCTTTACTCCACATGGCTCTGTTTACCTAGCAGTAAGTAGGAACCCGGTTGTTAGTCGATAGGCGGATCGCTTTTCCGGGGGTAATAATCCCTTCAAAATAAATAAAAATAATTTGGTCACTCAATCCACAACTGTCTGTGGGATACTACTGTGTGCAATTGGCTGCTGCGTTTCGCCCACAAAATACACAGTATGTTCTGTGAAGTGCTTTGAGACATCTCAAAGATGTGATAAGGCTCTATATCAAATACAAGGAATATTAGTATACTATTCTTCTCCACTTCCTTTTCTTTCAGCTCCACGTTCAAGGTTCTTTCCTTGCCCGTTTTCATTGTTACCTAGCCCAATGTCTCCACCTCATATCTGCCAAGGTTTGTCTCAACACCTTCTTCTTAGATTATCCGTTCGGTCATCTTCCCATACCCAACCCCTTTGGCCACCACCCTTCCCAAATCCAACCCTCAGCTCAGGTGCAAACCCTTGACTGTCCAACAACAACAACAAAAAAATTACATTTGATTACCACCTTTCACTTGAGGAGAACGTCCCAAAACCTGGACAGACAGAGTTTTGGACCCGAGCTGGGGGTCGAGATTGGGGAAGGTGGAGGGCAGGGAGATCATGGTTAAAGAGGATCTTGAGATGTGTCTTGATGGAGGCAAGGGAAGGGGAGAGGCGGAGGGACTACGGGATGGAGTTCCAGAGGGTGGGGGCAGAGTGGCAGAAGGCCCACCCGCCAATAGAGCAACATGCAAGGCGGGGGACGTGAAGCAGGCCGGAACCTGCTGAGCAGAGGGAGAGAGCAGGATGGTAGGGGGTTAGGAGGTCTCAGAGGTAGGCGAGAGCAAAACCATGGAGGGCTTCGAAAGTGAAGACCAGGATCTTGAACTGTATCCTCTGTATGATGGGAAGCCAGTTGGGAGAGGATGGGGGTGATAGGGTCACAGAGCCTGGTGCGGGAGAGGACACGTGCGCAGAGATCTGGCTGATCTACAGCCTATGAAGGGAAGAGTTGGGGAGGCCAACAAGCAAAGAGTTTGCATAGTCAAGCCTCGATGTTATGAAAGCATGTATGAGGGATTCGACAGCCTGCGGAGTGAGAGTGGCGGAGCCGGGCGATGTTGCGGAGGTGGGGGAAGGCAGAGCGATTCATGGCACGGATGTGGGATAGAAAGGATAGTTGAGGGTCAAACAAGACCCCAAGGTTTCGGACTGGTTTAGCAAGGTGGAATGTGCAACCATGGATGGTGATGCAGTCAGCGTCTGCGGTGTGGAGGCGCTGACTGGAGCCAATCAGGAGAGCCTCAGTCTTGTTGATGTTCAACTGAAGAAAATTAGCTCTCATCCAGGACTTGATGTCTGACAGACATTCTGTCAGGACAGCAGTGGTCCTGGAGTCAAGGTTGGAGGCAGAGAGGTAGAGTTGGGTGTCATCCGCATACATGTGGAAGTTGACCCCATGTCTGCAGATGATGTCACCAAGAGGGAGCACATAGATATTGAAGAGAAGGGGACCACGGACAGAGCCCTGAGGAATGCTGCACAAGACGGTGTGGGGGCTGGAGGAAAAACTTTTTTTGGAGATGAAATGGAGGTGGTGTGAGAGGTATGATATGAACCAGTCAAGGACAGAGCCGTGAAGGTTGAGGTGAGAGGAGAGGCAGTGGATGAGGATAGAGTGGTTGACAGTGTTGAAGGCAGCAGAGAGGTCAAGGAGGATGAGGAGGCAGAAGGAGCCCTGGTTGCAGATGGACAGAATGTCATTTGTCACTTTGACCAGGGTTTTTTCTGTGATGTGGGCAGCACGAAACCCGATGGAGGGGTTCGTGAAGGGCATGGCGGGAGAGGAAGGAGCAAAACTAGGAAGCAACAACTAGTTCCAGGACCTTGGAGAGGAAAGGGAGGTTGGAGATGGGGTGGTAATTTGAGAGTAGAGATGGGTCCAGGGAGGGTGTTTTAAGGATAGAAGTGATGACGACTGTTTTTAATGGCGTAGGAACAGTACCAGTGGACAGGAAGAGGTCCAGTGAGGAAGACGTCCAGTGCTTTGGGACTCCTCCTGATGTGAAAGGCACTACTTAAATGCAATTTGTTGTTATTATCACATTGTGGAGACGTCTCAAAGTGTTTCACAGGATTGTACTGCAAAATGTAGTGCCTGTGTAGTTATGGGTGAATGCAACAACCAATTTGTGCATAGCCTAACCATTAGATATATCCAAAACAGTCAAGAACTCAGTTTAATATTACATCCAAAGGACTGATCTTTCGACAATGCATTGCATTGGAATAACAGCTTAACTAGTACTTCAAATCCTGATATGAAGTTTGAAACCACAACCTTCTAACCCAGAGGTCAGAGTGCAATCAACTGAGCAAAGCTAAGTTTTCTTTTGAGTAACTAATTAGTCGAATAACAACAACAGCAACAAGATTACATTTGTACAGGGCCTTTCACGTCGGGAGGACGGACCAATAAAGCTTTACAGCCATGATGCCTACACGATGAGTCTCTGGTTCACCCAGACTAGTTAGTGGGTTAGTAGGTACGCCTACAAATGCGAAGTCCACTTTATTATAAAAATGCCTGTGAAGTGCTTTGATGTGAATATATTATTGCCATCCACTGTCTGGAGGTGGCTACAGATCCTGATTGACATGTGGACGGACCAATCAGCGAGACGCTCCGGCGGCTGAGCCCCGATTGACATCTAAACGGACCAATCAGCGAGACGCTCCGGCGGCTGAGCCCCGATTGACATGTGCACGGACCAATCAGCGTGACGCTCCGGCGGCTGAGCCCCGATTGACATGTGCACGGACCAATCAGCGAGACGCTCCGGCGGCTGAGCCCCGATTGACATCTAAACGGACCAATCAGCGAGACGCTCCAGTGGATGAGCCCCGATTGACATGTAAACGGACCAATCAGCGAGACGCTCCGGCGGCTGAGTCCCGATTGACATGTGCACGGACCAATCAGCGAGACGCTCCGGCGGCTGAGTCCCGATTGACATGTGCACCGACCAATCAGCGAGACGCTCCAGCGGCTGAGCCCCGATTGACATGTGCACGGACCAATCAGCGAGACGCTCCAGCGGCTGAGCCCCCCCCTCCCCCGATGGACGCGTCGACGGACGAATCAGCGAAGCGGTCTGGTGGTGGGGGGGGCCAGCGCCGTGATGGACGCACAGACTGGACCAATGAGGCTGCGAGGTCCTGGTGCCCGACTTGCCCCGCCCCCCTGCCCGCCCGCCCGCCCGCCCTCGAAGGAGAAGCCGCCGCCGCCGTCGCCGCCGCCGGAGCGTCGAGTGGGAGTGAGAGCCGAGCGGAGGAGCCTCTGTGAGCCGGAGCGGAGGGCGCAGAGAGTCCCGGGGGGTGGGAGGGGAGTGGGAGGGGAGCGGGTGTGAGAGAGACAGAGAGAGACACAGAGAGAGAGGCCTCGCTGTGTGTGTGTGTGTGTGTGTGAGTGAGGCCTCGGCCACTCAAGATGGAGGCTCTGCCCTGCCTGTCGGGCCCGGAGGAGCTGGAGGACGCGGCCCACGCGCGGGCGCTGCTGCGGGAGCTCAAGTCCTTCTACGACGCGCGGCTGCTGGTCGACGTGACCCTGGAGGTGGACGGCGGGCGGCGCTTCCTGTGCAACCGCAACGTGCTGGCGGCGGCCAGCCCGTACTTCCGGAGCATGTTCACCGGCGGCCTGTACGAGAGCAAACAGAAGAAGGTCACCATCCACGACGTGGACTCGGACTCCATGGCGCTCATCATCGACTACTGCTACACGGGCCGGGTGACGGTGTGCGAGGCCAGCGTGCAGAAGCTGTACGTGGCGGCCAACATGCTGCAGCTCGAGTACGTCAGGGAGGCGTGCGCCGGCTTCATGGCCCGCAGGCTCGACCTCTACAACTGTGTGGGCATCTTAAAGGTACACAGAGCCCCGACACCCACACGCACACACACTGTGGTACACAGAGCCCCGACACACACACACACACACACCACACACACTGTGGTACACAGAGCCCCGACACACACACACACACTGTGGTACACAGAGCCCCGACACACACACACACCACACACACACGCACTGTGGTACACAGAGCCCCGACACACACACACACACCACACACCACACACACTGTGGTACACAGAGCCCCGACACACACACACACACACACCACACACACTGTGGTACACAGAGCCCCGACACACACACACACCACACACTGTGGTACACAGAGCCCCGACACACACACCACACACACACACTGTGGTACACAGAGCCCCGACACACACACACACACCTACACGCACACACTGTGGTACACAGAGCCCCGACACACACACACCACACACCACACACACTGTGGTACACAGAGCCCCGACACACACACACACACACACCACACACACTGTGGTACACAGAGCCCCGACACACACACACACACACACACACCACACACCACACACACTGTGGTACACAGAGCCCCGACACACACACACACACACACCACACACGCACTGTGGTACACAGAGCCCCGACACACACACACACCACACACACTGTGGTACACAGAGCCCCGACACACACACACACCACACACCACACACACTGTGGTACACAGAGCCCCGACACACACACACACACCACACACTGTGGTACACAGAGCCCCGACACACCACACACACACCACACACCACACACACTGTGGTACACAGAGCCCCGACACACACACACACACCTACACGCACACACTGTGGTACACAGAGCCCCAACACACACACACACACACACACACACACGCACTGTGGTGCACAGAGCCCCGACACACACACACACACACCACACACTGTGGTACACAGAGCCCCGACACACACACACACACTGTGGTACACAGAGCCCCGACACACACACACACACACTGTGGTACACAGAGCCCCGACACACACACACCACACACACTGTGGTACACATAGCCCCGACACACACACACACACCACACACACACTGTGGTACACAGAGCCCCGACACACACACACACACCACACACACTGTGGTGCACAGAGCCCCGACACACACACACACCACACACACTGTGGTACACAGAGCCCCGACACACACACACACACACCACACACACTGTGGTACACAGAGCCCCGACACACACACACCACACACACACACACACACTGTGGTACACAGAGCCCCGACACACACACACACACCACACACACACACTGTGGTACACATAGCCCCAACACACACACACACCTACACGCACACACTGCGGTACACATAGCCCCAACACACACACACCTACACGCACACACTGTGGTACACAGAGCCCCGACACACACACACACACACTGTGGTACACATAGCCCCAACGCACACACCTACACACACACACTGGTACACATAGCCCCAACACACACACACACACACTGTGGTACACATAGCCCCGACACACACACCACACACACGGTGGTACACATAGCCCCAACACACACACACACTGGTACACATAGCCCCAACACACATACACACTGTGGTACACATAGCCCCAACGCACACACCTACACACACACACTGGTACACATAGCCCCAACACACACACGCACTGTGGTACACATAGCCTCAACACACATACCTACACACACACGTACACACTGGTACACATAGCCTCAACACACATACCTACACATACACTGTGGTACATATAGCCCCAACACACACACACACACTGTGGTACACATAGCGCCAACACACACACACTGTGGTACACATAGCCCCAACACACACACACTGTGTTACACATAGCCCCAACACACACACACCGTGGTACACATAGCCCCAACACACACACATACACACTGTGGTACACATAGCCTCAACACACATACCTACACACACACACACGTACACACTGTGGTACACATAGCCCCAACACAAGAACAACAAAATTACATTTATAGAGCACCTTTCAGGTCGGGAGGACGTCCCAAGGCGCTGGACAGTCAGGGGTCAGGACCCGAGAATGGGAGGAGGGGGTGAGGGAAGGCAGAGAGGTGGGAGGGCGACTGAAGGCACAACCGAAGAGGAGAGCCTTTAGACCGGCCTTGAAGGAGGCAAAGGAGGAAGCGAGGCAAAGGGACTGTGGGATGGAGTTCCAGAGTGTGGGGGCAGAGTGGCAGAAAGCCCGGCCACCGATGGTAGAGTGGGTCGGGCTTTCAGCCTCTCTGACCCCACATACCCACATACATATAGGCTGCGGTCACATATCCCGAACACACACGCACTTACTACAGTATACATGTCCCCAACACACACACACTGTGGTACACATATCTCCAACACACAAACTTAGTCTGTCAAACATATCCCCAACACACAGACAGACGCACAGACACTGTAGTACACATATTCCCCAACAAATACCCACACACTCACCGTGATACACATATCACCAACACACATTCCCCCCACACAACCACACATCCCCAACACTGCAGATATTGCTAACACATGCACCCTCCCCACCCCAACAAACACACACAGGCATATCGTGAACATATGCAAGCCTCAATATACATATCCCCAACACAGAATTCCTCTGTTATGCATATTCCCCACATGTAAATCCATAAGCCACCCAGTACACGTATCCCAAACACACACAAATAACCTCTGACACCAACCCAACACGGAAACAAACAAGTCCATATACACAAGCAACCTCCCTCCCCATATAGACACACTCCAGCACAGCCCCAACACTTCCCTGACATACATGCCCCCTCATACACGCACATATGTACAACACTATTCATATAGCACCTTTCACATCAGGAGGACATCCCACGATGCTGGACAGACAAGGGTTTACACCCCCATCCCACTCCAAGCAACCACTGGAGCATTTACCACCTAATAGCCACCCCCTGCAAAGAAACCCAGCACACCATCTCCCAACACACACACATTGCAAGCACACATACCTGAGGCTCTGTACCCCAACACACATGCACCCAAATAACTCTTGGCACCCCCCTCACCAACAACCTCGCTGCCCAAATAATTTCTGTGTGCACACCCCCTCCACACCCCCATTAGCCCCAAAACACATCCCAACAACCCTCAACAGACACATACACGAACCCCAACAACCATAGGTGAGCGCACACATCCCCATAACCATGCACGCACATCACCAACCTGTGCACATACATGTTTGTGGAGTCCTGTAGCTCAGTGGTTAGAGCACTCGCCTTGCAAGCGAGATACCTGGGTTCAATTCCAGGCAGAGGGCGAAACCTTGGGCAAGTTTCCTTACTCCACACAGAGCCTAATAATAATCCCTCAAAAACCAAAAACAATAATAAATTTGTCATTTTCAATCCACGACTGTTTGTGGGACACTGCTGTGTGCAATTGGCTGCCGCGTTCGCCCACAAATATACAGTCAATTCACTTTACAGTATATTCTGTGAAGCGCTTTAAGACGTCGAGAAGACATGAAAAGCACTATATCAAATGCAAGGATTATTATTTATTACCCCAAACTTTCCTTGGCATTCTCACACCCTCCAAACCTCCCCAGGGCACGCATACACCCCAAGCCACCTATTGACATGCGCACACCCCCTCCAACTAACCTCTGGTTGTAAACGCAACCCCCAAACCTCCCCGATGCACAGCGCCACCCCCCCCCCCAACTACCCAGCAAGTGCACGCGCCCAAACAATCTTTGTTGTGTGCATACCCCTAGCACAAACACCTTCCCGATACCCTTGTTTTCATCCCACTCCTGCCATTTGGCCCACATCCAATTTCTATCTGCTGTACTTCCAACCATCTGGCATGTATATGCCACCCAACCCATCTTCTCGTATGCAGCCATCCTCTTCTCCTTTGATCTCCTTGCACGCATCCCGGCTTCACTGCACTCCGGTCATACCTGGCCCCTAAAGTCATGTACACGTTTCTGTCAATCAAGAATAATACTGCAGTATGATTTCTAGCTAGTGCGTTAACTAACTGAATACTCACACTTGATATAATGAAAGTTTTACTCTATCTTCAGAAGCCTAAATGAGTGAAGTTTCTATACAAAATGTTTATTCCTGAGAGAAAGCAAGCGGGATAAGAATGATATTTGTGAGACACCAGTACATGTACAGATGGATCTTAGTATTTCAGATCAGTACTCCTGGGGAAAGTGGGTGATTTGGCAAGCTAGTGGCCTATTGTGGAATAGTGGCATATTTTCAAGAAACTGTCTTTGGTTTATAAGCTTTTGTGCCGTCTGTTCTCTAAGAGCAACTGTGACTTTGTAGAATAATCCTCCTATGAAGCATGCATTGTATTTGCTTATGTAAAGTGTTTCAGATGGACTTGTAATTATCTTATTGCTATTTTAGTTTGCAGATGCTTTTGACAATGTGGACCTGAAAGGAAAGGCACTTGCTTTCATTGCACGCAATTTGCAAAATTTGTGCAAAACAGAAGAGCTGTGTGAACTCTCTCTACTGCAGCTGAAAGAAGTCCTGAAGTTGGATACACTGGATGTTGACAGTGAGATGAGGGTTTGTACAGTTGCAATTCAGTGGATTGAAGCAAATGTCAGTGAACGTGCTATACAGGCTATGGAGGTACTGAAGTGTGTGAGGTGGCATCATTTCAGTGGAAAAGACAAAGTGTACATAGATGGGCTTAAATCCAAGCCCTTTGTCAAAAGCCAGCTTCTCAGCTTTTTCACTGATGACTTGTTTGTGCCCAAAAGTGGTGATATGTCCTGTACTTTACAAAATTCAGTAAAGAGGATTGGGTCCAGTGCCAAGGAGATGGTTATATTCTTTGGTCATCGCAAGGAGCCTTTTCTCTGCTATGATCCATATTCTGGTGACATTTATACAATGGCTTCACCTTTAATTAGTCCTACTCTTACCAAGTCCATCACTTCACTTGCTGTCTGTGTTTCACCAGAAAATGATGTCTTTTTGGCAGCACAACCAACCAAACAGCTCTGGGTGTACAATGCTGTTCAGAATATCTGGCAAAAACTAGCGGAGCGATTATTAGCAAGAGAGGGGATGGATGTTGCTTACCTTAATGGCTTCATCTACATCCTAGGTGGTCGAGATCCATCCACAGGTCTTAAGATTAAAGAGGTTGAGTGTTACAGTATTCAGAGGAATCAGTGGATTTTTGTGGCCCCTTTGCCTCATGCATTACACTCATTTGAGCTTATTACAGTTGGCGACTGCTTATATGCAGTTAATAACAAAAGGATGTTATGCTACGTGCCTGAAAGGAATCAGTGGCTGAACTGTGCCTCCTTAAAACGGAGTGAATTTCAGGAGGCTTGTGTCTTCAATGATGAAATCTACTGTATTTGTGACATTCCAGTCATGAAGGTTTACAACCCTTCAAGAGGTGAATGGCGACGGATTAGTGATATCCCTATCGATGCCAACATTCACAACTTCCAAATAGTTTGTCACGGCAACAAACTCCTTCTCATAACCACCACAGTTCCGCAGTGGAAAAAGAACCGAGTGACAGTTCATGAATATGATGCAAACGGTGACCAGTGGATCAACATTGGTACAATGTTGGGATTGCTGCACTACGACAGTGACTTCAAATGTCTTTCAGCACGTCTTTACCCTTCATGCCTAGAGGCTGGTCAGAGCTTCATTAGTGAGGAGGATGATGTCCGCAGCGAATCGAGTGCAGACTGGGATTTTGAAGGTTCAAGTGATATTGACTCTGAATCCGGCAGTTCAAGTTTATTTTCAGACGATGAGGAATGGCAACCACCAGAAGGACTAAGAGTTGAAAGAATACAGCAAAATGGCCCTCCTGAAAATAGTGCTCCCCATATTAATGGTCAAATTGGTAACTAACTGTCTCAATAAAAAATGAACCTATTTACAATCAATAAGATTTAAATTTAAAAAATCAAAATGAAAAGTGGCTTTTTTTCTGATTGCTACTGACATGGTACTTTTGGGCATATACAAGTTATATTTTTTGCTGTACATGTTTAACTGTGTTTGGAAGAACTGGAATAATAAAATCAGCATTGAAAATGTTTTTCTCTTATTTGATGGCTGTACTGTGAACTTTTTAAAAATTACTTGGGGCATAAGTTGTAATTTGCAGAGCACATCTGTTAGTCTGTTTGGAGTGGATCACGACTGTTTAACTTGTGCAATGTAGTATTAATACATTTAAAGTTCTCAGTAATAATAGAAATGTTGAGGATGGATATATTGGTGTGTCTTTCCTATCGCATAAGGATCACATACCTTGGGATTTCAAAACTCTTGGTAGAATAAATGTATGCATGAGAAGCCTTCAGTTTCGGTCGTGTGAGTTATTTTGTAAGTTAGCTTTTCAGTTTCCAGCAAGATTTTGAATTGGTTAAGGAGAACTCTTTAATTCCAGGGCAAAAAAAAATCTTACAACATTTAATTGTTTAAATTTCCTTTCAAGTTATCTTGTTTATTGGAAGGATTGAGGTTGATTGGGAAGTGGGCAATTTATTCTATATGTAACACAGATGGTTCCATTGTGACAGGTTGTTGCAGTGTTGAGCATTTTCATCTTTTCAAAGTTTGAAATGTATCAGGAGAGTAGTTTTGAAAGTACAAAGTAACCTGTATAATGGGCAGGTAAAATCAATTATAATGCTCAGCGCAGCATTGAAGGAACAAGTTGTGAAGCTGGTTTTGTCAGGAAGCAAAATGGAATAAAATGAATATGAGAACTTAATAGAAAACAAGCCTGAAGGTGACATTCCTGCTAATGGAATATCAGAATCAGTCTCCGTTACTGAGATGTTTCTCCCACAAAGTATGCAGTCAATTCACTTTACAGTATATTCTGTGGAGCACTTTGAGATGTCTCAAAGATGTGATAAGGCGCTATATCAAATGCAAGGACTATTATTGTTATAAGCAGGGTGCGTCCCACCGAGTTAGAGCACGCACTCTGTTCCAATTAAGGGGAAAATTGCATGTGTGTGTGGAATTTACCTAGTTTGGATATTCTTAAACTGGTGATTAATGTCAAGACACCTGACTGAGCAAACAAAAATCCTGCAGTCAAGCACTGTTGATAAACTAACATTAACCAAATGTATTCAATAAAATGCAAGATTGATTAGCTACTCCACTTGTTTATGGGATGTTGCTGTTGCAAATTAGCTGTTGCTTTTGCCTCCATAATGTTTCATTTATAATTTCCATTTTGTGAAGTACTTTGAAATATTTCTATGCTATGAAATGTGTTCTGTTCTCAGACACAAAAACATGGACGAACTAATAGATCATCCTGTCCTTGCCCAATTTGCTTATTTATCTGCCTTCCAACAGACTTAGCAGTTCCAGCAGTTAGCGAGATTCAAATCTGATCTTCTCTACCAACCGATAGGGTATGGTAAGTTGATTTTATTTCTTGGGAGTTCTTGCCTTAATAATCCTTGCATTCAGTATAGCATTTCATGTCAGGAGGATGTCTCAAAGCGTTTGACAGGATATAATGCATTTATTTGTAGGCAAATATGACAGCCCATTTGTGCACAGGAGTATCCAGCAAATAGCTGTGAAATGAATGACCAATTTTAATTGGGGATTGCTGGCCAGGATACCAAAACAAACTCCCTTCTCTCTTTCAATAGTGCATGGGATCTTTAATGTCCACCTGAACAGGCAGACAGAATCTCTGGAGTGCATCTTAGACTACGTCCTGACTTATTTACTCACATTCTTACCTTCACCTTTTTAAAATTGGTAGTTAATTGATCAACATATTTCTCTTAATGTTTCTGTTATAAATGTATTCTTGGAATGAGGCAATGAATTAGGAAATTCACGATTAAGTTAAACACCGAATAAACACAAACTTGTAGCATCAACCCTAATTAAAGTATTTTTGTACCGGAGTGCCAGACTTATATATTTAATTCAAGTTTTAAAATGTAGGGTCTCAGCCAATTTTTTCATATGTGGCTTTGTCAAACATGTAAGATAAAGTAACTTCATTTTTTAAATAAATTCTCAATGAAGTCTTCATATGAACTTTGATGAATGTTCACTCCTGAATCTGCTGGTTATAGACAAATTGCTTTCATTCCTGTTCTTAGGCATATTTTACATTTCAATTCTTAACTTACTATATGTGACTGCTCCTATTTGTCTACTTAAAATCAGTAATTCTTGTGAAACATTGTGCATTTGAATGTTATAAGTGTTATAAAAGTGCAAATACTTGCTACAATTAAAAGATGCAAAACATAATGATTATGGAGTCCATAAGAGGTACAGTACGTCCTGTTTTAATGTTAGAGTAAAACCCCAGTACATGGCACCACCATTTAACTACTCCACTCCCGCCCACTCCCATAATTTCTGTGGTCATAATTGTTTATTATGGCTGTGGTCTAATTTCTACTTGAGACCAATGTAAACAGATGGCAAATTCACAGTTGAATAATTCCTTCCCTCCCTCCAGCTGCCTTCACTTTATGTGCTAGTGACGTGGAATGTTAATTTTTATTATGATTTGTGCCTGTAAGAAAAGAAATTGAAATACGGTAAGTTTCAAAATATTTAAGCCCTTCCCTTTGCCAAGCTGTTAAACATTTCTCATATTACCGAACACAAATTCTCAGCATTTAGAGGGCAAGTGTATTTAAACTTGTCATTTTTTAAAATCTGTACGTTTTAAATTTAGTAAATCACACGTACAGTGCAATGTGTGTGTGGGTGAGTGAGAAAAGATCCATGCGGGTAGCTGAAGCCAAGGATGTCATTTAAGGCATGTGTCCCAGTTTGAACAGAAGTTGGAATGAAATTATAATGAACAATTTTCTCTGGTGTAAAACAAAATATTGTCTGTTCTCCCACTTGATATTTTCACATTCTTCTAGTTCATATTTAACTAATACAGTTCCTTACACAATGGAAACTCACGAGTAAGTTCAGCAAACAGGCTCACACAATTGAATTTATATATGTTGAAATGGAAAAAAAATCTTGTAGGGTGATGAGGCAATTTATATTACAGTAAATTTTGCAGGGTGCAAACATTTGGAGCGAAATATAACCATGCACACGTGAAGAAGCTGTTCACCAATGCAGAGATTTTTTTGTAAAAAATGATTAATTTGAAAAATGTCAACATCCGCATGACTAAATTCTCTCTGCTCTGAGGAATGCTATTTGAAGAATCAATGCAATTCAAGGTAGTTAATCTGTTTAAAATAATTCATATTTAGCTCTCAGGTGCCACCCTGCATGAAGGCAGCTGTATGAATGCAAATTGTTGTTACAGCCTTTGAGCAGCCAAAAGAATCATTTCTTCTAAATGCATTTCTGAGTGACTTCCCTGTTAAGTTCAATTATACTATGTCATATAGTGTACTGTAGAGTAATGGTTAGAGCACTCGCCTCGCTAACAAGTGGACCCAGGTTTGAATCCCGGGCAGGGCGAAACCTTAGGCAAGTTTCCTTACTCCACATGCCTGGTTACCTAGCAGTAAGTAGGAACTCGGTTGTTAGTCAATTTGCTAATCACTTTCCGTGGGTAATCCTTCAAAATAAAATAATAATAATTTGGTCACTCAATCCACGACTGTGGGACACTGCTGTCTGTGCACAATTGGCTGCTACTTTTCACCCACAAAATAGTCAATTCACTTTACAGTATATTCTGTGCAGCACTTTGAGATGTCTTGAAGACATAATGAGGTGCGACATCAAATCCAAGGATTATTATTACCATATATAAAAAACTATGGAATAAAAGGTGAGACCCATTATAGGATCTAAAATGAATTTGAATATAGCCCTTGCTAAGTGAAAGGTGCCATATAAATGTAATTTATGTGAAGGCAAATTCTGACAATTCTTTGTGCTTTGATGGTTGAACATATATCTTATTCAGTAAACTGATGATACTTGCATTAGTGTACAGTACAGATGTTCACAAATTAAAATTGAGTTGGGAAAAAGTTTGTTTTCAGAGTGCAAATGATGCTCCAGGTCATGTGGTAATGTCAGATTTACACGATTTAATCAAGATTTGTAATATACAATAATACATCACTTTAAATTTCTAAAATATTTCCATTAATCTCCAGAGTCAGACATTGAAATCATAATATGTACACTTGCTTTAAAAGCATTTTCCCCTTTCCTGACCATTGCTATTGTCAGTTCTAAATGTACCTTTTCCAAGCAGCCATTCTTGAACAAATGTAAGAGGCTAGTTGTTAGTAATCCATTTGATCTTGGGATGGATTACAGCTGAGCCCAGGCCTCTCTTCACCCAACATCCAACCATAGACTTTCCAGCACTCGTCAGGAATTAGTTTGTCTTATTTCTTGTTTACGAGCGCTAAACTCACCTCTGGCATTGGATCACTTACACAGCTGACTTCAACCAGCACAGCATGGGCCAGAAATTGAAACCCTGACCTTCTGATCTGCTCAACTTGATACTAAAGTAAGTGGATTTTACTCACTGTAAGTAGGAAAGCGCGGGTGCATTGTATAGGATGCAATGCTATAATGTAGCAATACGTTCACATTGGTCATTTTAATTTCTCTTCCGCACTTTTGGTTCTTTCTACAAGCTCAAGTAGAGCTTCTTGTTCTGCTGCTTCCAAGAGGTTGCTAATTAGTTCATCCAACTGTCTCCCACTCAATAGAAATTCCTATAATAGAACAAAATAATGAGCCATTGAACTACAACACATACTCCTTAAATGTGTAATTGAAAACATAACTGAAATATTCACGGTTTCCTTATGGTGGCCTTTCCACATTCCAAGATTTTCTTATGTTGATTTTTCTTCAACGCATGAATATATAGGTACACACACACAACACAAAATACTAACCTTAATGTCATGCATGACATAATTAATTCTGTGATCTGTAATCCTGTCCTGGCTGAAATTATATGAACGTATTCTTTCTGATTGGGTTCTTGTTCCAACCTATCGCACATGAAGGAGAATATGTTTCCTACTGCAATGTACACTTTTAGCAAGCTATAGCAAGTGATTTCATTCAGGAAGGGTACATTGGGGTATAACATTCATAATTGTATTGTAATTAGTGAATCCTCCAGACACTGATATGTAGGAGGTTGGTTGACCTGGAACTTCACTCGGGTATATATTGGTGGCAATCTTCTGTTAGATGTAAGAAATGTCCTTTAGCTGCAACCACTTTCACACGTCAGACCTGAGATTGGTGCCCAAATGGAGTCCCACTAGATCAAACTCAAACATGTCCAGTTACCTGCAAGATTTGCTAGTTACTAATCCATGTGTGACTCTTGCACATTGAACATAAGTATCAAACGAAATGATTATCCATTCATCAAGATACTTGTTTTTTAACCTTTTTTTTTGACCACCAGCAATATTAAGCTGCATCATGTAATTTCCAGTTCTGGTCAGCAATCAGGTCAGGTTTGCAGGGCTTGTCTGACAGCTCCAAACCTCAGGATACATAGACATAAGGAGCACCCAGTCTGAGAAGAACTAGTCTTTCGATTTTTTACCCCATCATTTTTAAGACAATGTTATTCAGCAAGCGTTTTATCTTAAAGAGATGAGATGATTGAGCGAGGACCTGACAGAGGTATTTATAATTATTTAAGGATTCAATAAAGTAAATTAATAGCAGTTTCCATTTGTTGATGAATTAAAAGCAACGGGGATAAATAAGATAACCAGTAGTTGGTTTAACAGGGATTTTAGAAGGAATCTCTTTACACAAAGTATATTGAGAACATGGAACTCACTGCTGGCACCTTTGAAGCAGAAAGCTTCAACATATTTAAGAGGAAACTTGATGCATACACAATTTAGAAAAGGATGGCTCATGTGAGAATAAGCATGGACTAGTTGGGCTAAATGGGCGGTTGCCTTTCTGTAACATTCTACGTAATTCCCTTCATTGGGATGTTTACATTTTATTTATCAAAACTTCTCCATCCTGACCGTTTGTTTCATCTACTTTAAATACAGGTTTCTTGGGAAATTGTCTTTACTATTAACAGTGAAAATCAACAAAGATGTACATTTGAAAATGCATATCAGAATTTATTAGCTTAACCATAGTTATTGATTATTCAGTAGGATGAGGTTTAACATTATAGCTTATTACCTGCAGCTTTCTTGTGCTCTGCCTCTGCTCCGTCTCTCTTTCTGTAACCTGATGGTATAGTTTAGCTTTCAATGCACGCATGGCTATCTCTCGGTTCCTTAACTGTGAACGCTGCTGTTGGCATTCTACTGTTAGACCTTAAAAAAAATAGTGAGAACAAGGCCAATTCATTCAGTTTAAGTTAAAGGAAGACTGTCAGTTCAATTTTCCTTAGCCTTAGCATCAAGTTATATTCACATATAGAGTTTAAGAGAATTGAAGAAACTCATTTCCAATAATTATTTGTCTTCAGATCAGATGGGGTACAAAAAGGTACCAATTTAAGCAAGTTAATGTAACTTCCCTCACCCCTACTCCACCTCTCTCCCCCCACCCCCCCCATGCTCGGATCCTGACCCCTGACTGTCCAGTGCCTTGGGACGTCCTCCCGACATGAAAGGCGCTCTATAAATGTATTTGTTGTTGTTGTTGACAGGCACCTGCTCACCTGTTGGAATATGAACAATTCTGACTGCACTCTCTGTTGTGTTTACATGTTGTCCTCCTGCCCCTTTGGCTCTAAATGTGTCAATCCTCAAATCATCGGGCTGTATTTTTATATCTACCTGGAATAAAGGTTGAAACAATGTTAGCTTCTTGTCTCCAAATAAATCTGGGAAGTCATGTATTTAACAGAAATTCAAGCAGAAAATGGAACTCATTAAGAAAACAATAAAATTGTTTGCAGGATTTCTATTGCTCTTTTCCCAGTCATTATTAAAGTAGGCATTTTTGAACTGGGAGCAGGGATGTTAATTCTGGAGAAGATGGTCCTAACTGGACAGACACTGAAGCCAGACTGCTTTCCATGGCAAGCAATATAGTTGGTTAAACACCAGCAGTACCCCCAATGCAGTGCCAAGCTTTGGCTCTTACCAACCTGTTCCTAATACTCTTTGGAAATAGGCAAGCAGGATGCATCTGTCCAGGGAGAGAGTGTGCATCCCATTTGAAACATGAGAATTTCCATATCTAAATAACATGAATGGAACTCTTGTTTGGATACTCTTAAACACGGTGATGTGTTTCTGCATTGTCAAGACTGACCAAAATATAATACATTTTGAACAAGAAAGGTGATTTCAAAACTATTTTATAAAACCTACAACAGCTGCCTGCCTGCACAGCCAAAATCTAGAGCTGCTGAGTCAAAGCCCCTTGAAGAATGGTAAATAAACTAGCGTTTAAAGAATACGAAAAGGAGTACTAAGGTAAGCTGAACCAGTAACATAATAACAAACTTGTATTTTAATAGCGTATTATTACATTACATCTCAAAGTACTTCACAAGACTTTTTATGAAACCAAACCTAACTAGTAATATCCCACAAACAGAAAATCTGGAGAATTTTTTTAATAATCCCTGCATTTTATATGGCACTTTCACGTCAGGACGGCATCTCAAAGTTCTTTACAGGATTTGCCTGCAAAATAGTCATTCCACTTTACACTATATACTGTGAAGGACTTTGGTACATCTGCCTGGCATAAAAAGTCATATCAAATATAAGGATTATCATTTGCTGTAAAGTGTAGTGACTGTATTTTGTAGGTAAATGTAGCAGCCAAATTGCGCACAACAGTGTCCCACAAACATCCATGAAGTAAATGACCAATTTTATCTGGGGGATTGCTAGCCAGGACAACAGGAAAAACTCTTTTTTTCGAATTACGCCATGGGATCTTTAACGTCCAATGGAGCAGGCAGACAGAACCTCAGTTTAAGGTCACCCTAAGCACGTCACCTCCAACAATACAGCATATCCTCAGCCAAGAACATATGCTCAAAATCTTGATGTGGAACTTGAACCCACAACCTTCTGACTCGGGCGAAAGTGCTATCAACTGAGCTAGGCTGGCAATGCTGTGCAGATGTATTGGTTATGGGGAACTATTGCTTTTGGTGTGCAGCTTTCTGAAATTTGCCTTTAGCAAACATCAGAAATCAGAAAGCCATGAACCAGCGAACTAACAACTAACTGACAAGCTCACCTCATCAAACTGGGGTAGAACAATGACAGCCATTGTGCCAGTATGAATGCGTTGCATCCGAGATGACAGCCCCACTTCAGGAATCCTCTGAACTCGATGTGTTCCACCTTCATATTTTAAACACTTGTAAACATTTTCCCCTGAAATACAGGCTGATGCATGATGTAGTCCTCCTGGAAGAAGAGGACAGCACACCTCAGAAAACAAGCTTGGTAAAGAAATCAACCATTGCATCCAATCGTAGAAGCCTCTAAAAACCTTTTGTAGCTTTATTGGTGCTTGCTGGAGGTAGACTTGTCTTTGCAGGCAAACTCAAAGTGAAACCCATGTTAACCTGAAAATTCAGCTTAAACAAATTACCATAATCAGCAGGCATATAGTTGAGCACTTCAAAGCTCCAGTCTTTGTAGTCTGCATAATGCCGATACATGTCAAAGATCTCTTTGGTAAACTGCTGGCAGATATCACCTGGAAAAAACGATCAAGCAGAGCACAATGAAAGTAGCAGTGGTTAGAAATAAACACTGTTACAAGTTAAGGATTAAAACCATTTACAAAGGACAGAAATTTTCAGCACAGATGGTGAATTGATCATTCACTCCATGGCTCTCTGTGGGATACTGCTGTTCACTAACTGGGTGCGGCATTCACTGGCAAAATTGGGCAGTCACTACAATTTGTAGTAAATCCTATGAAGCTCTTTCAAACATCCTCCTGACAAGAAAGGCGCTATATGAAATGCAAGAATTAGTATTTCTTGTGGATGTTTGATGGAAGTTGAATCTTAAAGGTTATATATTTTACTACAACCCACACGAATTCTAATTGAGGCTTGAATATTCCATTACTTCTGCTTATATTAAACTTATTGATGCTAGAACGTTTTATGTTAATCGGGATAAATAAGCTTGATTATTGGATGCACAACTCATCTTTCAAGATAGTATGATCAGAAAACAAAGAACCTCCTGTGCTTCTCTACCTGTCAACAAAGAAATAATTATTTGACTAAAGGCTCTACTAAGACATATTTTGCTGAATGTGTTATAGTAACTTTGTGATAAATCAAATTAGCCTGTAATGTAACTAAAAGATTAACACTGTATAAAATAGTATGCATTTTGTGAAATTAAAGTGCCTTTTGTCACTGGAGTAGGCATTAAAGCATGAACACCTTATCTATTACTATTAATACAACCTGGAATAAACTAATCTGTTAAGCTTTGATGCATAAGCAAAATATTTTAAATGTGAAAATATATTAACCTGTAGAGTTATCATACAGATATTTATATAATTGCTTAACTTCTGCTCTAAAAAGATGCAGGTTAGTTCACTTGGTTTCTTGTATTATCAAAGCAATCTTTTCTAACACTGCATTAAAATCTCACCTCCTGTTGTTCTCCCAGATGTCACCTCAAGAATCACATCTTTATCATTATGTTCCTCCCTTTCCACTAGAGCTTGAACAAGCTGAAGGATAAAAAAGGAGAAGAAATGTTAATACTCACATCTAGAAATAAATGCTTTTTATTTTTTATGGTTTAAAATAAAGGCAGGTTTTAACATTTTTGCTAAAACAGTTTCTGCCGTTTGACTTCCATCATCACACATCATGTCCAAAATGGAAAAGTGTTTCATTCATAGTAATAATATCCCTCACCTTATTGGACACAAAATTAGCACAAAATGAAAAGATAAAATATGGGTATAAAACAGAATACATAGGGATTCAAGTTCTACAAAGTAGCATGTATGAACTAGGGGAATGAGAGGCAAGGAAACGTCTTGTAGATTTTGTATAGCAGGATTATTTGAAGCAAGAGAGAAAAAGACATAAGAGAGGCAGAGAATTAAAGAGAGACTGACACATACACGGACAGTTAGTGAGGTACAGACATGCACAGTACAGATAGAAAGACAGACACAACATGCACAGAAGACAAAGATGTACACGGAGAAATCCATTATCTGTATTTGGTGTCAGACTCTGCCCGTCAAGCGCTACAGGAAGCTACTTCGTATGAAGGGACCTATATAAATGCAAGTTGTTGTTGTATTTAGCTAGTCGCAATTAGTACAGATCAGGCTATCGGAAATTCTATTCATTCTATTATGCACTGAAAATGAATGTTGACCAGTAAAGCTATACAAGTGATAAACATAGTTGATGCATTGGGGAAACATTTTAGCATTAAGGAAAATCGATAACGTTTCCAACGTAATTTCTAGCAGCATATTAACACTCACATTTCTTTGTAAATCTGCAATATTTTTACTGAGCGCCTTCTGTTCTTCATTGACCAACAGCATCAGTTCTCTGTCATCTATGGTATTCAGACCTCCAGAACAGAAATTTGTTTCAAAGAATGTGAAAAGCAACAAATTAATGTAAATATTTTTAAAATCCCGAATAACCAAATAAAATGTTACTGTATACTGCAGCAACAGCCGGCATTATCTCCCCTCCCCGCTTTGCATCCACCCAACCATCGTTTCCTACCTCTCCCACGAGAGGATGTGCGTTGGGAAGGGAGGGAGTGGGCGGCCCGAAGTTGGAAACATCGGATGAAATCATCCACCGGGCCGGATAAAATAATAGTAATCCTTGCATTTGATGAGGTGCCTTATCACGTCCTCGAGACGTCTCAAAGCGCTTCACAGAATATACTGTAAAGTGAATTGACTGTACATTGTGTGGGCGAAACATGGCAGCCAATTGCGCACAGCAGTATCCCAAACAGGCGTGGATTGAGGGACCAANTTTTTTTTGGAAGGAATCATTGCCGCTGGAAAAGTGATCCACCAATCGACTAACAACTGGGTTCCTACTTACTGCTAGGTAAACAGAGGTGTGTGGAGTAAGGAAACTTGCACAACATTTCATCCTGCCGGGAATTGAACCCAGGTATTCGAGGCAAGTGCTCTAACTCACGAATGCAGCTCGCCTGTTGAATCACACTGCTGTACATCATTAAGTGACGAACGGACATGACTACGATTCACACAAACCACAGAATTTCAAAGGAAAATGCAGAAGAAAAACTTTGATTACTATTGTACATTGATTCCAACTCCAGAAAATCTTTTTCTGCCAGGTCCATCTCCTCCAACAGTGCAGCAAGTGGAGTCAGCTCAACATGACGGGCACTTAATATTTTGCGATCTTCCTCACATAATGAAGCACAATTTAATTGGTTGCAAGCTTCTCTGTATTCTTCTTTCAGTCTCTTCATATATCCCTTTACAGCATCTTGCTGAAACAGTTCACGAGAATAAGTGTGACAGTGTCTCTTTGGCTGCTGTTTCATTTTTAGCTCATTGGTACTGGCGTAGGAGAAACAAAGTCTGGCATTTTGTTTGTATATTGCTACACTTGACCTCAGCTTCTGAGATACTTCACAGATTCTTCCCAAATCCTTGTGTCTCCAGATTAGTTTTCCAATTAACCAACTGCATCTGTACTTCATCATGTGAGCAGTTTTCAAAATCTACAGCATGAAAAAACAGGAATGGTGAGAGATGGTTAATCATAGCTAAACACAGGGGCGAGAGAGATGGGAACCATCACATGAATTCAGTATATAAACTTATGAAATGTTTTTTTTTCAGTGATTACAATTTAATCTGCGTTTTAAGACTGAACTTCCAACCTGTGCCGGGAGAACAATGCTTCGTCGGAGGTGCCGTCCATCAACAGAGATGTTAAAGGACCCAAGACGCTATCCTAAAGAGAAGGGAGCTTCTCCACATGGGCAACAATTGTCCAGTTAATTGGTTATTCACTTTGGGATTGCTTGGGAAACATTGCTGTGTAGAAATTGGCTGCTGCATTCATCTACAAATAGACAGTCACTACACAGAATACTAATTACTGTGAGAAGTTTCAATGTCAATAAGGTGCTATAGCAAATACAATGTATTTGACTATAGATACAGACCCTGTGTGTGTCTTTATAGATACAGACCCTGTGTGTGTGTGCGTGTCTCTCTCTATACAGACCCTGTGCGTGTGTGTCTCTCTATACAGACCCTGTGTGTGTGTGACTCTCTATACAGACCATGTGTGTGACTCTCTATTACAGACACTGTGTGTGTGTCTCTCTATACAGACCCTGTGTGTGACTCTCTATTACAGACACTGTGTGTGTGTCTCTCTATACAGACCCTGTGTGTGTGTGACTCTCTATACAGACCGTGTGTGACTCTCTATTACAGACACTGTGTGTGACTCTCTATTACAGACACTGTGTGTGTGACTCTCTATACAGACCCTGTGTGTGTGTGACTCTCTATACAGACCATGTGTGTGTGTGACTCTCCATACAGACCCTGTGCGTGTGACTCTCTAACACAGACCCTGTGTGTGTGTGACTCTCTATACAGACCCTGTGTGTGTGACTCTCTAACACAGACCCTGTGTGTGTGTGACTCTCTAACGCAGAGCCTGTGTGTGTGTGACTCTCTAACGCAGACCCTGTGTGTGTGACTCTCTAACGCAGACCCTGTGTGTGACTCTCTAACGCAGACCCTGTGTGTGTGTGACTCTCTAACGCAGACCCTGTGTGTGTGTGTGTCTCTCTAACGCAGACCCTGTGTGTGTGTGTGTGACTCTCTAACGCAGACCCTGTGTGTGTGTGTGTGACTCTCTAACACAGACCCTGTGTGTGTGTGTGACTCTCTAACGCAGACCCTGTGTGTGTGTGTGACTCTCTAACGCAGACCCTGTGTGTGTGTGTGACTCTCTAACGCAGACCCTGTGTGTGTGTGTGACTCTCTAACGCAGACCCTGTGTGTGTGTGTGACTCTCTAACGCAGACCCTGTGTGTGTGTGACTCTCTAACGCAGACCCTGTGTGTGTGTGTGCGTGTGACTCTCTAACGCAGACCCTGTGTGTGTGTGTGACTCTCCAACGCAGACCCTGTGTGTGTGTGTGACTCTCTAACGCAGCCCCTGTGTGTGTGTGACTCTCTAACGCAGACCCTGTGTGTGTGTGTGACTCTCTAACGCAGACCCTGTGTGTGTGTGTGACTCTCTAACGCAGACCCTGTGTGTGTGTGACTCTCTAACGCAGACCCTGTGTGTGTGTGTGACTCTCTAACGCAGACCCTGTGTGTGTGTGTGACTCTCTAACGCAGACCCTGTGTGTGTGTGTGACTCTCTAACGCAGACCCTGTGTGTGTGTGTGTGACTCTCTAACGCAGACCCTGTGTGTGTGTGTGTGACTCTCTAACGCAGACCCTGTGTGTGTGTGTGTGACTCTCTAACGCAGACCCTGTTGTGTGTGACTCTCTAACGCGGACCCTGTGTGTGTGTGTGACTCTCTAACGCAGACCCTGTGTGTGTGTGACTCTCTAACGCAGACCCTGTGTGTGTGTGTGTGACTCTCTAACGCAGACCCTGTGTGTGTGTGTGTGACTCTCTAACGCAGACCCTGTGTGTGTGTGTGTGTGTGACTCTCTAACGCAGACCCTGTGTGTGTGTGACTCTCTAACGCAGACCCTGTGTGTGTGTGTGTGACTCTCTAACGCAGACACTGCAGTTCTGTGTCTCCAGCACTTACCCAGTTGCTGCACTGCGCAGAATCGCTCGCCGCGCGGTGTACTCTGGGCCGGGGGGGGGGAGGAGGAGTGGGCGCGGCCTGTGAGGTCACTGCCGGTGTGTAACCATGGCGACACTCGGCCGCTGCCGCCGCTGCTGCTGCTGCCGCCCCGCGGAGGAGCTGACGGGCGGGGGGGGACCTGACGCTCTGGGCCTGGGGCGGCCCCGGGGCCGGGGCCCGGGGCAGGGGAGCCGGGAACCAGGCTTGGCAATCGGGCGGTGAGCAGGTCAGAGCGGGAGGGCCTGCACTTCCCTCTGTAAGTCAGTAAGTCTGAGGATAATAATAATAATAATAATCCTCGCATTGGATATAGCGCTTTTCACGTCTTCCCGACGTCCCAAAGCGCTTCACAGAATATACTGTAAAGTGAATTGACTGTATATTTGTGGGCGAAACGCGGCGGCCAATTGCGCGCAGCGGCAGTGGCCCACAAACAGCCGTGGATTGAAAATGACCGATTTATTATTGATCTTGAAGTCGATGCGTTTCCGCACTAAGTATCCCGAGAGTGAAGCCGGGCGTAGACTGGGGTCATAATAATAATAACAATAATAATAATAATCCCAGCACGTGATACAGCGCCTTATCGAAGGCGCTGTATCAAGACATGAAAAGCACTATATCAAATGCAAGGATTATTATTTTATTTTTTATAGATGTGGGAAATGTCGAGGAGGTGGACAAGAGCGGTCCTGGTCAGCATCAAAGGAATCAATAGAATGATCTTAATACCCAGCTTCACTGAGACTTACTTAAAGAAACTTATCATTTATTCATTGAAACAATGTTGCTCTAAATACAAAATTATTTCTAATGAGCCAACCTCTAATCCATTTTTCAAAATCACTGCTTTGATCTCTATCTTAACACTTGTATGTCGATCTGCACATTCCCCTCCAGGTGGCAATGTTCATAACAGTTTACTTGGTGTCGCAACGAAATTTTGTAAAACCGGAATCATGACTTTAAAATTGAAACTCTCGCACTTACTCTCTGAAGTTTTGGAAAAGATTGCATTAAGAATAGAAGGCAGTAATGATGATTTTTGTCTGGGAAACCTCCTCGCTGGAGACAAAATTCCACTCATTTTCGACATTTTATACACATAAAAAATTGAAATGTTTGGAGCAGGTTTTGGAGGTTTCTTTGTCATGTTCCAAAACTAGTTGCAGGAAATCAAGACTGGGTGGACCGTGGCAATAACTGAAAAACAGTCTGAAACAGCAGCATTGCACCTTATGTTTGTAATGGCTGTGGAGTCCTGTAGCTCAGTAGTCAGAGCACTCGCAAGCGAAAGGACCTGGGTTCGATTCCCAGGCAGGCCGAAAGTTTTCTTACTCTACACACCTTTGATTACCTAGCAGTAAGTAGGAACCGAGTTGTTAATTGATTGGCGGATCACTTTTCCAGGGGTAATAATCCCTTCAAAAAAAATAAATAATAATAATTTGTTCACTCAATCCCCACGACTGTTTGTGGGACACTACTGTGCACAATTGGTTGCCACATTACGCCCACAAAATATACAGACGCTCCACTTTACAATATATTCTGTGAAGCACTTTGAGACGTCTCAAAGACGTGATAAGGCGTTATATCAAATGCAAGGATTATGATTACTATTATAATGCGGGACCTTGAATGCCAAGTAAAAATAATAATAATCCTTGCATTTGATATAGCGCCTTATCACTTTGAGACATCTGAAAGTTAGGTAAACAGAAGCGTTTGGAGAAAAGTAAACTCACCTAAGGTTTCACCCCACCCGGAAATCAAACTTGGGTCCTCTCATTTGAGATCAAATATTGTATATTAATTAAGTATTAGAAGTAGAGGTCAAGGATTGGCGGATGCTAATGAGTGACTTTCCAAACAAAGGTAAACTATTGATCGAACCACAAAAAAATGAATTTAATCCAGAGATGGAGATAATGTTATATAAAGTACCGGAAATCCGAAATATTGTTAGAAAAGCACAACAGGTTGATCATCATCTGAAAGAAAGAGATTTATGTTTCGATTGTGATCCTTCATCTAAAATGACCTGTGGTGTCACACTGGAAATCTTAACCTACCTTTCTTTTTCAGTTGCTGATAAACCTGGTGTGTATTTCCAGCATTTTATGTTGTTTTTCAGTCAATGACTATTAATACGCTAGAGATAAAGGAACAGTTAAGAACATAAGAACATAAGAATTAGGAGCAGGAGTAGGCCATTCAGCCCCTCGAGCCTGCCCCGCCATTCGATAAGATCGTGGCTGATCTTCTGACCTAACTCTAATTACCTGCCCTATCCCTATATCCCCTAATCCTTCTATTTTTTAAATAGTTCTTTCAAATATTTGGATGCTATCTCCTTTACACAATATAAAAGCTGAATTGAAACAGTAGTCAATGCACCTAATAGACTTCCTTTATCTCACTGCTCATGTCTCCTGACACACTTCTACAAACTAGTCTCTGCGTATGTTTTTCATTTCCTGTGGTTAACACTACTATCACCTGCTCAGTTTTATTCCAATTCATCTGATACCAACCTCAAAATCAAGTATCTCCGTTTGACTCTGCTTCTTGGCTGGAATATATCACTTGCTTATTGTCAAAGGGAAAGATGACGCCTCTACGATCATCTAATCTTTCTCCACTTGAACTTGTGGTGCTCTCCCTGCACCCCGACTGACTCCATTACGTTAGTGGAGAATATTTTATGTTGACAAATTTGCCATATACTGTTTTTGCAATGTAGCAATCTGAAAATAATAAAAATAATATATAATAATCCTTGCATTTGACGTAGCGTTTTTACGTCTTCTGGACGTCTCAAAGAGCTTCACAGAATATACTGTAAAGTGAATTGACTATATTTTGTGGGCGAAACGCGCAGCCAGTTGCTCACAGCAGTGTCCCACAAACAGTCGTTGATTGAAATGACCAATTTATTATTTTTTTGTCTGGAGGGATTATTATAAGGCGTGTGGAGTAAGGAAATTTGCCCAAGGTTTCACTCTGCCGGGAATCGAATCCAGGTCTCTCGCTTCCGAGGCGAGTGCTCCAATCACTGAGCTACAGGACTCCATAAGTCCTGAAACATTATATTCCGTATAATAAACACTAACAACGAGAATACTTAAAAGATTCATTTAAGCATAGTTTAATATCAATGTGCTCACAATCGATGGCGCAGAACATGTTCAAATTGCTACAATATGCAACCATATTGTGCTTCTTATGCTAGTAACCTTGAGAAGCAAATTCATGCTGAAAGTTGCGAACACTAAGCTTCATTTCGAGAAGTCTTTGCCAACTAAGAAATGTTAGATACAAAAGTGGTAAGACTTCGGGTACGGAAGGAAAGCCATCGGAGACTCCGGCCAAATAGCCTGTTAAAGCTCATGTGAATAACACACGTTAGGACTAGCCACTGCGGGATCAGCGACTGGTTGTGAACAATAAGTTAATTAATATTAACCGTTAGTTAGTTAGTTAGTTAATTAGTTAATATATAATACTGTAGTTTATATATATTACACATTATATATTATATATCATACATCTACAGTCAGATCCTCATCCAAGATAGATTTAGGGTAAGAGATTGATCTTGATGGCTCTTAAAAAAACACGAGCACAGTCACTTTGGGCCACTCTTATTTCTATGGTTTGCAATCGAAAGTGTTGAACTTGAGGAAACTTTTTCCTTTTTTTAAAAAAGAAAACAAAAGAAAGTGGGTTTCCTCCCGCAAGTGTGGTTGAAGGAAGGCTGGGGGGGTGGGGAGGGGGTGTGTGGGTGGGGTGGGGAGGGGATGTGTGGGGGGCTGGGGTGGGGAGGGCGTGTGTGGGGGGGTGGGGAGGGGAGGGTGTGTGTGGGGGGGCTGGGGTGGGGAGGGGGTGTGTGGGGGGGCTGGGTGGGGAGGGGTGTGTGGGGTGGGGTGGGGTGGGGGGGTGTGGGGGGGGAGGGGGGTGTGGGGGGGTGGGGTGGGAGGGGGTGTGTGGGGGGGCTGGGTGGGGAGGGGGTGTGTGGGGTGGGGTGGGGTGGGGGGGTGTGGGGGGGGGAGGGGGGGTGTGGGGGGGTGGGGTGGGGAGGGGGTGTGTGGTAAGGTGAGGTGGTGTGTGGGGTGTGTGTGGTGGGGGGGGATGTGTGGTGGGGGTGTGTGTGTGTGTGGGGTGTGGTGGTGTGTGTGGGAGGGTGTGTGTGGGGTGGGGTGTGTGTGTGGGGTGTGTGTGTGTGTGTGTGGTGGTGTGTGTGTGGGGGGGGGTGTGGGGGTGTGGGTGTGGGTGTGGGTGGGGGGGGGGTGTGGGTGTGTGTGTTGTGGTGGTGGTGTGTGTGTGTGGGGGGTGTGTGTGTGGTGGTGGTGTGTGGGTGTGTGTGGGGGGGGGGTGTGGTGGTGGTGTGTGGGGTGTGTGTGTGTGGGGGTGTGTGTGGGGGGGGGTGGGGTTGGGGGGGGTGTGTGGTGGGTGTGTGTGTGTGTGGTGGGGTGTGTGTGTGTGGTGTGTGTGGGAGGGTGTGTGGTGGTGTGTGTGTGGTGGTGGTGTGTGTGTGTGTGGTGGTGTGTGTGTGGTGATGTGGGGGTGTGTGTGTGTGTGATGGTGGTGTGTGTGTGGGGTGTGTGATGGTGGTGTGTGTGTGGGGTGTGTGTGGTGGTGTGTGTGGGGTGTGTGTGTGTGTGTGGGGGTGTGTGTGGGGGGGGGTGGGGTTGGGAGGTGGTGTGTGGGGTGTGGTGGGTGTGTGTGTGTGGTGGTGTGTGTGGGTGTGTGTGTGTGGTGGTGTGTGTGTGTGTGTGTGTGGGAGGGTGTGTGGGTGTGTGTGGTGGTGTGTGTGGGGGGGTGTGGGGGGTGTGTGTGTGTGTGTGTGGGGGTGTGTGTGTGGGTGTGTGTGTGTGGGGGTGTGTGGCTGCCTTGGGCCGGGGGGGGCCCCCACCGCGGTGTGGGTGAGGTCAGTGCAGGGCGGGCGGTGTGTGTGTGTGTGTATAAGAGCGGGAGGAGCGGGCGGAGGCGGCGCAGTGCTGCAAACTCTCATCGCGTTGGAAGCGAAGCTCCCGGTGGTTCCTGCGCCGCTGAGAGCAGTGCTGCCTTCCTGTGCCTCTGACCCTCCTCCCGCTCCTGCGAGCACCGTTCCCCGGGTGTCCCCGGGCCGGACCGCCGAGATGAAACCCCCAAAGGTTAAAAACCCCACTCGAGGTGAGTACACCCCCCAATCCTTTCGTCAGTACAGGGTGACTGGGGGGGGGGGGGGGGGGCAGTGGGTGCACAGCAGTGCCGCTCGGCTCGGCTCTGCTCCATCACTGCTGAACCCCCCGGTCCTTTGCAACACTGGGGGGGCAGCGAGTGAGTGGGACCGTGAGCCCAGAGCAGAGCAGATGCTCTCCACGTTACACGGTGTCTCCCCCCCCCCCCACCCCCTCCCCGCCAGTTGTTACAGACGGTGCAGGTCTGGTCTGGTCTCTGACGCCCTCAAGTCGTCTTGTTCCAGTGCGAAAGGAGGAGGTGGTGGAGGAGGTGGAGGTGGTGGAGGAGAGGGACGCCGACCTGAGCGCGGTGCTGTGCGAGTTCGATGCGGTGATCGAGGACTTCAGTTCCCCGCGGAACAACAGGCACTTCAGGTACGACGAACACCTGCGATGCCTGAAGAGGAGGAGCAGCACCAGCATCAGCGACAGCAGCTTCAGCGACTCAGAGAGTGAGTGTCGACACGACCACCCACTCACCACCCACCCCACCCCACCCCACCCACCCACACAGTGTGCAAGTCAGTCGTCAGGTTTCTCCTCTCACTCGACGCTAGAAATAATAATAATAATAATAATAATCCTTGCATTTGATATAGCGCTTTTCACGTCGGGAGGACGACCCAAAGCGCTTCACAGAACACACTGTAAAGTGAATCGACTGTATGTTTGTGGGCGAACGCGGCGGCCAATTGCGCACAGCAATGTCCCACAAACAGCCGTGGATTGGAAGTGACCGATTTGTTATTGGTTTTGGTTTTGGAGGGATTATCACAATCGCCGATCATTGTGTTGCATTGAAAGATAGTGGTTTAAAAAACTTTTATCTCATCACAGTGTCTGTGTGGGTGGGTGGGTGGGTGTGTGGGTGGGTGGGGAGGGCATCTTTCCTTATCACACATTGCCTCCCTGCCAGTTCCTTTGGTAAACATTATGTTATTGTGAAGCGCTTTGAGACGTCTCGACGACGGGATAAGGTGCAATATACATCAAACGCGAGGATTACTTTTTTTTTAAAAAAAAGATGCGTGAACCCCACCGCGGTTTCAGTGATCGGTTCCTGTTGTTTTGACTTGGAAATCAGGTGCAGATTCGCCTCAGAGAAATAGTTTCAGCTTCAGCGACGAAAAGCTTAGCGGTTCTTCAACAGTCGTGTCTCCTAAAGGTAACTTTTTTTTTTGTAAAAATTCCCCCTTCAATAAAAGTTGAGGTTCGCAAGTGCAACCCCAAGGATAAAAACTAACATGTGACACTTTTAGTCGTGTGTGCATGTGTGTGTGTGTGTATTTGGAATGTGAAAATTCATTTCCCATTTAAATCTCTGCCTTGGGACTACTGCCTTCTAGATTACTTTTCCTCCAGGCTCCTTGACCAGATGCTTCCTATAGTTGAGAAGACTGGAAAGCTTTACAGATCTCCAGCTTCCAACAACTGTGTACCATCTCAGGGAGGTCTCCTTTTTCTCTCGGTGGTAGGCATCTGTTCTTGGTAATGTTCTGTCCGAACCCACCCCGCCCCAGCAGTTGGGAGCTTGGATTGAGGGCTGCTTGTCACTGATGTTTCGCCTACAAAATATACAGTCAATTCACTTTACAGTATATTCTGTGAAGAGCTTTTAGACGTCTTGTAGGTGCGATAAGGTGCTACATCAAATGCAAGGATTATTATTATTCTTATTCGCTCTCCAAGAGACCTACTACTGAATTATCCAACACCCAACTCTTTCTCACGCAGCTGCATAATTGTATTACCTTTTATACTACGATATTTACTGGGACTGTAGTCAATTCCTGTAAAATATGAGATGTGCATTTGGTTACTCTTTGCTAAGTAGAACACTGACTGTGTTTAATAATGTTCTTTGATCAGTCTGCAACTGGATGAGCAGTGGAAAGTAATTACAGTAATAAAATAGTAAGAGGGGAATCAGTCTTTCACCACGCTTATTTTATAGTTAACCTGCAAGTATCTTTGCTGAAGTATCATCCTTTTATTTATTATTAAAAGGTATGATACTTCAGCAAACCATTATTTATTATTATTAAAATGCAGTGTTTCCAAACTGGATGCATTGTGTTCATTGTATCTTCTAGTTTGCAACAAACAAAACAACAAACAAAAATGGATACGAAAGTTGACAAAAAGATTGAAAAAATTGGCTCTTACCTTCCTTGGGTTTTCTTGGACTTTACTTAGCTCTCAAGACCCTCCTCTTCGACAGTTCCTTCGATCACCCTCCCTTCCCCGCCTGCCCTCCATCCTCCCCGATCCCGACCCCCAGCTCGGGTCCAAAACACTGATTGTCCAGCGCCTTTGGACATCCTCGCAACGTGAAAAGTGCTATACAAATATAATTTTGTTTTGTTGTTGTTGGCTGCTTAAAGGTCTGAAAGTAAACCTTTGGGCTCTATCTCAACCTGGAATTTGAAAGAGCTTTTTTTTGACAATCTCAAAATTGTGAAACACAAACCCGAAGCTGCAAATTATGCAACAATTTAATTTAGCCATATCATGTTTTAGAGCACAATATCTAATCCCCCACCTTTTACGAGATCCCATCCTGATTTTTCAAAATGTATAACTATTCTAAAGACTTTTATTCTGAAGACATTTTGCAGCCAATGGCTAACTAATATTTCCCCCCCAAATACAGTATTATTTCAGAATGGCCCTGAGTGAAACCATGAATTATAGCACAAATTGGATTTTAGTCTAAATTTGCTTTTCATGTTTCTCCGAATGCGGTTTTCAGTTTTGTTGTGGTTGTCAGCTTCAGCACCAAGTGGTGGAAAAATATTAGCTGTAAAAGAATAAAAATTATCAGAGATTGTCAATTGGCATTGCATTAACTACTCCTGGTTGGCTGGGAACAAAGTGATATTACTAATTTCGATCATGTAGTTATTCTTTGCCAATTATGTGTGCGTGAGTTTGTTTTCCTCAGCAAGAAAAAGACTGAATACAAATGTTCAATAAAATAATCTTAGTGAAAGGCTCTAAGTGATTCCCTTATTTACAGCAAAGCTTGGAGACACAAAGGAACTGGAGGACTTTATTGCTGATTTGGACAGAACATTAGAAAGTGAGTAACATCCTTTTGTTTTTGTGCACTGCACTAATAATAAATCTATATACTTTAAACTCAAGATACTTTCAATGACCTTAGAAAGACAAGGAATCACTACATTATTGAGAATAAAACATCTTATATATTTTCATTCAGTGGCTGCGCTACCCATGTATTACAGAATTAGATACCAATTGACCAAGTGGGTAATTCTAATCCTTGTACTTTTGCATCTGATATAGTGCTTTCACATTGGGAGGTTGTCTTAAATTGTTTCACAACACTTCACTATAAAGTGTAGTGTCTGTGTATTTTGTAGGTGAATGTATCATCCAGTTTGGGGCACGTCAGTGTCCTCAGACAATGCATTGTCCTGGAGTATCAGCCCAGACTTTTGAGTTCAAAGTGCCATGTGGGTCTTGAACCCACAGCTTTCTAACTCAAGTGCCAACAATTGAGCCAGATTGACACCTAAATTCTAGCCTCTGTAATGCACCACGCACTTTCTGTTCAATCCCTTTTTGGCCACTCTTAGCGAGATTGACAAATTCTGCTACACCTGAGGTCAGCTAGTTGAGTTGACAGTGAGATGGATTCTTTGTGTCTCAACTACAAGTGGGACAATACGTGGAGGCGACTGACACCGTTAGAAAGCAATACATATTGTTCCAGTGTTTCTAATCTAGTCAGAATGGGATTGGTTTCGTGGACGTGTACCATTATAATCTGTTTTCCATTTCGAGCTTTTGTGATTCATTTCTGAAAAGCAAGAACAAACCTTGAAAGTAGTAACAGATCAATGTGTCATTTTCAAGGCAATGAATAAAATAAAAAATGATAACCAGTGCAGGATAAACATTGTGTAAGTTCACCACAGGAGATAATTCTTTACGTTGTAAAATTGAATGAGAGGAGAGCTTAGACAAAGTGTTTTCACTTAGAGTTGTTGAGATGTGGAATGCCCTGCCAAGTGAAGTGGTAGAGGCAGAGTCCATTTGGGGTTTCAAGAATGCAGAATATATATATGTGCCACTAACTTTCCCCTCAGGCCTCCGAGACCCTCATTCACACATCTGTCAGATCCAGGCTTGATTATGGCCATGCTCTAACGCTCTGCTCCCTGGACTACCTAGCTCTTCCCTACATAAACTGTAGGCTATCCAGAACTCTGCAGCCCTTGTCCTTTCCTACACCAAGCTCCATGAGCCTATCGCCCCCATTCTCACTTGGATTGAGTTCAAGATCCTCGTCCTCACCTTTAAATCTCTCCATGGTCTCACCTACCTCTGCAATCTCCTCAAACGCTACCAACTTGAACACTCTCTTCACTCAATGAGCACTGGCCTTATTATCCCCAGACTCTTTCAAGCCTCCTTCACGTCTCCCTCCATGTATCCTCCACCATCATTTTTGTATTCCACTGTAACCGGATCCTCTCGCTTGCATATGAAGAACAGAGGCTTGAACGGGTATGGGGACAATGTGGGGCAGTGAGATTGAATAAACAATTGCAGATTTGATGGGCCAAATGGCCTCCTTCTGTACTGTAAATTTTTATGATTGTATGTTTCTAATAGTAGCACTTTTATATTTACTTTAAAACTTTAACCTGATGGCACAGTACTCCCCATTTCAAACTCTTTGAATCCAGACCTCTCTCTAGCTGTATGATCTCATTATAGCTATTTACTCCTGCCTATTAGATCACCTTATTAACTATACACATGTAGCACATTCACTTGCTGCATCACTGAACCTAATTCAAATGAGTACAGGCAAATCATTAGGATGAACAAACAAATTGGTTACAGCCAAATTTGCAAGTAACACAACAGCAGTGATGCACTAATGGACTAGTCAAAGAGTGAAACTGACTTTGTAATCTATTGTAGGCATTAGGAATTTGCTTTTTGAATAAAACTTGGATTTATATAATCCTTTTCACATAATATAAAATGCCTCAAAACACCTTACAAAATAAAATCAACTGGAAGTGAATGTTATATAAGCAAATGTAGCAATGAATGTGCACAGGAATGTTTTTTGAACAACAATGAGATGAGTAGTCAATTAATTAGAATTTTGGGGTAAATTTAAATGAGGAAGGAATTAGAAACAGTATTTCTGTGAAATGGTAGGAAGGGAGAGGGGAGGTCCCTGTACATCCATCTGAATCTCAGGACAGACTGAGCCAAATTAATGTCAAAAAAAAGGACAATGGAACTAAGAAAATTGTATTTAGTATAGAATGTTATGTACGCAGATAAAAAGTGGCTCATAGTTTCTTTTTCATTTGCCAATAAATGTTGCTATGCTTAAGGGCCTTTTGACTGGTGCTTGTTTACAAGATTTCGTAATGGTGCTGTGAACGTAATGTAACAAACAGGCTGTTGCTAAATATGTCATTGTAACTCAAGTAACTCATCCAGAGACTAACTATGTTACATGCGTCACATTTGTCCACAGGTATGTGAAAGGAAGGAGCCAGGGTCTTGGCCTCATTCAGCCATGTGAGGAATGTATGCAGACAGCCACCAAGAGTAAAGCGTTACTTCAACTGTCTTGACATTTATGCTCTATATCACAGAGAAGAATTTGTTGACAGTATTTGCACACAAATGCTTTCATACGTATAGACTACTACCAGATTTCGGAATCAGCAGATACATTTCTAAACAAGCCTATTCTACAGTAAAATACATAGTCAGCCATTTTAATATCCCCCCCTGCTGTAATTTTCCTGAAAGAAGGTTGGGAATAATTTAATTTTGCAGTAAGGAAATATTAATCATTTTATAGCGTTGGAAATTATGAATTGTGTTAAGATTGTTTCACATTGAAATATATTTTTGTAAATTTTAATATACATTTACAGGATTCCAAAGTCTTCCCAACTTAAATTTCATAAGAAAACTTTCTTTAAAACCAAGCAGTGCCATATAAAGCATGAAGTGTTGAAGAATGAAATGTATTTAGTTTGCCTTTCTTCATCTATGTTGCTCTTTATGGTAATAATTTCCTGTAATTAATGTTAAATAAACTTATATTTTTGTTTTATGAAAAGTTTGTTCACTTCTTTTTTCCAGCGCAGTTCAACATGAAACTTTGCTGAAAAGACTCCTTATCGGCTTTGAGATGTATGGGCAGCTATTAATGTGGTGTGTGGAATGTATGGGATTCCTGCAGTGCTGAAAAGCTTAATGAAATGTCAATACTGTTACTGTTAGCACCCAGAATGCTTTCCAGTATTCCACATTCACATTTAGTATCCTTTCCCCGACAGTCAGATGGTACATATTTATAGGATTCCCCACACAGGCATTGCTGTGTTTGCCTTGCTTCTCAGGTGTCACCTTGGCGCAGTTGGTAGCACTCGCATCTCTAAATGAGTCAGAAGTTGTGGGGTTCAATGCCCGTGGTGAGACTTTGAACTCACAGTCTAGGCTGACACTCCAGTGCAGTGCAGGCGGTGTGCTGCATTGCCAGACGTGCTGTCCTTTGACTAAACTGAGGTCCTGTCTGCTGTTCAGGAGGACGTTAAAAGTCCTGTGGCACTACTCAAAATGAGTTTCTCCTGGTGTCCTGGCCAACAATCCCCCAAAGTAAAAATTGGTCATTCAGAGGCTGTTTGTGGAACTTTCCTCTGCACAAATTGACTGCCGCGTTCGCCTATAAATATACTATCTTTCAGTAAAACCTGTAAAACACTTTGAGATGTCTCGCTGACATGATAAGGCACCTATTTGAAATACAAGGAGTATTGTTATGAGGATGGCGAGAGAAGTCATGTTTATGTAGGACTGAGAAAATCATTTGAATTCCAACTATCATAGGTACCGGGGCATAAATGTTTTCATGTTTTATGAAATGCCCTCCATGTGAAGCACTGTGAGATGTCTGGCCAATCTGAAATGCGGTAAATGCAAGTTGTTTTTAGTTGATCTACTTCAGTTATAAGCAGAGGCCGAGAAATACAATGCATTGCCTTCAGGGATATGTCAAATGTTGCTTATTTATTAGGCTCTTGGGAGATGTATGAAGGTGGGGATATTTAGGTTAATTTGCTCTCTGGTGGCATAGCAGAGAATAGAAATGCCCTGGGTATAATGTTGAGATTTATTAACCATTCTTACCTATTATAAACGAAAGAAACACTGCTCTGTAAAAACACTGGAAATCCTATCTGTTAGTTGAAATATTACGTTTCTTTAACTCGGTGACATCTCTTTCTTTTGGCAGCTATTAATTATTGCAACATGCTGGGCTGCTGGTGCTGTGGAAATTGCGCCTGGTTTACACTGTGGGCTAGATTCTACAGCATTTGCCGCAATATAGAAAAAACATTGATATTGGCAGCTTGGAAATCAGAATATATAGGTACTGGGCAGATAACTTAAAGAGAAAGTACAACTTGTACAGCAAACCTATCAGTGTGGGTAAACCACAAGGCCATGAAATATGGTCTTTTTTTCCCCATCCTCTCGATGTGAAAGGCACTGTATATAAATGTGAATTATTGTTGTTCTGTAGAATATCTTGGCCCTGATATTCCACATGTTAACAATGTCCATGTCGTAATACAACTATATTTGTAGATTCCAAAGACTATGTACTATAGCCTAGCTGAGAAAATAGTCTGGTGACAAATTCCCAAGCCTCAACTGATGATGCTCTGTCACCACTGAGATGTGTTTAGACTCAGCCCAAGACAGCCCCGTTTCACTGCTTCTCAGAGTATTTGACTTCCACCTAGTTTTTTTACCTCCTTGTGTGGGGCACAAACAGACTTCTTTCCCTTCAGGCGCACTATTCTACTCATATACTGTGAGAAATTCTATATGAGCTGCTATTCATTCAATCCCTGAAAACCTTTTGTTACAGAAATATTCACTGAGCTTCACAGTAATTACTTGTGAAGTGTTTTGGAAAGTTTCAACATAGGACGCTATAAAATGCACATTTCACGATCATCTAATCGCAGCTTCACCGGTGTTTATCATTAGTTTTGACACTTTCTACAGAAGGGAAACATTCTGTAATGTCAGATTTAATTTTAATTACATTTTGGAAATGTGTTCATTGCTGAGCTGCTTCCTCAGGTTAAAAAAATAAAAGAAAGCAGGCGAAGGTGGCAGTCAATTTACACACAAGAATGTCTACAAAAAGCCAAGGTTATCTGCCAGATTGTTGGCCAGGATACTGGGAGAAAGTCCCTTCTCTTTTCTGAATAGAGTCATGGGATCTTTGACAACCATATGGAAATGAGGAGTAAAACAGGTAGACAGATAAAACATTAAACTGTGTCAATTTAAGTATCCCAACATAGTCTCAGACTGTAAACCACATCAGAACTGTAATAATAATCCTTGCATTTGATACAGTGCCTTATCGCGCCACTGAGATGTCTTAAAATGGGGTAATGTTAAAGGGGAATGATATGTAAGTGCCATTCAGAATCCTGTGATTACTCCCCTCCTCCCCCACCTCCTGTAGACTGCTCAGACCTGAAACATTTCTCTTTCAGGTGCTGGTTAACGTTCTGTGCATTTCGAATGTTCACGTCGCGTTAAGCATTCTGACTGCTCTTGCAAAGCATTCACAATGTGCTACAATGTCGATTTGGGCAAGAGATTTAAACATTTTAAATTTCTAAAATATTCTTAAAGAAATCACTAAGGATGTGTGAAACTCAATACATAACCATGCCCTCGGCTACGAGCAGCGGCTCAATTAGACACAATTGCAGGTAATAGAGGACAAAGGGCGGCTTACCCATATACAATGGGTTATGAGGAGAGCCGGTTAGTCCTAATTGCTACCAGCACTGTTGCATGTGGGAACCAGAGGCCTGAAATGTCATCTAGTTTTCACCTGTAAAACCATTTTGTCTGACAATTCAAGATTCTGCAGAATTTTGGAAAAAAAACCTTAAATTCAAGTCTTGATTCAGAAGCTGGTTTTCCAGTTCTTAAAATTAGTTTTTTTTTTACAGGCTTGTAGGCGAAAACCTAGATGAAATTTTACTGGCTCTCCCTTCCCCCACGATCCTACCTTAATAATAATAATAATCCTTGCATTTGATATAGCGCTTTTCACGTCGGGAGGACGTCCTAAAGCGCTTCACAGAACACACTGCAAAGTGAATTGACTGTACATCTGTGGGCGAACGTGGCAGCCAATTGCGCACAGCAATGTCCCACAAACAGTCATAGATTGAAAATGACCAATTTATTATTGGTTTTTGAGGGATTATTATTAGGCTCTGTGTGGAGTAAGAAAACTTGACCAAGGTTTCGCCCTCTGCCTGGAATTGAACTCAGGTCTCTCGCTTGCAAAGCGAGTGCTCTAACCACTGAGCTACAGGACTCCATTTACACCTGAAACAAAGGAGCGCTTGCATACATGTTTTCCTCCCTCACTGGCCCAAATAAAGTCTGATTCACTCTCTTCACGTTGGATGGAAAAGCTGGCATCGGGAGGCAAATTTAAAATGGAGAAAAATTAGTAAATATGAATTGCAAAACATAATGGGGTAATACTGTTTCTCCTGCTCGGTTTTCTCCAAGTAATGCATTTGTTGATGTTGACTAAGAGTTAGTTCTGCTTTGTTCGGTAAATGTTTGAGATTTTGCTACTGTGAACTTAGAAATAACTTTAATGTGATTTTAAAATCTAAATAACACATTAACTAAGTAATATTATATTAGGCTCTTTACATTAGTTATTTCTCTGCACATAGTGACAAATTGACAATGTGCATAACTCAGAGCAAAATAACAGTTCATGCAGATTAATGAATTCCCCATCAGCAGCAACATAACCCTCAATATTATTTTATTTACTAGACGTAGCCGTGTTCAAAGAGGTAGGATTGAGGCAGGACTTAAACACAAAGATAAGGGGCATTTCATGTAGCATGTTATTACTTCATTGAAACATCTCAAAGGTGGTAGAATTAGTGAGAAGTGTGTTTGAGAAGTCAAGTCAGGAACCGACAAAAATATGAATGAAGATCTTGATGACATTTTGCATAAGGTAAGAGATAGAGGTGAGCAACGTGGTAAAGAAAAGCAGTTTTGGTCAGGGAATAGGCATCTTTGTTACTTCCTGAGTCAACTACCAAACACACTCCTTATTAGCAGTTTGGGTCAGAGACTGAACGTAAGGAAGGATAGTGAGCCGAGAATTTAACCGAATGCCAAGGCTGTGCACTGGTTCGATGAGTTTGAGAGAGAGGCCAGGGAGGTTGAGCATCATTATGCTTAATACTATTCAAAGTTCCAAATATGAAAAGGTGTCTGATCCGTAATGGGCTTCTCTCCTTTCAGGAGCTTGCCCTGCTTACATAATTCTGGAGAGTTTGTGCATACTTGGGGAATGCCTTGGGGATGCACTACTGGAGCATAATCAGCAAAAACACATAGTTTGACATTTTGAACACTGGCAAGCTTCCCACTGCTTGCCCAACTAAGACTATCCTATCCTTCAGGACTTAATATTTGTTAACAGTGGGATAGCTAATGTGTGATGCAAATTTAGCAATTCCTAAATTACTGAAAAGGAATTACTAGGATATGCGGGAGGCAGTGTTTAGAATACTAATGTACTAATGAAACCCTGGTCCATGCTTTTGTCACTTCTCGGCTGGACTATTCTAACGCCTCCTCGCCGGTCTCCCATCCACTACCATCCATAAAATCCAGCTCATTCAGAACTCTGCCGCCCGCATTCTCACCCGCACCAAACTCCGCTCCCCAACTACCCCAGTCCTTGCCAGACTGCACTGGCTGCCTATTCCAGAGAGTATCGACTTCAAGATCCTCACCCTTGTATTCAAGTCCCTGCACTCCTCTGCACACCCCTACCTCTCTGACCTCCTCTCTCCTCAAAACAATACCTGTTGTCTTTGTTCCTCCGGGTCTGGCCTCCTCCTTGTCCCCCGAGTTCTCCACTCTACCCTCGGCGGCCGTGTCTTCAGCCACTATGCCCCGAGGCTCTGGAACTGCCTTCCTCGTTCCCTTCGCCTCGCTCACTCCCTTCCTATTTCCAGGTCTCAGCTGAAG